CGTGGCCTGAGAAGGCGGACATAGAGAAGCTGAGCAAAATGGCCAATGGGCTGTTCATCTTTGCTGCGACCGTGGTCAAGTTCATCGAAGATCCGAGCTACGACGACCCCATGGGACAGCTCAAGATGCTTATGTCTGCCGCGGGATCTCATCAGCTGCTCGATCGGCTGTATCTGCAGGTGCTCGACACTGCATTTCCCGATATCTCGAAGGGCCTGTCGGGACGTATCAAGTCAGTGCTCGGCTCGATCGTCGTGGCCCAAGATCCCCTCCCCACTGCCAGCCTCGCGCGTCTAACCGGGCTCACTTCTGACACAGCGTACACGTCCCTTCTAGGACTGCACTCCGTCCTCGTCGTTCCATCCTCTGGGGAGTCTGAGTCCAACATCCGCATCATCCATCCTACCTTTGCCGAATTCCTGCTCGACTCGGATCGCTGCACGAGCCGGTCATTTGTCATCAACTCGCAGGCGCAACACACACTGCTACTCCGTGGATGCCTCGGGGCACTGAAAGAACTCAAGCGAGACATTTGCGATATCCGGGACCCGTCTGTGCTCAACATCGAGGTCGATGACCTAGCTATGCGTGTGGAGAAGGCGATCCCGCCACACTTGAGATACTCGAGTCGGCACTGGTACACTCATTTGGTGGGCGGCGAGGTCTCGGACGAGATCCTGGATGGGCTGTTGGAATTTGGGCAGAAGGACCTGATACACTGGGTCGAGGCATACAGCCTACTTGGAGTGCTCAGAGATGCAATCTCTGGGCTGAGCGAGTCGCAGCGGAAGCTTAGGGTGAGTGCGATCAACTCTCGGGATTTCCAAGTGCTGCAGTGTCTAAACTGTCAAGTAGGACGTGGATGATGAGCGAGCCAGGAGGACTGTGCTCCTGTTGAACGACTGCGAGCGGCTGATTGTTGGCTACTTTCCTGCAATCAGTGGTTCAGCGCTGCAGTTGTACTATTTGATCCTGTCACTGGTTCCGAAGAAGACGACGCTTGGGCAGATCTACGCACACGAATGTCTCGCGGAGAGCTCGGTCAAAGTTGTTGGGGGCGCGGCAGACTCTTGGGACACTTGCTTGGGCACAGTCATCGCACACGAAGGCGAATGGGTCTGGACTATCGACTTTTCCCCTGACGGCAGAATGATCGTCTCTTCGGGCGAGGACGGCAAGATACGAATTTGGGACGCGCTTACGTGCGCCCTGGTTCTCGTCTTCCCCGGCCATTCCGGCTCGGTCTGGTCTGTCAAGTATTCTCCGGACGGTGCTCGCATTGCCTCCGCTGCCGGTGACCACACAGCCAAGATCTGGGACGCCGTGTCCGGCATGCTTCTCCGCACTTTGGAAGGGCATACGAATTGGGTTCCGCGCGCAGTTTTCACGCCCGACGGCAGGCGCATCGTGTCTGGCTCCTGGGACCATTCCATCAAGATCTGGGATGCCGAGACCGGATCCTGTTTAGCAACCTTGACCTAGCACCAAGACTTTATCAGATCCATCGCCGTGTCCCCAGATGGCCTTCGGATGGCGTCGTGTGCAGATGACCTAGTCTGCCTGTGGAGCATGGAGGCCGCGTACACATCCCGTGTCTTATTGAAGCGGAAACGCGAAGAGTTATCCTATTCCGTTGCCTTCACACCAGACAGCTTCAAAGTTCTGACTGCCCCATCGGAGGCGGGGAAGGTGTCCGTCTGGGATGTCAAGACCGCCGAGCGCCTCTATGACCTCCGGCCATCCCTGTCCATCTGCAGTCCCAGCTTCTTCCCAGCCGGAGACAAGTTTGCATGTGGATCAGGGAAATCTATCGTCGTCTTAGACCTTGCTCGTGGCGAGATTCGACAATCGTTCGCCGGTCACACCGACGTTGTCACCTGTGTCGCCTATAACAGAGACGGGACTCGCATCGCATCTTGCTCGTACGATGGCACCGTCCGACTGTGGAACGCGACGCAGGACGCAGTCAACATGCCGCAGCACGGGAATACTCTCAGGTCATCCACTCCGTCTAGCAACGAGCCGGTGGACTGTCACTTGACCGTCTTCTCTCATAACGGAAGTCGTGCGCTGCTGACGCGCAACAATAATTCGATCGAAGTGTACAAGACCGATATATGGGACTGGGCATACAAGCCTCTATCCTTACCCTCAGAATGTGTCCACTACGTGGCGTTCTCACCAGACGATGCGGTGATTCTTACAGCGTCAGAAGGGAAAAATGGCGAGGTGACACTGTGGGATGCTGCTTCTGGGTCACTGCAGGCCCGATGGAAAGGTGATCTACGCGATACGCCCTGGATCCTTTCTATTCGGAGCACGCTCATGTGGAGCGGCGTGTTGAGCTACATGTCGCACTGCTTCGGTGGCCTGTCGTCGCCGATCATGTTCTCAACAGACAGCCGATATCTGGTCATAGGGACCATCTTCGCAGTCAGCAGCTTTGGAGAGCACACCGCTTGTCTCGGGGATGTCGCGACGGGCAAACTCATCCGCGAGTTTGTCGGACACAGTGACCATATTCTCTCCGTCGCCTTCTCCCTCGACGGCAGACGCATCGCAACAGGCTCCGCCGATAGGACTGTGATGATTTGGGAGGTCGCCACCGGAGCGCGTGTTGCGACGTGTAGCGGACATGGCGATCGGGTGCGCTCAGTCGCCTTCTCTCCGAACGGAGAGCGCGTCGTGTCGGGAGGTGATGATGATTGCATTCATATGTGAAGTGCAGAGGAAGGGGAGTTGCTCCAGTCGTTCGAGGGGCACACGGGCTGGGTATCGTCGGTCGCCTTTTCTCCTGGTGGGGACGTCGTCATTTCCTCCTCGAGGGACGACACCATGCGACTCTGGGACATCAACACGGGCGCTTGTCTCCTCGTTCTCAACCCAGGTACCTGGAGCAGCACTGTGCGGCTGTCCCCTGATGGCTCCGGCATCCTAGTTGGCGACGACGATCGACTCGTTCAGCTATGGGCACCTCTCGATGTAGACGCGCAGACGACGACATCACTTCCTTGGCTCCCGCGTCGTACCTGGCCTATGTACTACATCGACGACGGCTGGCTCTTCTCGATGACGCCGACGCGGCGGACGCGGCTGTGTTGGCTACCGGTGAACTGGCGGTGCTTGGTAGGGTACCACGGGCAGAATATATTATTTAAGAAGCAGGGTGCTCGGCTCAATTTTTCAGCATTGGGTAGCTACCTCGAGAGCTTGCGCACTGATCGCACGTAGTAGTGCCATATCTGAAGTATTGGCTAAATTTATGTCATCTCTATTCCGTAACATCGCGCAGCAGACGGGTTGACAATACCAGTGAGCGAGACATGGTGGAAGCCAGCGGCACATGCTCCCCTTGCGGACGAACGAAGCACACTTACAGCACAGCTGGTTTGAGCCGATCGTGTAACGAGCACCCCATACAGCAATACTAGCTCGTGTTATTGATTCATCCCGGTCCACGACGGTAGCGAAAGTCACTACGTAGGCATAATAGACACGAAAGGTAGTAGACACTAGCAAAGCCACGCAATACAACGTCTGCGCACGACTGCAGCCAACCCGAGGCGTCACATACCCGGCCGACCAGAGCCTCGTCTCCTCCCCGCAGCTCACTCAACTTCCCCACCAGCAACACGGCCCCGCGCAGTGTCTTCTCTCTGCGCCGCCGCGGCGATTGGTAGTCGAAGCAGCCTGCTCGGCGCCGTGAAGTCTTCGGGTTGCGCCTCAACATGGTCCGCCGACCGCGTTTATTAAGGCCCTCAGCGTTCGGCTTCTAGCCTTCCTCTACGCCGTCAAGCATCGATGAGGGCTTTGCGCCGCTATGGCCAAAGCGTAAGATCGGGGAACTCAGTTTCTACTGGTGACGACGTCTTGTCTAAGGGGTTGTTAAATTCAGATCTTGCGCGATCTTGACCAAGCTGACTCTCACTGCAGAGGAACGCGAAGGACCACCGGAGGGTTCGCGAGAGGGCATCGATGGTACTGGAGACCCATGTTCATCGACCTTGGCTGGGGTATTCCGCTGGATATTCGGCATGACCAGGGTTTGGGTATGTATGTGTAAATGTCGGACGGAGCGAATCTGTAATCAGATTTATGAGCGACGGACCAGTCGAACAATGGCTGGACCCGCGTTTGGATACGGCAGTATGTGCGGCAACACGTTGGTGCATTGCGGACCCTCCAAGGTCTTCAAGTGACAGGGCGTACTTGAGGCGTCCCTGCAATATGGTGAGGAGCTGGTCTCGGAAGTTGAACTTTCCGCAGCAAGGCCCGGCATCTTGGCTTGCCATGAACGAGGCAGAGGGATGTACGGCGGCAGACATGGGAAATGAAGGGGCAACATCCACGAGGGGGAGGGGCGGAGACTGCGCTTGTCTTAGAGCATTGGAGGTAAAGCATCACGAGCAGAAGAGAGTAACATATGGATGAAGGGTAGGTATTCCAGACATCGATTAAAGCTGTCAGGGACTGACGTGAGTTTGGCGCGATCCAGAGGTTGGTCCAACAAGTGCTATCAGGGAATTAGCAGCTCACTACTAGCAGAGGAGCAACAGGCTGAGGAGGGTGAGCGCGAGCAGAGGAGCTCCAGGAGTCTCCAGGATATTACGTGGTTTATGCTTTCTACGGCCGTCGTGTAGGTTCTCTCATGTGTAATTTTGCATGCATACACCTGCATGTACCTTTATGTTATTACTCTCCATATCGATACATCGTTTTTTTTTCGTGCTGAAATGCTTGCACGAAAGTGTATCTGGGCGCGAGACCCTGTTACAAAGACGCAGGTCGACGGGCTGCTCTATTAGGAGACATATACTTGAGAAGGGAAAGACCAGCGAACATAGTGGTGCTGTGCAAATGAAAGACGAACGTGGATTCGCGCTAGGCGATGTTGTACTGTACGACCGCTTTACTTGCTGCCTTCCTCATCGATAGGATTCATCCCTTCTTCCTCATATTGTACTCGAAAGTCATCTGCGGAGCAAGCATGAGCGACCAAAGCTCAAAGCGATAGAAGCGACGAGGCTAGACATACCATCAATCATCGCATCGGCCTCGAGTGCCTCGTCCGCATTCATCGTCCCGTCGCCCTCAGACAGACTGTCTCCGTCGCTGAGCCCCCAGTTCTCATCCGGCTCAGGGTCTTCAAGGAGCACGGGCTCGTCCCACGAGGCGAGCACCTGATCGTCGAGCTCGTCGGCAGGGTCCGGGCTGTCGTAGGTGAATTCGAATTCGAAGTCCTCGTCCTCGTCATAGTCCTCTTCGCCGGGCACGTAATCACCGTCCGAGGACTCGCCGTCGGACTCGGAGGCGGGCTTGACGTCGAGGAAAACGTGCCTGCATGCGGGGCACGTGCCATGCTGCGCAGTCGCGGGAAGTTAAAAATCTCTGCGTCTCGCCTCTCGGGACAGAAAGTTGTGTCACGCACCCTGCCGCGAATCCACTCTATCAAGCTGTGCGCGGGTCAGTGGGCTGCAGAGGAGGAAAGCGGCCCCGTTACGCACTCGAGCCTGCAAAACACATGCCCGCAGCCCTGCAGTTTCGTCACGCCTACCAACTCGCCGGGGCTTTCTGGTTCGACGTTCTCGCCAGATATAATGCTTGGAAACGGCAAAAGACATATCGGGCACGAATCTTGCAGCGGGACGTCCTGGGCTGAGAGCGTGGGCAGCTTCTGGACGGCGCGTTCGACGCGCTGGTCGGGTGTGAGGGCGAGGATAGCGTCGAGGTCGTCGTCGTGCGCGGCGCCTGCCATGTTGTCGAGGTAGAGATGTGTCGGGTTGCTGGGATGGTGCTGGTGTGGTTGAAAGCGTCTAGGGGCAGCCAGGGGTGCGTTGGACGCGGAGGCAGAACGCGTAAACAACGTTCGCGTCACATCACGTGCGACACTACCCGGATGTCACGCGAGCGCCACCAGGTCACCGGCTTTCCGGCATGACGGATGCTGGCCTGCTGCCGACCACCAGCAAAGCGGAAAGATGGAGATAACCTATCTCGTCCACTGGTCTTCCATTTGCACCGTGCTGCCTTTGCAGCATCCTCAGCTCCAGCACCTCATCTGCATGTGACAGCTTTGGACAGTTGCATTGCTCTCTTTAGACGCACAAGCCACGGTTATACCCGCTCCAACCCCATCCTAGCTCCTTCTGCCGCCCAAAGCTGCTGTCTGCGCCCGCGCCGTATCACCATGGAGGACGACAGCTCCATTGGCACGCACACCCCCCTCCTCAAACACAACGACGACGATACCACCATGGGTCGCCCCGCCTGGGACACCGAGGACGAGCTCGACGCCGAGTTTGGTGGCACGGCCGCGCGACAAGAACTTGAGAAGGGGCTGCTCTGGAAGGTGGACAAGCGCATGTCGATATTGGTGTTGATATACATCCTCAACTTTGTACGTCTGCCGTTCTCGTCGATCCTGATCGTCCTCACGGTTGGCCCTCACTCGTAGATTGACCGCAATAATGCCGGGTATGTTGCACGTCTCAAGACAGTCCTTCCGGCCTCGAGATCCTCGATTGACGTTCGAGGGTGTCCTGTCTCTTAGCGCGGCTCGATTGCGAGGCTTTGAGGAAGACCTAGGCTTGAAAGGGCAGCAGTTCGCCACCGTGTTGTCTGTCCTGTACATCGGCTACATCTCGATGCAAATACCATCGTAAGCAGAGCACCCTCTCTTTTGGAAGATCAACTAACGTCAGATACGCAAGAAATATGTTTATGAACCACATTGGCAAGCCGTCCATCTACTTGCCGACCTGCATGGCGGTCTGGGGACTCGTCTCCGTCATGACAGGTGTGTCCGCTCAACGAAGCGGGACGTGCAGCAGCTGATCAACGACCTCTTCATTAGGCTTTGCACACAAGTAAGCCCCTATCTCAATATATACACCTCTCCTAACCCCCTCGTAGCTTCTACGATGTGCTGTTGACGCGTCTCATCCTCGGCGTCGTCGAAGCCTCCTTCTTCCCCGGCGCGCTGTTCCTCATCAGCAAGTGGTACAAACACAGCGAGCTCGGCTCGCGCACCGCCCTCCTCTTCTGCGGCAACATCATCAGCAACGCCTTCGGCGCGCTCATCGCCTCCGCGATCCTCGACAACATGCAAGGCGTCCTCGGGCGCGCCGCCTGGCGCTGGCTCTTCTACATCGAGGGCTCGTTGACCGTCATCGTCGCCGTCTCCGCCATGTTCGTGCTCCCGGACTTCCCGGAGACGTCAAAGTGCGGGTGGCTGACCGAACAGGAGATCCGCCTGGCGGTCCGGAGGATGGAGGAAGACGCGGACGCGTCTGCGCAAGGCACCCCGTCTGGCGGGGGCATGGCCGAAGGGCTCTGGCTCGCGGTCAGCGACCCGAACGTGTGGATACTCAGCGGAGCGATGTTTTTCGAGATCGTTGCGAACAGCTTCACGGCGTGGTTCCCGACCATCGTGGCCACACTGGGGTACAGCCGGACTGTGACCTTTTTGTTGTGCGCACCGCCGTATCTGCTTACGGCGCTCCTTGCCTTCTATGTCTCGAGGTACGCCGCTCTAGTCGTCCCACGTTCTGTGCTGATGCCTTCGTAAAGACACTCCGACAAGAAGGGCGAGCGATTCTACCACATCACCATCTCCCTGTGGATAGGCATCGCCGGTTTCTTGATCGCAATGACGACAATGAACACCGGCGCGCGCTACTTCTCCCTGTAAGCCTCCCCCACCGCACCCACCCTCACCACGACCTCGGGAACTGACTGACTGACTGACTGACACGCCCGCCAGGTTCCTCATGACGCAGTCCTACGCCGGCTTCTCTGTCTTCTACGGCTGGATGAGCAACAACTTCCCGAGCCCGCCCGCGAAGCGCGCCGTCGCGCTCGCGCTCATCAACGCCGTCTCGCAGTTCGGGAACATCGCGGGCTCGTACGTCTGGCAGCCCGCGTGGGCGCCGCGCTTCCGCGGGAGCCTCGCCATCTGCGCCGTCGCGAGCGCCGCGTCGGTCGCGTGCTGCCTCGTGCTCAAGCGCCGGCTCGAGGCCGCGAACGCGCGCCTGCGCCGTGCGGAGAGGGACCGCGGCGAGACGAGGGCGGGGTTCCGCTACCTTGTGTAGTGCGTGAGGCCTCTTTTTCTCTCTCTTTTTCTTGCGCCGTCGGACGAGGCACTGGCTAGATGACTTCGTGTGTACATACCATACCATACCATGTATTATATACATCTCAACTTCCGCGGAACCGCTTGCCCTCCGAAGATTGTACGTGCGCTATCGAGAAGTTGACGTTTTTTGATTGCTGCTCCCCTTCGACGTGGATCCTGCAAGCCCGCGGCTTCTTCGACAAGAAGCTGCCGTTCGGCGCAGGTTAATTCGGATCCGAGCCCATACCGGCACTCTCGCTATCTAAGCGGCGGCGCCTCTGCATTCGTCGATGTCCCGTACTCCCTACGAGCGCAGGTCGGCCCAGCGAGCGGACAGAGCTGGCGTGCCCACCGGCCTAAGTCCTAATTGTATCACTGATGCAATATGCTCAAGCTCGACTTTTCGTAACTCCTTTGTGAAGACAGAAACCGTTTGAGCGGCGCTGCCGCCTCGAACGGTCGTGAACGGCGGGATTCATGCGGCTGGCCGAGCGTACATGTACAGCACCTCGCGCTTTTGCGCCTATTCTGTTGCCGCAGTCTCAGATGTTCCTGCACCACTGTACGTTCGCTAACAGGCGTTACTACGTGATTCTGACATTCGTGCCGTATAAGTGGATGGTCAAACTACTGGCGGACAGCGCATGTCTTGGAGAAATACACATGCAGAACAACAGCCTATCTCGGAGGCACGTGTCCTAGCCACTTGTTATGGCGGACGCACTAGCGTGTTCACAGGCGCATACCCACCTCTTGACGTCCTCCATATCGCGCAATGCACGCCCGGTCCGGGACACACACTGAATGTGACCAAGGTTTCCCCATCACGGTGCTTCTCCACAATCTACGCACCCTGACCCTGTGACCGCTGACAACGGTTCTTCCGAGGCTCCAGGGTGCGCATTCCCATCCCAAAGTCTAAAATCTTGGCCCACGGACGATATAAGAGGAGGGGGGAGCACACCGCCCTGCCGGAGTGCGCTTCTGGTACTCTGCAGACCTGGCACCTATGGCGTCCTACACAGAGAAACTGGCCCGGAGCCCGGACGCGTCGCCGTCGATGGACGTCGACTCGCTCAAGTCGCCCGACATCGAGAAGCTCGGCGGCGTCCAAGTCGACGTCGGGGAGGACATCGACGCCGAGTTCGGCGGCCACGAGGCGCGGCAGCGGCTCGAGCGCAGGCTGCTGCGGAAGCTCGACCTGAGGATGTCGATCATGGTCGTCATCTACATCTTGAACTACGTGAGTATGGTTTTGGTGACGCCTCCTGGCAGGCAGCGTGTGTGGCTCGCTCACGCTTGGGGTGCAGGTCGACCGGAACAACGCAGGGTGAGGGCGTGTGCGCAAGTTGGTTGTGGCGGCTCTGACTTTGCGCGTAGTGCAGCGCGGTTGCGAGGTTTGGAGGCGGATCTGCACTTGACAGGGCAGGACTTCCCGACTTTGCTCTCCATCCTCTACGTCGGGTACATCCTGATGCAAATCCCTTCGTAAGTAGTGTGCAAAGAGTCCCGTTGGTATTAAACTGAGTACGACATAACAGGAATATGCTCCTGAATTACCTGGGGAAGCCGTCGTTGCAGCTACCTCTATGTATGATGGTTTGGGGCATGATGTCTATCCTGACAGGTGAGACAGATGATTGAAGCTCTTGTATATGCCGCTTACCAGTGCTTGCCAGGCATCACCAAAAAGTGAGTCCTCCACGAGAGGGAGAGAACACAACCTGACAGCATTCTTCCAGTTTTGTCGGCGCCCTGCTGACCCGCTTCTTCCTCGGCTTCGTCGAAGCCGCCTTCTTCCCAGGCGCGCTCTTCCTCCTCTCGAAGTGGTACAAGCGCGACGAGCTCGGCCTGCGTGTCGCGATCCTGTACTGCGGGAACATCATCAGCAACGCGTTCGGGTCCCTGCTCGCGTCGGGCATCCTCGACGGCATGAACGGCAAGCTCGGGCGCGCCGCCTGGCGCTGGCTCTTCTACATCGAGGGCGCGCTCACGATCTTCGTCGCCTTCTGCGCGATCTTCATCCTGCCCGACTTCCCGACGACGACGCGCAGGCGCTGGCTGAGCGAGCCGGAGCGCCGCCTCGCGATGCGCCGCATGCAGGAGGACGTCGGCGTCGGCGACGAGGCCGAGACGGAGGTGACGCAGGTGCAGGGGCTCGTCATGGCGCTCAGGGACTGGCGGATGTGGGTCATGGCCCTCGCGATGACGGCGCAGGTCACCTGCCTCTCGTTCAACGCGTACTTCCCAACGCTGTCGGCGACAATGGGGTTCAACACCACGGTGTCCCTCCTGCTCTGTGCTCCGCCGTTCGTGTGGACGGCGTTCGAGGCGTTCCTCGTATCTCGGTTAGTCCCTTTGCGGCGAAGAGTGGACAAAGTCACTGAATGAGACCTGGTTAGTCACTCCGACAAGCATAAAGAACGGTTCTGGCACATCTGCATACCTTTCATGGTCGGAATAGTCGGCTTCATCATTGCCATTTCGACGATGAACACCGCTGCAAGATATGTCTCGCTGTAAGTTCCGAATATTCGACTCCTGCGCGGGTACTCATTAGCCTCCGCTGCCGCAGATTCCTGATGGCGCAATGTTACGCAGGCTTCGTCTGCCTTTACGCCTGGGTCAGCAACACCTTCGCGCGTCCACCGGCGAAGCGCGCAGTCGCAGTCGCGTTCGTCAACGCCTTCTCGCAATTAGGTAACGTGGCCGGATCGTGAGTCCTTCATCCTTGCGGCTGAGGAAGCACTCTAACTGATGATGCATCAGGTACGTCTGGCCCAGTATGTGGGGACCGACTTACACAAACTCGTACGCCATCTGTATCTCGACCGGCGGCTTCTCCATTCTTCTGCTGGCGATCATGAAGGTTCACCTTGAAAAGGAGAATAAGAAGATGGACGCGCTAAAGGATGGAGACCCCAGGAAGAAAACCTGGAGATATATCTCCTGAGAGTGAGAGGTCTTCGTGGGAGGGAGCATCCGAAGCGTATATTAGCCATGTGTAATTGCTGTCCTCAAACTTGAAGGTTCTTCGAATCCAGTCGCCGACGAGGCCTGTGTGCGTATAGCAAAAAAATAGGCTACGAGATCGTACGATAGCAAAGCGCATTGATTTGAGTAGAAATAACAAGAAACAATAATAATCCGCCATGCGGAGTATACTCCTAGATAAAGTTGACCGACATAACCCAGCCCTGTTTTAAGGCGAAGCCGTTCAGGGCCTCTTTTGCGACCGACGCCATGCCTGGCGAGTCAAAGAGCACTTGCGCCATCTTGCATTTCTGCCCAGAGGCGTTGGGTGTGGGCGACGGCACGACATTTGTGGACATGAAACCTTGGTACCTGGGAGGACGCTCGTGAACGTGTGGGGAAATTCGTACAGGAACTCGACGCACTGTTGGAACAAAACCGAGAGGACGTCGTCTGTGACTTCGATAGGCAGGTTCGTGCATAGTAACTTTGCTGAGGGCTGTTGTAACACAGGGGGAACAGCGCCTGTAACCTGACGTCAGAATGCAGTTCCACCATAAGAGTGTGCAGCATACTTGAAGTCTTGTCCTTCGTGCCGGTCTCTTCATCATCCTCGATCTCCATCTCCTCGCCGTCATCCTCATCTACTCGCTCGCGCTTTGATTCCCGCACGTCTTCGTCCATCTTGTCATCCCTGCCACGCTTCTCGCCACTAAGGATGCCATTCCCGAGTCGCGTGGCGGTCTCGCGAGCATGAATAGATGCCGGCGGTACAAAGTTGGGATCATCTTTCTTCATGGTCGCATATGACTTTTGCTTGGCGTACTCGATATGCTACACACAGCAGGACGTGCCAGACGCATGAGACTTGTTCACATCAATGACTTCCCAAGACAACGCTCTAACAAGCCGGAGGCGTACCATCGGTTTATCGTAGAAGTCCAATCCCTCGCACGCTCGGAGCGCAGCGGTAGCCCCTGCGAGGTCACCAAAGACGACGAAGGCCTGGCCCCGCATTTTTTGGGTCTTTAGTGCGACGACGTCGATGACACGACCATAGGTCGTGAAGAGCGCGTGAAGTTGGTGCTTGAGCTCCTCCTTGTTTACCTTGTCATTGAGGTTTTTTATGTAGAGCGTCGCCTGAGGTTGTGTGGAGGACATTGTCGGGGAGAGCAAGGCAGACGACCTCGAGGTTGGCGTTCATCCGAGGCATGACCATACTGGGACGACAACGGCCGGAAGTTCTCACGGTCACTGGGGTGTGGTTTTTGCTGTCAACACAATATCAAGAGCACGTTCGCGAGGAAGGAATACTGTTCGGGGTGTGGAATGGCGACGAGACAATCCTATTCAAGGCGTAACTCCGTATTTTGTCGCCTCTTCCTTTGCACGCAACGCCTCCAGTTGCCCGTGCTGCTCAACTCGGCTACCATCTGTTGGTAAGAAATTTTGCAAAAAGCTCATAGGCGCGCAGTATATGTTGGTGGGCTGATTCTGCGCTCAACCAGAGCCCGTCTGCACCTTTCTGCCACATCGGCAGCGCACTTCACGTCCCCCCAGCTCTGCCAAAAGTCCACGCGATCCGTGGTCAAGCCGTCTATGATATTTTGACGCGACTTACGAATATACCTCGATCATGAACTCTACCCAGTCTCCTCATTGGCTCCAATCCTTTCTCGCACCCTTCGTTACGCTCTCATACCCGACTAGCCCACCAGCTACGCCAGATTCGTTCAAGAACTCATCCTACTACGCTGGCGGACCCCTCGATGGCTGCCTTATGATTACCTGCATAGCGGTCATGGCCGTGTTGCGCGACGCGCTCCGCTTGGGCGTTTTCGAACCTTTTGCGCGGTGGTATCTGATGCGCGAGCTGCTGAAGAGTAAGGCGAAGCAGAATGGGCACGTGAACGGGCATGCGAACGGGCATGCGAACGGGTATGCGAACGGGTATGCGAATGGGCATGCGAACGGGCACGCGAACGGGCATGCGAACGGGCACGTTAAGAGCAATGGCTCCGCCAATGGACACGCACATCGGGCTGGCGGACCTGTTATAACGAAGCAGGAGGCACGGAAGCTACGACGAAGCGTCATGCGCTTTGCAGAACAGGGCTGGTCGGTCGTGTATTACACTCTGCAGTGGCTGTATGGCCTGGTGAGTTCAGTGCATGCTCGTTCCTTATGTACTCTGAACATGTGCGTCTAGTATGTGCACCGAAGCCTCCCGACATCGCTGCTGAACCCTATAGACGTCTGGATTAATTATCCCCACATGCCCTTGGCGGGTCCGCTCAAGTTCTATTACCTGACGCAGTGCGCCTTCTACCTCCACCAAGTCCTCATCCTCAATGCCGAGGCACGTCGCTCCGACCACTGGCAAATGATGACCCACCATGTTATAACGATCGTGCTCATGCTCGGCAGTTATTCCTACAACTTCACGCGTGTTGGATGTCTTGTGATGATGCTCATGGACTGCTGCGACATTTTCCTTCCCGTAAGTGTGCTTCTAACCGCGCCACGCAAAATTCTAATCACTGTACACGCAGCTTGCAAAAATGTTCCGCTACCTCACTTTCTCGACGTGCTGTGACGTGACTTTCGTTGTGTTTATGCTCTCTTGGCTTGTGACGAGACATTTCCTGTTTCTGTTCGTCATTAGGTCCACGTACTACGACGCCCCTAGATCAATATCTGGCGTTTGGGATCCTTCGACCGGTTACTTTATGACTAAGGAAGTGTTAACTGTCTTTAACGCCATGCTTGTTTCGCTGCAGGTATGCGACCAAAAGTCTGTCGAAGTTGCTAGTGCTGAACGTGTGCCGTGCAGATTATCCAGCTTGTTTGGTTCTGGATGATCTGCCGCGTTGCCTACGGCGTCGTTATGGGCAAAGGTGCGGAAGACACTCGCAGCGACAGCGAAGAGTACGCTCCCATTTCCCATGATTTATTTAAAAGTTGACCTACTCTTTTGCAGCGACGGCGCGGATGAAAACGAGGAGACAAAGAAGGAGCGTTGAATTAGACCAGTTAGACCGACTTGCCCTCCTTTTCTGGGTAAACGCGCAGTGCGCTGTGATGCCAGTGCTTGGCTTCTATCCTACGTGTAATAGCTTGCATTGGCCCCTTAATCAGTGCTTTATCTTATGCACGTGGACATACACATACTTCTTGATGCTTCTCGGGACAGTGAACGTACATAATTTCAGATACAATTACACAGAGAGAGATGCAGCTAAGGACATGCAGACACATCATTGTACAGAAGCCATCCAAGAATTCAACTCCATAGTCAATGCAATCCTTCAAAGCAAGCTTAGAACAAGAACGAGCGGCCAAGAGCGGCGGCTTGCAAAGCCCTGGACCTCATGTCCCGACCGTCCCTCGTCATTCCGTCCTCGGCGCCAGCAGGTGCTGGCATCTCGCCGGGCATGAGCGGGCTGCGCTGGAAGCGACCATGCATGGGGTCCACGGACCCGGCGACCCAGATGCGATCGGTGTTCTGCTCGAAGCGGCGCGCGTCGATGCGTGGCAGCTCATTGTTCATGATAGGCGTGCGCGACGCAGAACCAGTCCAAGCGCCAGGAAAGTTGTCGGAAGTGTCGCCACAGACGTCAGACGAAGGCGCGTCGCTGTTCAGTTGCTTGCGCAGAGTGGTGATTTGAGTCTTGATCTCCTCTCCGAAGGATGGCTTCTTCTTAGGATCGTCGTACCCAGCAAGGGTGACGAGAGCCGAGACGCTGAATATGCGCGTGAGAAAGGTATCAAGTAAAGAGGTGGAGATGGACGTACAAGGCCTCCTTAAGGAATGCAAAGCTGAACTTGTCGGTTACATCGACGATCTCGTCCAGAAGGCTGTCAGGGAAATCGATCTCATCGTTAGAGGCGAGCTTGTGCTGCCAGTACTGGCAGTAGAGCTTGCGCTCGGTCGGGTCTGGATCGTTGAAGGGGCTGCGCAACATCATGTTAGAGAGACCAACGCATACACTGAGGATGAATCCCACAATTTCCTATCAAACCGGCTGGGCCTTGAGCGCAATGCGGGATCGATGTTCTGCAGATGGTTTGTAGTGCCAATGATGAGCAGGCCGTCGTTGCTGTCGAGACCGTCAAGCTGGTTGAGGAAGAATGAGCGGTTCTGGTTATTAATCAAGGAGTCGAGGTCCTCGAGAATGAGCACACAAGGCGCCATGCGCCGCGCGTGATCGAACACGTCAACCATTGCGCCCTCCTCGCCTTTCCAGCTCCGGAAGGAGCGCACGTACAACGGAGCATAGTTGTTCGCATCCGCTTGTTTCATAATAGCTTTCATGCTGATGGTCTTGCCATTGCCTGGGGGCCCGTGCATGATGATGCCACGCTGCAAAATGAATCAATAACTATCACAAAACCCTACGATTTCGTATGCCCACCTTCCAAGGAATACCGAGGTCGTGATACATATCCTCAGAGTCGAAAAAGCCAAAGACGTCTTTCTGCAGGCCTTTCTTGAACTCGTCCTTGAGGATAACATCTTTCCAGTTCGCTTTTTGAATCTCGAGCCAGAGCTTGCGGTCCTTTTGCCAGAAACCGCTGTCGAAGACGTAGATCTCTTCGTGCAACGAGGCAGAATAACTTCCAGCTGCCGAGACCAGCGCCCTGGGAACTTCCTCAGGACCTTCGAAGAGAACGAAATTCTGGACGTTCTCGAAGGCACCGTGCAAGAACTACGTGACACCAACTAACGTAAGCTCACGGTCAACAACGGGCGTCAAATAAAACGTGCATACCAGCATGGTGTAGTAGATGAAATTCAAGTTCTAGGAGTGCTGCGTGAATATCATAGATTATAGATAACATCCTACACATACCTGCCAAGTCACTTTGAAAGCACCAAATCGCACATTGTTGACTAGGACACCAGCGTCCTCGCCCATGCGTCGAGCCAGGGGAATGAATACGGAGTTGGTGATCACTTCAGGCGGAGAAATAGGCTCGACTTGAACCTTGGGAAAGCCGAGAAGGTCTATTCCATAAGTGAACAAGACGATAGATGCCTTAGGGTGTATCTCCCGCAGCTTGCGGACGCTGCACGTGCATGTTCAGTGCGAGTGCGGCATTGTACAGGCCTGTATACTCACGCAAAACCGACAGGATCCTCAAACTTGGCAGACCCTTTAGAGAGCTAAGTATGAAAACGACATCATACAGAGATGGCCGCGCGTACCGTGTTCGCCCCACGGCCCATAGAGGGGGTCCTTGCCCTCAGGCAGATGGGGGCGAGAGAAGTCCTCTTCGCGAGTACTGATCACGACGAAGGGGTCGTTACTGTTACGCGGGGCCATGTTCAGCGATGTGTTCGTCGTCGTGGTCGTTGTACGTGGTCAAGAAGCAAGCACGCCGGGCTGCGGACACCGTGCATGCAGGCAACCGCAGCGAGACGCTGTCACAGCCGACTACCTCGCAGGCGAAGCGTGGGAGTGCGGGACAGGCGCTTCTAGTGATAAGCGCGAGCGCCGACGCCAAGAGATGACCGGCACCCCCCGGGGGTGATTCCTGAGTTTGCGCGCCTAAGCTGCGACGCTCTCGACTCGTCTTCGTCGGCCACCATGCCTTCATTGTCGCGCACGTCGACATTCCTCACTATTGCCGGAGTCACTGTCCTCAGCGGCTTTGTTGCTTATGCTATCTATTTTGATTACAAGCGCAGGAACGATGTTGAATTCCGCAAGAAGCTGCGTGAGTCCTTGTAGATAGATGTTGAAGCGTGCAGCATGGCCGACCAGTTCGTGCTTTTTTAGGGAAGGACAAAAAACGCGTTGAAAAAACGACCACCGCCTCTGCGAGCACAGCATCTCTCTCCTCGGGTAATCGCGCTGAGGAGTTGAAAGCTGCATTGGCCAAAATCCGCGCCGAGCCACTGCCGGATGGCACTCGCGAAAGAGAGCAGTACTTCATGGCTCAGGCTAGTCTCGGGGAGCAGCTTTGTACACAAGGTGCGTCGCAAATTACGCTGTTTGCTGTCACCTGTGCTCACAGTACTCGCGATCAGGTCCCGCCTTTGCTGTCCCAGCAGCGCTCGCGTTCTACAGGGCACTCCGCGTCTACCCAACACCGGTTGAGCTCATCATGTTATATCAGACATCGCTTCCCCCCGAAGTCTTTGCCGTGAGTCATGCCACAATCGAAGTGACAGAGATTTGTCTGACAGCGAAACAGATCATCTTGGAGCTTACCAACATGGACGTGAGTGGTACTTCCTCCTCAGAAAAGGAAGCGGCAGAGGAGGCCCAGTTGGTTGAGGAGCAAGAGCAAGAGACTAGTCCAGAAAGGTCTGGTCCGCCCTCAGAAGCCTCGTCCCAAGAGTGGGACAAGCTCACAGACCCAGGCAGTCAGCCTGTGTTATAGATCTTCCGTCCGCCCACGGCTAGAGTAGTCGTCTCTTGCTCCCATCTACCACTACTCCTCATTTCTCTTTGTTCCCTTGCAAACACTCGTTCTAATGCATTATGTATCCTTCCATGTACATCAATCGGTCTGTTTTCCAATAGGTCAAGGAGCGCGCCGAAGGTGAGCAATCCGTTCCGCAGGTATTAAGCGTGCGGCTGAAGTGCTCGCATACTGGGATCTTTTCTCAGGCTACTATGATTTCTTCCCGTCGAAGTCTTGGAATGTTCGAGTGCAAGACAAGGACGGCAAGAAAGTTTTGTTTGCAGATAAAGACTTTGAGAAGGGTGACGTCGTCTACAAGGTCAGTGCAGTCATAGCACCTTTTTGCTCCCTCCTTACCATTTCGCAGGAATATCCCATCATTTCTGCTCTTGACTGGGATTTGCTTGAGCAAGGGTCGCATTGTGTCTACTGTTTGAAACTCGTCCACAAGGTTTCTGAGTACAGGCCCGAAAACGACCGTCTCAACACTGTTTATTGCTCCAAGGACTGCTACACCAAGGCAAAACAACAATACCATGGAATCCTCTTCACTCTGGACCCTCTGCTGCCACCCGAGATGGCCGCCGAGAGTGGTGCCGCCTCACCGGAAGAGCGCGAGAAAGCGCAGGCAGCCCTTGTCGAGTATCTCAAGTCAAACCAGAAACTTGCGAACTTCCTCGTCGCCAAGTGGGTAGCACTCCAGATTACCATCGAGACGTCAAAGGTCGTCCCAGGCGCCGTACACCCTGATAAGGATCTTCCGAAATACATCGAGGACGACGCTCCGGAGTACGCGATTGGCGATCACCTCGAACGCCTGCGGTACCTGGATGCCTCTGTCACGCCTGAAGAGACTGAGGTCCTGCGCAAGGTTTTCGGTGCTGCACTTCCGGGTCTCGAAGGCTCGCTCACCGAGGACCGCCACGTTACGACATTAGGCAAGATGCTGTACAACGCCATCGGCATCTGCTACTCCGGCGGCAGGGACGACAAGGTAAGCCGCAGAACTACTTGTCTATGTGTGGTCGCTCAGTTCGCGATTCTAGCCTCAGCTCGCCGAGCGCCCGGAAGATCAAGAGAGGACTCGCACCCCGTATGGTACTTCGCGCCAGATCGGCAGTGGTCTCTTCCTGGTCTCCTCTTACGTACGTCCCCACCGTCTACCCCCTCAGACGTCAGACCTGACCGCAGTCGATACACAGATCCAACACTCCTGCGATCCATCCGTTCGCCCCTCCTTCCCCGGCGGCACCAACAAACTCTGCCTCATGGCGACACGCGCGATCAAGGAAGGCGAGGAGCTCACCATGGCGTATGTCGACGTCACGCAGCACGAGGGCGAGAGCGCCGAGGAAGCTCGCCGCCGCCGCCGTCACGAGCTCGCGCGCGGCTGGCGCTTCAAGTGCGAGTGCACGCGCTGCCTCGCGGAACAGACCGAGGGCAGCGTCGAGGTGGACCTTGGCGTTACCGCAGATGAGTCCAAGATCGAGGACGCTGCGGCGCGCTTTGAGGCGAAGAAGGCCGAGGCCGAGGCGCCCGAGACAGACTGATTCTTTCAAGGCGGGTTGTATATGCTTAGACGTTGCTCTATTATAACCGTAGTATAATAAATTCACTGCAGCTCAAAAACGTGGTGAGACGACAATTTTTCTTCCGCCAGAATGACTGCTATGTGTCGCGGAGATTCGTACAAAATGTCGCGTAAGCTAGTGGCAGCACACCAGGTATCTGTCTTTAGGATTCCGCACATGGTCAAAATGCGCATCATCGCAACTTGAGGAATACACACCTAACAACGGGTCGAAAGGGTCACGGATGATGGTCCGCAACATGCCTTTCTGGCTGAGGATAGGAAACGCCAACTGCACGAAATTCTCAAACACAGCTCGCTCGATGGGCTCTCCGCCTCCAGAGGAGGGTTCTAGTGTGATGTAGTCGAACGACGACCGGCTAATGGCGGTGACAAGCACCTCATCGAGGGTGTTGAAAAATTTGCGACTCCACGTGCTGTCGAGATCGCGAAACCCCCAAGCATCCGTGACAAAGCGGATAGTGAAGTCGCGGAGTTCACGGTTTGCGGAGAGGGACGGGGATGCCTTCATGTATTCTGAAAGCCGTTCAGAGTGCCATTCCCAATCACCTGAGTGGAAGTAAGTAGTGCCGAAAACGACCATTAGCTTCCGTAGTTTTCGCCATCCTCGTATGTCTGGAGGTACGTATTGAGCGTCTGCGATGTTGGGGCGTGAGTCCCAACAGGATGCGCGAGGCTGCAGAGCGGCACGTACCTGGTAACCACCTTTGTTGTGACATGTTGACCGTCAGGGACGTTATGTTCTGCCCAATCTGGCCTAGGAGTGGTTGAAGCGTAGGAAGACATGCGTGCGAGAGTTCGAGGTCGCGTATCCCATCTATGGCGAGGCAGTGCGACAGCGTCGTGTACAGTTTGACTGGATACCAGCGTCTGGGCAAAGACAAAGAGGTGACCTCTACAGGCTTCGGCACGGTCCGGTCCGATACTACGGATGGGGCTGGGTGGCACGGGTAGCAGAAGACCTCCAGCAGATTAGCCTTCTCGAAGAGGAGTATAAGACCCATGACATCTTGCATTATAACCTGGCAGAAAAGGAGGTTGTATGCTATCTTCAATCGCGGAATGGTGAGCCGCTGTTCTAGAGCGGGAAGGTCCTTTAGTATCACATTGCTGAGAGATAGAGCGTGCAGTCGAGGAAACAGCTTGAGCAGCGTAAAAAGCGACTTTGCATCGATCGATTGGCTCTTCTTGATATCATGCATGAAATACGTGGCGGAAAAGAATTGGGATGATGCGTGCTTGACATCGAGGAAGCGGACGCGCGAGGCCAGATGGGGAGAACGAGCGAAGAACGCATGGAGCTTCCCGAGGGTTATAGCACCATGAGACCAGCCAGCCTCTACATGACCCGCGTCTCTAGAGTTCGGAGGATCTTCAAAAAAAAAAAACTTGACCACAGCGAAGAGCTGTGCCTGGGCGAAGGGACGCCACGCTCGAGACACCAACGAGCATGCGTGAAGATCCCCGAGCGGACGTTTGCCATCCTGAGGGGTGTGCTTTTGCTGAGGTTGTTGTTGTACGAAAGTAAAAATGTTTTCAAGAATCTCTCCAGGCAGATGAACCTGTGAGTAGCTCATTCTGATGTGCTGGTCAATGCTGAAGCCGGCTGAACAGGGGGAATAGGGATGGAGTCGGTATTTGTCACTATTTGGACACATCGTTGTGGCGTCAAATGCAGAGCGCTGGCGGGTCGGCTCCACATAGGATTTACTAGGATTTACTCCGGGCTGTCCGATGGCTGACCATGATGCAGATGCCAGCGAGCTCGAGAGCACCAGTGTCCGCAGACTCCAAACGAATGTCTCTCCCATACTGTCATCACCATGTTTAGTCTGCCTGAGGTGCGCGGAAAATACTCCGTCGGCGCGACGACCTTTGCAATACCCATCACAGCCTACGGCGATGCTTCACGAGTTATAGGTCGCGCAAGGCTCAAGCCGAACATTAGTGGCGTCCCGGATACGCCAGCGTTGAAGCTGGAGGAGGTCGTATTCACTGCCTACTATCCTGCTGACATGCAAGCGGTCAAACGCGCACGCAAGGGTGTGTATTGGGTCCCGAGGTGCGTCGCTAGTCAGACTCGGGGCTGCGAGGGAAGCTCATTCAGTGCGTCATAAGACCCGTCTCTGAGACATTGAAGGGATATGCACAGTTCGGAGGTATGAACGCACTGTTGGTCCATGGGCTCCTTGGAGGATACGCCCGCGTCCTGAAGGTACATCGTCATCTTCTCCCCAAATTACCTTGATCATGTGACACCCACTGCTTGTAGATACCAGTTTATGCAAACGTTCCACTGCTGGGCACTCAGAGCGGCAAACACCAATGGCCCTTAGTCATATTCTCGCATGGTCTGGGCGGGACCAGGACCACGTACAGGTTGGTCCACATCACTATATGCCGTAATAATAGAAGTTGACCCCGTTCAGTCATTTCTGCGCCCGACTCGCCGCTGAGGGTCGTGTGGTTCTCGCCATAGAGCACCGCGACGGCACAGGGCCTTTCGTATTCACCCACACACCGATACCAGGTCTGAAGGAGCAATTACCATCCAACTGTAAGCTATATATACATCCGGAAGATGTCACGTAAGCAGTTTTCTCATTTTGAGTGCTACGTCACGCCTGACACGCTGCGAATCAGCTTTGATAAGGAACCAACTGAGAAAGAACAGCTTGCCTTCCGCGAGGAACAGCTCCTCTTTCGCAGGATAGAGCTGTACTTGACTTACACGCTCTTTTCTGGTATGGTCAGTACACCCTGGGACGAAGGTGCGCAATCTACACGCCAGAATTATGGTGCTTCTGGCTCAGCCGATATTCAGAGAACATGACCCTCGACTGGATACACACGGTTTCAGGCCCCTGGAACCACAGCTTGGCGGACCGTCCGGAAGACCGTGCGTTCTGGAAAAGCTGGCACAAGACAGGTTCTCAGCCCAGAGTGCAGTACGACTACGATGTTCTGCTTACCGGGCACTCCTTTGGCGGCGCAACAGTGGTACGTGTACACGCGCTACACATGTCTACGACGCGACGCTAACCTCCAGCGTCGTGCAGCTGTCCGTCCTCTCGAACCCCCCGCCAAGCCTAGAAGACCGCGAATTCTCCGCGATCCCCGTCCGCCGCGCCGTCGCGCTCGACCCGTGGCTCGAGCCGCTGCCGAGCCCGGGGCCGGCGCCGCACAGCGTCGAGGTGTCACTCAAGGAGCAGCAGCCGTCCGCGGAGCCGCCAGCGCTGCTCGTGCTCAACTCGGAGCAGTTCAGCCTCTGGACAGACCACTTTGCGCGGCTGCGCGACGTCGTACGCGCGTGGGACCGCGTCGCGCGCGAGCGCGCACCCGAGACGCGGTGGTGCGAGCGCCACGCGTGGCTCGTCACGCTCGTCCGCGCGAGGCACACCTCGTTCTCCGACTTCGGGGTCATCGTGCCATTTGGGGGCTACGCGAAGGATGGGCGGCGGTTCTTGGATATCGTATGTGAGCTGACGGAGGCGTTCCTGAAGGGTGATGACTTGGAGGATGCGCTGGACAGGCAGAGTCAGGTGGAGTGGAAGGTCGAGACTGTGCAGGGATCGAAGAAGCGCGGTGAAGAACGACGGTTGGTGGGCGAGGTAGGTGATGTCGTCGTGAACTAGACACGCGTTGCTTTGACACTTCTGCACTACTTGCATATCATACATTGCTGTCCTAGCGTACCATACTACAATTCCTGTAATCCAATATAGCTGCAATGTACCATACAACAATTTTTCGAAGTAAGCTGAGCGTGAAGCATACAGTCGTACGAGTCTCCGTACGCACACATCTACAACTTGGCCTTAATAGCACCCTTGCCTTCCTCGACGACGTCGTTAACGAGCGTGCCGATACCGCCGTCGACCCAGACCGTAACCTGGTCGCCGTGCTTGAGATATACGGCCGGCTTTTTCGCGAAGCCGACGCCCTTAGGCGTGCCGGTCATGATGACCGAGCCCGGGTGGAGGGTCGTCCCCTGGGAGAGAAACGCCACGGTTTGGCGGACGCTGAAGAGCTGGTCGCTGCAAAGGCATGCGTGAGAACGCGATACACGCAAGAGTGCGTGAGAAAAATGTGTTCCGAAGAAGGACTTACGCGGTGGTGCCGTCCTGCATGACCTTTCCATTCAACGTACACTTGAGCCCGAGCCGCTGCGGGTCGGGGATAGCAGTCGTCGAGACGAGACAGGGACCAATCGGCGTCGCATCGTCTGTGCGCGTAAAGTCAATTTGACATGTTCGTCGGCGCGGGTCTGCACTCTGACGTACCGTAGCCCTTCGAGAAGCCCCACTGCGAGACGGCCATCTGGTGGTACCGGAACGACATCTGCGCTTTGCATGAGCACATGGGACGCTGGCGCGGACTTAGCAGCACAAGAGCGGACTTACGTCGTTCGCGCCTGTGTAGCCGATCACATAGTCGAGCGCGTCCGCCTCAGACACGTTCTTCGCGGCCTTGCCGATGACGATTGTGAGCTCGACCTCGTAGTCGGGCAGGTGTTGGTCCACGGGCTGCGTGACCTTCGGGATCGTGATGGGGGCGTCGGGGCCGATGAGTGCGGCGGGGGGCTTATAGAAGAGGATGGGGTACCTAAAGCACAGTTAGTTCACACACGTGCGTGCACATAAGAGGACGTACTTGGGCTTCGCCAGGCCGGCCTCCGCCTGTGACACTATCAGCATAATGCGTCCTAAGCGAAAGAGGAGAAGGGGCGCACCGCGTGGTCGCCGTAGTTGAGGCCCAGGCAGCGCACGACGCCAATCTGCTCGCGTGTGAGAGGGGGGAGAAGTTGCTTCACGGTGAGGACGTTGTTCGTGACCTGTGCGGCAGGGTCGAGCGCGGAGCCGACGATCTCATACGCTTTGATCGTCTGTTTCTTGTGGGACGCGAGACCGACTGTATAGTGTTGTTAAACTTGCTTGTGAAGTAACTTGGAAAGAGCTCACCATCTTGCCAGCGGTCTACAGGCTCGCCGATGTGCACCTGAGACGTCTCTGCCGCAACGAAGCGGATGAGGCGGTTCCAAGACTATAAACGCGCTGAGTCTCAGCGCCGTTCTCACCGCCATGTACGACATAAATGTACCGTTTTTATGGGGGCCATGTCTGCAGTCGTCCAGAGGGGGATGGTGGTCGAGTGTGAATGCAGCGTTGAGGCATGCCAATAAAATGTGAGCCCAACGGAAGTTGGACGGGGCTCCGCGGATCGGCGCCTGAGTGAATAGCGGTCACGTGCCGGAGACGCGTCAAAGCGCTGCCGCCCGATGTTGGGGTCCAGACACGCCACCGCCTCGAGGACAAGAACACGGACGACGACCTGGCAACGACCCTCTCTCACTCTCTTATCGCTGTCACGCACGACGCACGATTCACTCATTTCCGATACACGACGATTAACGTACATGTTTAATGCCATACAGGACGCCCTAGACGACGTGCGTACCGCTCTGCTATGTCCGGGCAATCTCCCCCGAGCTCACCCTCGGCCAGCTCGCCTCGTTCCGCTCTTCGACGGCACGGCAAGGTCGGGCTCTGGACACCCTCGAACGCCTTCTTGCAGATATTTGCGTACCGAAGGACGCCAAGTCCGCTGCCGCCCTGCAGTCATTCGTTTCCCTGCAGGACTCTTTCCAATGCAATGGTTGGTGGCGGTGTTGGTGTGGCGCAGATGCGAGGCATATGACTGACCTCCATTCACTCCCAGTGCCGTCCAGGATACTTCCATGGATTGCGGACCGGTCGTCACGTCTTGATTCGCTGTCGAGCAAGGGCTCCGTTGCCCGTGCGTCCCCTGCCTCTGTCTGTCCTGCTAAGCCTGAGACCGTCGCAGAGGAGCACTTACCTGAAGCCACCGCGCTCTCTTCGCAAATCATACAATCCCTCACCATCCTGCAAGGCATTATTCTGAACCATAGCCCGAGCAAGCAGTTCCTGGGTCGCCGCTTTGCACTCGAGGTACGCTGCTCGTACGCTGTTACGTCACTTGGCTGCCGAGCTGATACACGTTGTCAGGTCCTCATCAACCTCCTTCTTGTTTCACGACACGTTACGCCGGCCCAAGTCACGAAGAGCGAAGACGAAGCTGAGCGGGCGGATCTGTCCCTCGTGACGCTAGCCACAGCCGTTTTAGACACGCTGCTTTGCATCATGGTGGACTCTTCGCCCGCCTTGCGCGCATTCGAGGAGGCCAACGGCGTCCGTGCAGTTGTCCGCATCCTGAAGCGTGCAGGCACGCCCAGGGAGACTCGGTAGGTTCCAGAGACGCCTTGGTAGTCGCTGTGAGGCTGACCATCTCCAGGATGAAATGCCTCGAATTCCTATACTTTTATTTGTTAGACGAAACCGACAAAGACACCCAGAGCGATGACACCCACGTAGCTACTGTCCCAAACTCGCCGATCAGTAGCGGGCACAGTCGCAACGCGCTCTCTGCATCGCAAATGAGCGACTCCTCTGTTGGGTCAGACGTCTCGTCATCGTCGGCCTGGTCACACGTCTCCACTTCAACAACGGCAACGACAGCCTCTGCAACGTCCCACAAATCTTCTGCGTCAGACAAATCCGAGCTTACCCCTTCGCCCCCCATGCGTTCCGGTCACAGGAAAGCACTCTCTCGTGAGATGTCCGAGATCACATCGCGCCCGTTCGCTTTCCCTCCCAAGGGGCTCGACTTTACCCCACAGACACCGGCGGGCAAGAGCGTCCTCACCCCGCTCAGTCCTAACACACCGCGTCCTACGGTACGGCTGAGGCAGCACAGCAGCGGGAACTCCGTCGTCGCGGGAGAAGAACGGTCAAGCGAACGAAAGACTCCCAAAAGGCTGCCGCTGCGCGTGACGAATCCCGGAGAGACGAGGCATAGCGACCCAAGCACTCCTGTGCCTCTCCTACCTGCGAGGGGCCGTCGACGCGCGCAGACCGTGAGTGCGTCGTCGGAAAGGGCCCAATCTGCTCCTATCTTGCCGAAGTCGCCAGGTACTGATCGCACAGACCCGATGGATATTATCACGCCATCGACGACAGGGAATGTGGATGTTTTCTCTGCAGCGCGTCGACCCGGAGTAAAGACAATGGATGAGAAGAAGGCGATCCTCGGAAGTATGATGGGGAACGTCGATACGCTCGTCGAAGGTGTGAGGAGAGCTGGGATCTGGGGACTCGGCTGAAGTAAGTTATTGGACGACGCACCGTGAAGGCAGGTATATTCCGTGCATCACCTCTCTGTCTTGTTATTTCTTTCCTCACTCGATATTTTCGCCCTTCATACCCTTTGTCACATCGCTCTGCTCACAATCATTCCTCATACCCTCTCCCACATCGGACTCGCTATCTAAATAGACACGCACTTCTCTCTTGTTGTTGTCCTCCAGTGTCTTCGTATCGCTATTATCTCCTCGCTCTTCCCGCTCTTGCTCCCCTACTGTTGTACCCATCTCTTCTTTCAGCCTCCTTCTCTCTCCTCTTGTATGGTCTTTATGCTCAGGTTTAAGCGGGAGTTATGTCCTAGAATCGTTTCCTGTGCGATGCCTTTATATCGCGTGTGCGTGTCTTACCTCTAATTCGGAACTGGACTGCCGCGGGCAAAACCTGCTGAAGGAGAGACACAGGCTAATGGCCCCGACATATGAGAGATTCAACACGCCGTTCTGCGCTAAGCCGAGGATGTGTTCACAAATTCTGCTCAAGAGTTGCGTAGCTTTTCGCGTTCGCCTTTGCGGTGCGAAATATTGCTCAACAAGACGCGTTTGGGGCATACTCAACGATAGGGCTGACTGGACGCCATCTCGATCATCAGATCACTCGGATCAGTACCTTCGGCAGCGCTTGGCGCGCTTTTGATTCCGCGCGTGTACACAATCTCCGGTTCGTTGGCAATATACAACCTCGACATCTCTTCAATGCGGCGTCCATGTTTGTCCAGGGCAGATACGAGATATAGACAGGCTGGGCATCAGCACATGCGCACGTCCTTCGCTCCCACCAAAGCTTATCGCCCTGGGTAGTAAAGCATCCGGTCCGCGGCGCCAGACACCACATGCGCACGACGATTTAGTCTGGTCAGGTGGGAATCCGCCCTAGGTATCCTGCAGGCATATCTTGTTCTCGGACGCCTGACGTTGCGGCCTCTCGCCTTCCTTCCTTGAGCTGTGACGAGAGACAGGGCGGCCTTGCCTTTGTTTTGAGCGATGTCGCGTCTTCCCTTGCCTGAGAACCCGCCTCTTGTTTACGAGCAGTCGCTCGGCAAGGATGTGGCCGTACAGGAGGATGTTAAGCCTATTATCGAAGCGCAGGCGGAGAGAGAAGAGCCTGTCGTTACGAGGAAGGTGAGCAGCGGGTCTTGAGAGGCATATTGGTTTTATCAACTCATGGAGACGTTATGTAGGAGCTTTGGAGTTACTACTGTAAGCAAACAGCTCTCAACGTGTAATGCTTCTCCTCACCTTTAATCTGAAGTGTACTACAATGGTGACAATGTAAGTAACCTACATAGCATATATCCACTGTGGCTGACCTGCTACTATCCAGGGCGTCGGGCCTCTCGGTACGTGTCTCGGGAGAAGATCTTATCTCTGCATCCTCACGCGACCTGCTAGGCTTCTCCATGACACTTTTTCAGTCGCTTGCCACCTCGGCGGGCTACGACCCCGTCAAGGGTCCGGGCTCGTCCTGCACAGCATCTGGCGCATCTGGGCAGTGTGTCCTCCCGTGGGCAGGCGGCACCAAGTCTGTCAACTCAATTGTGCTAGTCGCGACTGGTGTCAGCTTTGCGGTAAGTTTTTTCATGCACCATTAGAGTGAGATCTGACAAGTGAGGCAGGTTATGGCGCTCATGTTCACGACAATTGGCTCAGCAGCGGATTACGGCCGCTTTGGCCGCTGGCTTCTGCTTGTCGTCACTGTCATCTGCTGGGCGTCTCAGTTTGCGAGCATGTCTTTGACGAGTACGTTCCACGTTCTTGTTTCTGTGGTATCCTCGATCGCCCAACCTCTGCGCAGGCCCCGACAGATGGGGTGCAGCCATGGCGCTTTACATGGTCGGCTTCATTTCGTACGGAGCGACACTCGTGTTCTATGCAGCTGCGTTCCCGCGACTTGCTCGTAACACAGCACATTCGCGCGACCTGAAGCGCAAATACGAAGCTGGAGAGATTCCGCGGGAGGTGTACGAGGTCGAAGAGTCCATGGAGAAGAATAGGATTAGTAACATCAGTACGGTAAGTCCGAGACTCAGCTAGAGCTCTGAAGAGAGCTTATGACTGGGTTTGAAGATGCACAGCAATATCGGTTACATTGCGACGTTGTGCTTGAACCTCACGCTGCTGCTCCCGCTGCAGAACAACCCCAAAGTTGACAACTACGTACTCGTCCTGTACGTACGTTATTTCTCTTCCAACAAGTCGTTGCTAATGGAATTTCGTAGCGTTAATGGCTGTATGCGTCTCTTTTCCACTCTTCTACTTTCGCTGACCATTTTACCCAGATTGGATTCTGCTCGGTATATGGTGGTGTATGTGCTCATTCTTCCGTTCCCCATTTTGTCAATATTCATCGTTCGCCTGTAGTCATTTTTCAACAGCCTCGCCCAGGTCCACAGTTGCCCAAGGGTGAACACTATCTCACGATTGGTTGGAAGCAGATCTGGTACGCACTGAAGCAATACAAGAAGCTGCCATACACCTTCATCTATCTATTCGCATTCTTCCTCCTTGCGGACGTACGTGTCTAACTGATACGATGCTTGAGATTTTACACCTCTCAAATCGTTTCTGCAGGGACTGAACACGACCGGTACTCTGGTATCAATATGTCAGAATGACAAGTTCTCGTTCTCTTTCCTGCAGAACACGTACCTCGGCCTTGCACAAGCTATCACGTCGACCGCGAGCACGCTTGGCTTCTGGTATATCCAGAGGTGGTGGAAGATCAGCACTAAGAAGATGGTGGAGTTTTCTGTGCTACTTGACGGAGCGTGCCGCTGAGTCAGCTCTTAGTTCATTGTGACGAATGTCGTTACAATTCTGATACCGCTGTGGGGGATGATTGGCCTTTGGACGAATAAGTTTGGGTTTCACAATGTATGGGAGTTCTGGTATGTCTGCCCTATTTTCTTCCTTAGAAATACGATGCTCAACGCCAAACATAGGGCTTACAACGTTGTATTCGGCCTCTTCCAAGCCCCATACTACGCCTTTTCACAGACTATGATGGCCGAGCTTACGCCTCCAGGTTTCGACAATATGGTTCGCCTCTCCCCGTGAAGTTTCAGTCTCACCAGCAAACGCTGCATAATTTGTAGTTCTTCGGGCTCTTTGGCCTCTCGAATCGCGCCTCGTCGATGATCGGCCCGAACGTCGTCCAGGCGATCATTGATGATACGGGCAACAACTGGAGGGGCTTCCCATTCCTCTTCGCGATGTGCACCGCCGCAAGTCTCATCATCTGGTTCTGTACGTCTCTCCTCCAACTGTTTCATCCCCGTACGGCTGATATGGCGGTACAGTTGTGGATGTGAGGACGGGTAGACGCGACGCTGTGGCATGGGCAGAGAAGAATCGTCTGTATGCCGAGACGGGCATCTTGGCCGAGGACGAGTCGGTGGACGAGAGGGAGTATGGGAAGAGAAGGTAACCAAAGATCGCTCTCAACCGTCACCGTACTGCTTGTTGTCCGGTGTACACCTCTCGCCCGTTGTCCTCCCTTTGCAACGAACGTGTAATTACTTGCCATCTCGCCACATGCAACGTCATGGCTCGTTTTGGCGACAATCAAGATTTGAAGCTGAACGCATTGAAGATGCAGTACTCGTTCATCTCTGCGCTTAGCAGCGCATGAGCTCGCAAGTTCTGCTCGAGAGTTACATGGCTCCTTTCGCTTGCCCATGCGGCGTGAAATATCGTTCAGCGAAGCGTATCTTGAAGGACAATCTCGTCGAAGCAACCCAAATCCAGAACGGCATCATTGGATCATTCGGGTCATTCGGATCGGCACTTGCCAACGCTTGGCGCGCTTTTAATCCCGCGCGTGCACCGTTCTTCATCTCCGTTCGTGGACAACATCGACATCTTCTCAGCAGTGCTACAGACGCTACGTTCATGCCTGTCCGGGGCAGATACGAGATATGGACAGGCCGAGCATCAGCACATGTGCACGTCTGCTGCTCCCACCATGGAAGGCTTCGCCCTGGTGGTGGAGCGATAGTATCGCTTTGGGTGGTAAAGTTATCGCTCTAGGTGATAAAGCTTAGTTGGTAAAGCTATCGCCCTGGGTGGTCAGGCGTCCGGTCTGTGACGCTAGCCGCTGCATGTGGACGACGATATGGTCTGGTCAGGTGGAAATCCGTCTTGGGTATCTTGTGTGTATATCTTGCTCTCAACGCCTGACGTTGCGGCCTTTCCTTTCCTCTCCTTGAATCCGAGACAGGATTTGTCTTTGAGCGATGTCGGATCTTATCCATCTTGAGAACCCGCCTCTGATCTACGAGCAGTCGCTCGGTAAGGATGCAGCAGTACAGGAGCATGTCGTGCCTACTATGGAGGCGCGGGCGGAGAGGGAGGAGCCTGTCGTTACGAGGAAGGTGAGTCGCGGGATCCCAGCGGATTATTGGTTTGTCAGCTCATTGAGACGTTGTGTAGGAACTCTGGAGTTATTACTGTAAGTTAACAGCTACGAGCGTGTTACGCTTCTTCTCATCTTCCACCCAAAGTGTACTACAACGGTGATAATGTAAGTGCCTCACACCGCATATATTCACTAGCATCGCGGCTGATTCACCACCAAGGGCGTCGGGCCTCTCGGTACGTGCTTTCAGAGAACATATTGTTTTCGCATACTTACTCACGCGACCTTTCAGGTTTTTCGATGACGCTTTTTCAGTCGCTTGCCACCTCCGCAGGCTACGACCCCGTCAAAGGTCCGGGCTCGTCCTGCACAGCATCTGGCGCATCTGGCCAGTGCGTCCTTCCATGGGCGGGTGGCACGAAGTCTGTCAACTCAATCGTGCTCGTCGCGACTGGGGTTAGCTTTGCGGTGCGTCTTACACTTCATTATATGTGAAGTGGGGTCTAACGAACGGCACAGGTCATGGCGCTCATGTTTACTACGATCGGCTCTGCAGCAGATTACGGCCGCTTCGGTCGCTGGCTCCTGTTTGTCGTCACCGTGATTTGTTGGGCGTCGCAGTTTGCGAGCATGTCCTTGACGAGTATGTTTCACGCTCCGATCTCCGTATTGTCCCCCGTCGCCTAATTTTTTTGTAGGTCCCGATAAGTGGGGTGCGGCAATGGCGCTTTACATGGTCGGCTTCATTTCGTACGGAGCGACACTCGTGTTCTATGCAGCTGCGTTCCCGCGTCTTGCTCGTAACACGTCGCACTCGCGCGACCTCAAGCGCAAATATGAAGCCAGAGAGATTTCGCGGGAGGTGTACGAGGTCGAAGAGTCCATGGAGAAAAATAGGATCAGTAACATCAGTTCGGTAAGCTTAAAGCCCGGCCAGGGCGCAGAGGGAATCTTATAACTGGGTTTGCAGATGCACAGCGCCGTTGGTTACATTGCCACGTTATGCTTGAACCTCACGTTGCTGCTCCCGCTGCAGAACAACCCCAAAGTTGACAACTACGTACTCGTCCTGTAAGTACAGCATTCCTTTAACCGACAAATCTTTGCTAACGGAAGTCTGTAGTGTCAATGGCTGTATGAATCTTCATTACTCTTCTACCTTCAGCTGACGGCTGTGCCTAGATTGGGTCCTGCTCGGCATATGGTGGTGTACGTATTCCTTCCTTCCTTCCCTGTCCCGCCAATCTCATCGCCCGCCTGTAGTCATCTTCCAACAGCCTCGCCCAGGTCCACAGCTGCCCAAGGGTGAACATTACCTCACGGTTGGCTGGAAGCAAATCTGGTACGCACTGAAGCAGCACAAGAAGCTGCCATACACCTTCGTCTACCTATTCGCATTCTTCCTCCTTGCGGACGTGCGTGTCCGACTTCTACTATTCCCGAGGTTTTACACCTATCAGATTGCCTCTGTAGGGACTGAACACGACCGGTACTCTGGTTTCCATATGCCAGAATGACAAATTCTCGTCCTCATTCCTGCAGAACACGTACCTTGGCCTTGCACAGGCGATCACGTCGGCCGCCAGTACACTCGAGTTCTGGTATGTCCAGAGGTGGCGGAAGATCAGCACTAAGAAGATGGTGAGGTCTTTGTGCTACTATTCGGAGCGCGTCACTAAGTCAGCTGCCAGTTTATTGTGACGAACGTCGTCACGATTTTGATTCCGCTCTGGGGGATGATTGGCCTTTGGACGGATAAGCTTGGATTCCACAATGTCTGGGAGTTCTGGTATGTCTCTCCTGTTCTCTTTATCAACGACCCACTGCTCAACATCAGGCGCAGGGCTTACAACGTTGTATTTGGCCTCTTCCAAGCCCCATACTACGCCTACTCACAGACTATGATGGCCGAGCTTACACCTCCAGGTTTCGACAATATGGTACGCCTCTCCCGTGCAGTCTCAGTCTCCCCAGCAGACGCCGAATAACAAACTGCAGTTCTTCGGGCTCTTTGGTCTCTCGAACCGTGCCTCGTCGATGATTGGCCCAAACGTCGTCCAGGCGATCATCGATGATACGGGGAATAACTGAGGGGTTTCCCATTCCTCTTCGCGATCTGCACCGCCGCTAGCCTCATTATCTGGTTCTGTACGTCCCTCCCCCTCTGATCATTCCGTGACCGCATGGCTCATTGGTATCGTAGCTGTGGACGTGAGAACGGGTAGACGCGACGCTGTGGCATGGGCGGAGAAGAATCGTCGGTTTGCCGAGACAGGCATCTTGGCTGAGGACGAGTCCATGGAAGAGAAGGAGTATGGGAAGAGGAGGTAATTAGGCCTTGTTCTTTTGTAGGGTCCCGAGTCCTGTGTGTATATGCGGATATTCTTTCTCCTTTCTTGCTTTCCTCGCTGTAAAAGTCGTCGACGTTGCATGATAGACGCCGGAATCATATTGGGGGCCGGGGGCCTTTCCTTAATCTCTCCTCTCTTCTCTCGACTACTTCCTCGTGGTTACTACCCAGTCATAGAACGCATTTTTGTTCGCAGCAGCCCAAGCAGTGCCTGAACCCACCGCACCGTGAGTCTCAGCACATCTCTTGTGCGCTCGTTCCCCTTCCCTAACGCTCGCTCCAGATGTCTAGCAAGAACGCGGCAAACGACACCGTCCTCGATCTCCTCATGATCGTGTACGGTTCTTCGAAGGACGACCCGTTGGACGACAGCCGCTTCTGCGGGCACGACCAGCGGCGCGTCGAGGTGCAGCTCGCGCCCGTGATGCCGCCCGAAGTCGCCGCGAGCATGCGCCGGCGGCAGGAGTGGGCGCACGAGCTCTCAGGCCGCGTCACACCCGACCTGAAGCATGGCCAGAGGTGGCACTGCGAGTTCTGCGGTGCGTACCGCGGTTGGTCCAGAGACTGGATGGGTAATGACGAGTGTGAGCAGACAAGCTGGCGCGGGAGTCGTTCGTCCAGAACGTGTCGTGGCTGCACCTCAGCCCGCCGAGGCTCATAATCTACGTACGTGTTCCTGCACACATCCCCGCATGGCGTGCTATGCTGGGGGCGGCGCATATATGCAGGTCCACTTGATGTGCGACACTCAACAAGGCCCGTGCGCTGCGCGACTCCGCGAGGTTGCCGGCATAATGGCGTCGCAGACAGGCCAGCCCAACCTGGTCATGACGATGCCTAATAGGTTTGCGCCCGACCCCGTCTTCCCTGCCGCGGCGAGCTGCTTGAACTGCAAGGGTGAGGAGACAATCAGGAAGAGCTTGAGCCAGTGCGGAGCGTGCAAGCTGGTTAGATATTGCAGGTACGTGCGCACTCTGTGCTGTTCTATGATATCTGGTGTCTAAGGTTGGGATTCGGCAGTACGGCATGTCAGAGGGAGGACTGGGGCCGCCATAAGAAGACGTGCAAAGCCGTGAAGGACGTGAAGTGGATCTGGAAGTGACGGCCTTTTGCTCCCTCATCCTCGTTGTCACCAAATATTTTCCGGCAGATGGTATAACCACATGTACTGTGACTTTAGATTATATATCTTAAGCTTCTCCTGATAAGCAGAGCACTTATGCGGTGTGCCCTCGCAGCATGCGCAGCCAGCATGGAACTTTTAAGGTTGGAGGGAGTGTTGATCATGATACTATAGTGGTTTTCGTTTTGCTTTGCCGTGATCATGTATCTACATTTCCATAGATATCGTGCTGCATTTCTGCTAGCCTTCTTAAAATCCTGGGATTCGATTTTCTCTCTCAGGCCACCTTACAATCGCGGGACGCCACATGGACGGGCGCTGTTGTGAAAGACTTCGCGCAGGCGGAGGATTCACGAGTAATCAAGGATAAATTCCTAAAATAATACTACATGTTCTTATATGGGTTATCTACTTTCTAATCTGGTCAGATCAGTAAACTGTACCTTAGGAAGCTGAGACTAAAAGGAAACATAACGGGGCGCAGAGCCGAGAGTGCTCTGCGCGGGTCATATCTAAAACGGGCATGACAGATCCATATTGGGCATGACGGCCTAAGCGCGTCATGTCGGTATCTCTGGCGGCGCGGCTGAAGCGCATCCGGCGCCTCAGATACTACAACAGGCGCCAAGCAATAAAGCCAAAACGTTTTGCGTGTTGACCAAGTGTTGACCACTGTCTTCTGCTTCATCGCATCTAAGTGGGTACCCCAAACTTTGATTTATATAAATATGATTCATGTCAGTTATAGGCGACAGCGCAGACATGGGCACGCCGAAGTTACCCCTCGAGCTGATCGACCACTGCCTCTCTTACTTGCGTCGGGAGCACCGCGAAGACGAAGCTAGCGCGGACGACACCGCGGTCAGGGACATCGATTCTTGCACTCTGGTCTGCCGCGCATTCAGGCCCCTTGCACAGGCCCACCTCTTTCACCAAATCAGTTATAGTTTTCACACAACGTACAACGACGAGGGCAACTCCGATTCTGGGGGTTCGGTGACGACTGCCGGAGATTTCCCCTCATTATACGAGCTGTCCCGGACTCTCGAGTCATTGCGTGCTTTCCTCACACACTATCCTCGTCTCGCATTTTGCATCCGCGCCGTCACCCTCAACTCCGTTCCTTTACAGTTTGAATGGAGAAACGGCCTTGTCCTGGAGCACAGAGTTGACCAAGCCATGCTCTATTCGCTGCTCAGACTGTTGCCCCGACTACGGAAGCTTTTCCTTAACAATTTCGTACTCAAGGACGTCTGGCAGTCTGTCGACAAGCCGCCTTCAATCCCGATCCTTGTTCTTCACTACGGCAAGTCATACGCACACATCGCTATCAAAGATATCAAGAACCTTATTTCGACTTTTGCGCATATTGGGACCTTGACCCTGTCAAACACCGAACGTCAATGTTTCGAACACTTCGAAGTTCTAACTTCACCGATAACGCACCGCATCGAAATCGAGCATCTCCTGCTTCCTGAGCTGGAACATAGCGCACCTGCTGTTTTTGCAAACATGTTGGCATGCACGGTGCACGTTGACAATGTCCGACGCTTAACTTTACCGTCTCTCAGAGACTCCTTCGCAGGAGTCTATTTCACAACATCGTATCAAGTCATAATTGATACACTAAGTCCTGGCTTAGAGGGCTTGCACTTCGAGATGGATATGCCGCCGTTTGACCTCAGTACGTCTTCGTATCTGAATGACGACATTACCCTAACGTACGCTTTCGCAGATAGAATGACCCCTACCCATCCACTCGACATTCGTTCGTGCACAAAGCTCAGAAAACTTCACCTTCGTCTATCGATCAGCGGCAACAGCGTTCGTGATATCGCGTCTTGGCGTTGGCACGCACGAAGTATCAACGACTTCATCAATCAATCCAACATCTCTGCTTCGACTTACCGCGACCTCCGAGAGCTCGTCATCAGTCTCTGGGTTGACGGTACAGAGAATGAGCAGCGAAATCCCCAGACCCTGATAGATGAACTCCTCGCTTCCCTCGTCCGTCGGTCCACGTTGGAGCACATCACATTCGAATGGTATGAGAAAAGTAATTTATCGAAGGTACTGACAGGGGAAGATTTTGCCGGCTTTGTTTACGCGTCATTCCCCACCTTGCGAGAGAATGATATGATATCTATTCGTGCACCAGCAGAGGACCGCCATTAAGGTCTCGTTGATAACGCAGTGCAGACCAACAATGCGTAGTGATGTTGTGTAATTGTATCAGCAGTAAGACCTGTATTTGAAAATGATTTTTTGGGTCCGCTTTACGTCCAGGTGCGAGGAAAGCAACCGACAATTCAAATCTGTAAAGGATGGTATTGAACAAAGAACAAAATTCAATTTTGTACCGTCTGCAACTCACCATTCTGAGTTCTCGCTGTACTTCTATGATAGCAAGTGCGCGTACATGTACACAAGTGTACGCCTGTGAGTATATGTGCGCGGAAGTGTGCATAAGTGCCAGTAAGTGCATGTACGCGCACGTACGCGCACCTAAGCGCACATACGTGCGCGTAAGTACGCTGGCACCGGTGATCAGTACTCAGTGTTTATGCGAGTTCCAGATTTTTGGCTTGTGCGAGATTGAGTACTATGACGGTGCGAATCTGTGTATTTAAGTGCACGTAAGTATATATACATGTGCGTTGGTGCACATACGTGCACATATGTTCGCGAACGCACACTTACTCGCACTTATGTCAGCGTCTATCTGCCGGCTGACGAGTCTGATTCCGCTCTCTGCGAGTTTTCTCTATTTTCTCTGCCATGCATCGTCGACCATGATACTGATATCTCCGAGAATGCGTTGCACGCAAGTCACAACGACGCACGTGACAAGCGAAGGAGGCAAACCGGACAGATCCAGCGACTCTACACATTCTATGCATAATTTATATATCTTCAACACATTCGGCAAGCTTGCATGTAAAATTTTATTGGAGTTCTGGTGCCCAGCGTGATTGGTGCTCTTGCTCTGATGTATACTTCGCAGTCGTCATGCACGTGGCATGTGACCACTCGTGTTAGCGTGACACCTCCCTCGACTTGTTCTGTACGCCCACAACCTTTCCGAGCCACCACTTCATGCCTCTGCTGCCGGTCATCGTTTCAAAAACATGAGTGCTATAGACTCCTCGCCGCTCCCGATCCCCACCTTCCAGGCCTCGGATCAGCCTTGTCCCAAGGATCTCCTGGACTTCCTCCTTAATTTCATCCAGCTAGCCACGAGTCAGTCGGCGGAGGTGCTCCTCCACAACTCACGCAAAAGATGGCTGTCTGCTTTTGACACTCTGAATAGATCGTTCCTCAAGCCCTTGGAACTTCCCGATGAATTTGAGTGGCACATGCTTCATGAGCGGACCAAGCTATTCGAGGTCACCTTCGAACTATTCTGCCTTCTGACAACACGCTGTGGCGAGGTACTCTCTTACCAAGAAGACCTCACCAAGAGTATGCTCTGCAAGCTGCTGGACGTGGCCTCGAGTCTTGAGATTTGGTTGGATGTTCCGGACGTACCGGTGAAAGAAGGTTTTCCGAGCCCAGAGAAGCTTTATGCAGACTGCATGAAGACCATGACCGCGATGCTTCAGGCTTTAGCAGGGAGCGCCAAGATTGATCACGCGGGCAAGCCGGGATGGCAGATACTGAAGAGTATTGGAGAGGAATGTCTCGCGGTCTGCTCAGGTATGCCTCAATTTCTACCTACATGTCGAATCTTGACGGCCTCCGCAGATATTATGGCAGCGCCTCCTGATGCCACATACTATATTTGCTTGTTTATGCTCCCAAGGATACGTATGGACCGTCCATCACACCCTGCAGTCGCAGAGTCAGCGACACGACCCAAAAATGTTGTAAGGCTCAAGGTAGGGACAAGTCCTTACTAATACATTACTCTTCCGGTTTACTAAGTCGATCCGTGCAGAACTACTTGGACCACGCGTTCATCTGTGTGCGCAGCTCAGCTCAGACACCTCTGATGTTGACGCTGCTCTTAGAGCTTCTGCTGAACGCTCTTGACACGCGTAACCTCGACCAAACCTTCATGAAGTCTTTGACGATCCATGCCACTGAGATGGCTCATCAACTTCACAATTTTTTGGTATCTCCAGCATGCCTCACCTCCGACGCCAAGCGGGCCAGAGCGATCGGTCGGCTCGTTACCGCAATCAGCACCAGTCTGCGGTCTCTGGCGCCATTCAATTCGATTGCAGACCCTATGCGTCTGCATTTGCTGATGCGTAGATTGAATGATGGGCCCAGCGATGCTTGGGCGAAGCCAGATGTACTCTTAATTGGAGCGTTCTCCACACCATTTACGAAACCTCCCGTTCGCGTAGACGTCCACTCCGTGCTCACTTTGCTCAAGGAGGAGCAGTGGGGAGACGACGGCTGTAATCTGAGAGTAAGTAGTCTTTGGACAAACCGAGTTTCCTGCTGAATGCATATACGCATAGGCTCTCGCCTCCGCATACCTACAGACGACTGTCAGCTCTCTGGACGACGAGACTGTTCAGGAAATTGCGGAATATGTCGACCAAAAAGCTGGGAATGCGAGCTATGCTGACCTGGCTCAGGCTCTAGTGCAGCGCAAGAGAGGTCTCGCAGTGCAGGACGTGAAAGCGCCAGACGGCACGTATGATTGGCGGCGCCATGTCAAACAGATCGTCTATGCCATCATTCAACCGGCCGAGCTTGACTGGATGGATGACGATGACAACACGAACGGTTTGCAGTACATTACGAGGGCCCTTCGAGAAGTGGAAAAGCGATTTGGGTACGGATTTTTTTTTGTCTCGGGTGATTATACGCGCTCACATCCCACCTACCAGGGTCATATACAATCCATCCGCCTCTGCGCGTCTCGTTCTTCTGCAGCAGCTGGCTCGCTTGCCCTGCGCACTCACACGACATGCGGATGCTATATGCCACTCGACCCAAACAGGCCTCACCGTCGACTCGCTGAGAGCTTGCATGTCGGTCCTAGGCTGCGCGATGGATGGCACAGATCGCGAAGTCACCGCTGCCGTGCGCAAAGCGGCCTACAACGCGCTTGTGCGAACTCTTCGCCACCAGCCCTCCACCCACACCAGCGCGGGACTCGACCATGCTGCTGATTTCGCATTGAGCGGCATGAAGGATGCTGATCGAAATGTACGCATCAGTGCTGGGTGAGCATTTGTGTTTTTTGTTCTGTGCAAATGCTCATTGTAGTTGTAGACGTTGTGCTGTAGAGCTCGTTAATATATATCTGCGTCTCGAGAACAGTTCCCAAGAACGCGTAGACCCTTTGTTCGGTATGATCAACGAAGTGCTGGGAACAGGACAAGATCGCTGGAAAGAGACAACGTTGATTTCTCTCGGACATATGGCCAGGTGCGTTTGAGGATAGGCAAGAGTAATGAGAACGACGCTCACTGTTAGCTAGGACATCGTCACCTTATGTGCTCGGCAAAGTGCTGTTCTGTATTGTAGCACAGCTTGGACATTCCAATCCGGTCATAAGAGGTGTCGCATCTATGCAGGCAAGTCAACATACGGCTGCGATCTTCTCTGGTACTCACCGTTCAGCAGCTCTCGGCGGCAGCCAAGCATCATAAGAAGGCAACATACAATCTCTTGGCACCATACCTGGAGACAATCGCTCCCTTTGTTGTTGGCCGGCTCAAGACCCATCCGACTACCCTGCTCGAAGTGTGCAACTTCGTGTCATCCACCCCACCTGCATTCCTATCTGTGACACTGCCCTATACGCTTCCAGGACTCTTCGCCAGCCGTGACAGGGAGACCTTAGATATCCTCGCAAGGGAACTGGGCACCAGTATCGGGCAGATGCTTGTGGAGCACGGATACAAAATTCTGCCACATGTCTTCCTCTTGTCGAAACCTGGACAGACATCTCGCGCCATGACCTTTATGGTTAGCTTCTTTGGAAAAAAGCTTTCGGGAACCCCACAGACTCTCATTAGCGCCCATATTATCGATACCGCTAGTCAGATTATCTTGAACATGGGAGACCAAGATCCAGCTACCGTATTCACTGTAAGGGGCATCTTGGCACCCTGATAACGTTGCTAACTTCTGAGTAAGGCGAAGCAGGGTCTCATGAAGATGCAGCAATATCTCGATAACAACTTCTATGACACTCCGGAAGAGGCTGTAAGGGTCTGCTTGGACTCGCAATTCTTGGGTGTCATCCACCGATTTAATGATACGCTGCAAGCGTCTCATACGCGATATACCTCTGAGGATAAATGCAAGACGATTAGAGCTCTCAGCGCGATCATCGAAGTGGTTGGACATGGCGTCGTCGTATTCGCACCCCAGGTATGTTTAATATGCTACGAGATCGATTTCTTCTCATCTTTCGACAGATTATGGCCACCATGCAAACTGCGCTCACACTTCCTGGTCTCGCCGAGACAACACTGAAGACTTGGGACACGTTCTTTCGTATCTCAAAAAGGGAGGATCTCAGTGGCTACGTAAGAGCGACCAGCGCGGCATTTGTCTCTGCCTGGCCGAAGTTCTCGCTAGAAGCCAAGGAACTCGCCACCAAGTGTCTCGAGTACATTCTATCACATGCCGATGGCGGAAACGCATACAAGCACGACATCGTCGACTTGTCATCTATCCCGGAGCTGCATCGCATCTGGCAGCGCGTACTAGAGTCTCGTGCAGAGATGACGCCACATGCTCGGCTCATGATGCTACTGGATCGCATCACTAGTGATAACGCGGCGGTCATTCTGCTTGCACTGCAGGAGCTCAAGGCATTCCTACTCGAAGACGACGAGCGATTCATCAGGGGCCTTACCTCTGGGGACATGTTTGACCCTGTCGTCGGCAAGATTCTCCCAGCCCTGTTCTCGATCGCAGCCAAGGATCATGAAGGGTCCGACAGCATGCGGCTTCTTGCCTTGGAGTGTGTCGGTATTTGCGGCGCTGTTGACCCCGACCGGTTCGAATGCGATGTGCAAGACGGCCGTATGATTGTAAAGACCAACTTCGAGGACGAAGAGGAGTCTGTCGCCTTTGCGCTGCACCTCATCAAAGACATGCTTGTCGGTGCATTTCGTTCAACCTACGACATCAACTACCAGAACATCCTGGCCTACCTCATCCAGGAGCTGACCAAATTCTGCCGGTTCAACCGTTCACTGGTGAATTCGGGCGCGACCGGCTCCCTACCTATCAAGGTTCGCAATCGGTGGAAGGAGCTGCCTAGGTCCGTGAGGGACGTTGTAGGCCCTCTCCTGGATGGCAAGTGGATGTTCTCTAACGAACCGTTCGACCCGGTTCAGCCACCAATCTATGCCACGCAATCTACATACCGCGAGTGGCTGCAGGTGTGGACACGCCATCTCATCTACCGCGTTACGGGCAAACAAGCGCAGCAGATATTTTCGCCATTTCATCCAATCCTCCAACATCTCATCAAGGATGTTGGTGTCGCGCATCACATTTTTCCCCACCTTGTACTGAATGTTCTACTTTCCGGGAACGAAGAACACGTTCGAGATATTCGCGCAGAGATCCTTGCTGTGCTCGAAAATCAGGTCAACCCTGATAGTGCATCCACTATTGAGAAACGAGAACTATGTGCCCAGGTAAGCCACTCGTTCTTCAAGCTGCATGTGCTGGCTAAAGCAAAGTCCACAGGCCATTTTCATGCTTATGGACCACCTGAACCGCTGGATTCACTCCATGCGCCAAGAGGCGACGGTCAAATATCGCAAGAAGGTTAATGCTGGACTTTCCGCGGAGGAAATGCAAGTTCTTCAAGTCGAGTCGATCCTCACGAGTATCGACCGCAGCTTGATTGCTAAGGCGGCTCTACGGTGCAAAGCTTACGCTCGCGCGCTCATGTGCTTCGAACAGCAAGTCTTGGACATGAAAGACATTGACGATCAGGCGGACACGAAGGTCACTGCTTACGAAACTCTGCACGAGATCTACGCCCAACTAGACGAGCCGGATGGTATGGAGGGTATATCCACCTTGATTCTAAGCCCATCGTTGGAAAATCAAATTCGGGAGCACGAAAGCACAGGTCGGTGGACATCGGCTCAAAGCTGCTGGGAAGTTCGGCTCCAACAGTCACCGAACGATCTCAAGTCCCACCTCGGTCTATTGAGGTGCCTGCGGAACCTCGGACATTATGGTAAGAATCCTCTACTTCGTCTCTGGAGCAGATATTAATGGTGCTATTCAAGACACTATGCGCACCCACGTCGAAGGCTTGCTCGTCCGTAATCCAACCTGGCAAGCGGACTTGATCGACTACCAAGTCGAGAGTGGTTGCATAATCGGTGATTGGCCCATCGTTCAATCCCTTGTTGAGAATACGAGTCAAGAGACCTCACCCATCCTACTTGCCCGCGTCCTCTTGGCCATGCGCTCCGGGGAGGAGGATGCCGTCCAGAGCGCTTTGTGGACGGCCCGTAGGGTTCTCGGTGCTCCAATCGCTGCTGCCGGCGTGAGAGGGTATCGGCATTCCTACCCTGCAGTTCTGGACTTGCACATGTTGCACGAGCTGCAGACCATCTACGATCAGGGGCATGCCTGCAATGCACAACGAGACTCTGACGAGAGCCTTGATAGCCTGCAGCATCGCCTCACAGAAAGGCTGGATTCTACCCTCTCGTCTTTCCGTTACCGCGAACCAGTCCTGAGCACTCGACGAACGGTCTTGGGCCTACAGTAAGTAGCTTCCTTCTGTATATCAACTCGCTCGCTGACATACGGATTAAATAGGATTGGACAAAGTCCGCGCTTCAAGGAAGTAATCGGGCGATCATGGCTCTTGACCGCTCGACTAGCAAGAAAGGCTGGGTATAAGCAGACCGCATACAGCGCTCTACTTCAGGCACAACAATTGGACGCTCCGTTCTGGTTTGTGCAGGGTGCCAAATTGGCGAAAGCCATGGGGGATCCCTTAAGGGCTCTGCAAGAGGTTGAGAATTGGCTAGGACGAATGAAGAGGGCCCCCATACCGATGACTCAAGGACAGTCTGCTGAGCTGAGTATCGTGAAAGCGAAGGTTAGAGTCGTTCATTCTGGCGACAGGTCTGAAGCTGACTGTCAGATGCTAGGTCACAACTTTGCGTGCTCGGTGGTTGGCTGAGTTGGATCGCCATGACCGGCAAATTGTCCTCGAGATCTTCAAGGAAGGCGCGACTTTGATGGAGAGGTCGGTGATACCTATTTCTAGTCGTACATTTTGCTGAAGTGGCGCAGTCGCGAGAGTGGATGGTTCTACTGTGGCCGATTCCATGATGAATGCGCGAAGAGCCTTCCGCAAAAGTCAAAAGGCGATAAGCAAGCAACGTGGGAACTCACTCTGCATCAACGCCTGGTCATGAACCAGCAGACAGTCAAGGATCTCTTGCAAGCATGCGAGACTGGCTCCAAGTATATTAACCAGGCGCTTCCCCGTCTCTTGACATTATTCCTGAATGTTGGGGATGACGACGAAGCAGCTTACCAGTCCAGTCAGTTTAAGACGATGACGAAGCTGATGGTCAAGGCAATCAGGACGATACCTATGTATAAGGTGTGTCCGCATCAGTTCGTTTGCCAAACCAATGCTCTACAATCGCCTTCTGTTTTTAGTGGTACACTGCCTTCCCACAAATAGTGTCGCGGATTGGTCACCCCCAGGGAGAGACATATGGGTTTCTGAAGGAGCTAATTCGGCAGGTGATACAGCAACATCCGAACCAGGCCCTCTGGCAGTTCACGTCTGTCCTGCAGTCGAAGCAGGGGGACCGGAGAGTGCGCGCCGAGCAAATTCTCAAAAAGCTCAAAGTAAGTGATATTGTTGGGCATATGGCACTGACTCACGCTGTCCTTCAGAATCCTGGCGCAGCCAACGGCATAGCGGGTTTGGTAGAGGCCAATATCCGTTTGATGACACAACTCTTGAAGCTGTGCGAGCGTTCTTTGCCTGACCACAAGAAGACGTTCTCGATGCGTCAAAACTTTAGCTTCCTTGCAAACGTGGTGCCTTCACCATGCATCATCCCTCTTCAAGAGTCCCTCATCGCCACTATGCCGACCTCTCCTTCGGCTGATGCTGAACACCAACCGTTCCCTGTTGATGCTCCGACGTTTCATCGTGAGTTCAGGAAGGCTGGCTAATGATGCTCACTCATCTCATGTGGCCCTTTCAGAATTTTCGGATGATGTGGAGATTATGCCCTCCCTGGCCAAGCCCCGCAAAATCACTATCATGGGAACCGATGGACGACAATACAATTTTCTGGGAAAACCTAAGGACGACCTTCGCAAGGACGCTCGAATCATGGATTTCAATGCAATTATCAACAAGCAGTTGAAGGCCAATGCGAACACGCGTCGCAGACAGCTTTGCAAGCCGTCATTCCCTACCTTGGGTAAATTCAGACTGATCTGAGTTTTTTAAAAAATGTAGACATCCGAACGTACGGCGTCGTCACCTTGAACGAGGAGTGCGGTTTCATTCAATGGGTACCAAACACTGTTCCCGTGCGGACGGCGCTGACCAATGCATACAACCCTCATGGCATGCCAATATGGGTAAGCGACCTGCCGCTTTATTGCTGTTCATGTCTACCGCGGTATAACAGAAGAAGCACAGGGTGAGAAGCTCAAGAAGAGTTTTGACAAGCTCGGCGCTGTACGGACAGACAGGGAAGCCGCTGAGATATTCAAGAGAGAAGTGCTTTCGGAGTGAGTAGATGACCTGCCCTCCGCTTGCTAAGATCTGGTAGCTTATAATAAACCTAGGTTCCCACCGGTTCTGCATGAATGGTTTCTTCAGATGTTCCCAGAGCCCACTGCTTGGTTATCTAGCAAGCTAGCTTACACGCGCACGTCCGCCGTCATGTGTATGGTCGGGTTCATCCTAGGGTGCGTCGCTTCCTGCTGTTCGTAAACCAAGTTGTTAATTGCTAACGTGCTGATCTCCAGAATGGGCGACAGACACACTGAGAACTTGCTCTTGGATACACGCACAGGCGATATAGTGCATGTCGACTTCAATTGCTTGTTCGAGAAGGTGGGACAGCGACTCCTCTGGAGCGAAGGTCAGCTGACACCACCGTCTAAAGGGTAAGACGTTAGCAACCCCGGAGCGAGTGCCGTTCAGATTGACCCAAAACTTCGTCGATGGATTCGGCGTCACTGGCATTGAGGGTGTCTTTCGCATTGCTTGTGAACTCGCGATGCAGACGCTGCGCGACAATAAGGAGTGTCTCATGATAATTCTGGATGCATTTATCCACGACCCGCTCGTCGAGTGGCAGGACATCAAGAGGCAGCGGGATCTGCAGGACAGGCGAGGGGGGCAGAAGATGGAGAATGCCGTCAAGGACAACACAGACCTGGAGATGCTCGCGCGGAATGCGCTCGGTGTCATCTCAAAGAAGTTGCAGGGCATCTACTCCATCAGCCACGAGAAGCTGTCCGAGAGAGAGATCCCAACAAGTAGCCTCGTGGAAATGCTGATTACGGAGGCGACGGACTTGAGGAACTTGGTCAGTAGATTTGCCTTTACATGTTCACGAAAAGTCTAATGGTTGGTGCAGTCGAAGATGTATGCAGGCTGGAGTCCGCATCTCTGATTATACTCAGCTACTTGCCAGTGCCACTATCCTTTCACCATCCGCAAGATTGCTGTATCGATAGACCGCATACACCACGCACCGTGTACTAGTAGAATTTCTCGCCTCATGATACCCGTTGTGTAACACACGAAGAGAGGGACAACAAAGAACTAGGCCTCGGTTAACTGCCTCTGCAAGCGCGCGAGCTCCTTCTCTTTCTCGATGAGAATTTGACGCCATTTATCCTGCTCGGCTATGATAGCTTTTCGCGCGTTCTCCAATCTCTCAGTCTCCTCACGTTCCATCTCCTGCGTGAACTCGGGCACACCGCCCTTGGATGCCTCAAGCGATGCGGGATTTGCAACATGAAAAGGTACTGGTCGCCGTTTATTCTTGGGCAGCGGGGTTGGCGGGTGTGCAGTGAGGATGCTGAGGAAGGTTTGGAAGGGGTCGTTGAAGACAATCTCGTCGTACTGCCACGAGTGAACTGGACCCATCTTCGCTGCAACGTCCAGAGGTGGTGGGGGCTGCTCGGGTTCCCCAATTGCTGTCCATGGATGTAGCTTCAGGTGATGGTAGAGGATGATTGCTTTCTCGCCAGACTCGGCGACGAAATTTATGCGAATCTGTACCTCGAATTCACCCCACCTGCGACGTTGCGTCAGGACAAACACTAGTAGCTGCAATGAGCGGATCGCTCACCCAGTCTCAGATAGTTCGAAGGGCGCCTTGTCAACATCTGTCCGACTAGTCAGGCCAATGCTTCAAGAGGGTGCGAAGGTACACACTTCGCGTTGGATTGACGTAGGTATCGTGCAGCTTGAATGTGACACGCTTTATAAAATAACTTAGATCGTCCGCACCTCCGACAATGTCAGAGTCCGATACAGTAGCTGCACTCCGCACCGCAACGGTCCATCGGTGGGTGTGATCAGGATATTGTAGCGTCTCTCGCTCTTTCTGCGTGAGGACGACCGCCGTATTTCCATAAATTATGGGGCGGTATATACTGACTCCCTGGTCCATAGTGAATGAAGATGTTCATAGCAACAAATTTTAAGACAATATTGAGGGACATACTCGCACCCGGACCCGTTCATTGGACATCGACAGAGTCGAAATGGCCGTTCGAGGCAAGTCGAGCCGGCGTTGCTGCCGCGTCGGAGGGAGACGGCTTCAAGCGCCAAAACACTCCTTTCACACTCTCTGCACATCCCACTCACTACACTTACCGAAGTTCACGATGCTCGACTTCCTTGTCAACCGTGCGTGGCCTTGCAATACTATCGTCAAACACTAAGCAGAAATGTACGATTTTTTCAGGTCCTAATCACATCTACGAGAAGCAGAAGCTGGTGCAGGTATGTTCACCCCAGTACTCCTGACCATTATTATAATCCCTGAACCTCGCCCGGTAGCACTCGACTGCGCCTCCTCACCTTGTCCTCCCCCGCTCGCGTCTCTACGTTAGTGCGTGATGACTCCTTGTTACCACCCTCTACAGGCACGCTGACGCCAGGTCGTAGACACCTACTACGCGCTCTTCACAGCAGGCATGCTCGGTGTCGTCTACTCTTCGTACCATATGATCAGAGTACGTGTTCCAAGCTATGTGTCTGCGTCGCTGGCTCAATATATCCTGTGACTAGGGCAAGAAGACCGGGTAAAGTTATATACCTAGAGTGGAAACAATGCATGTTACTGCTGCACAACGGTACCACCATATCTCGTATCAGAGCAGACCTTTCGTACATGAACTGAACAACATATCTGCAATGAAATCCTATCTCGTTGCCCTCAGTATATCCTGCGTGAATCGAGCCCGTTTGTTGTGCTCTCCACGTCCTCAGTTGCAACAGAATGGCTGTTCTTGAGTTTGTGGCTTCTGTACTGCCATTAAGTAGTTATACGACTGAGTGTGAAATGATCACTGTGTGCTTGCCTATAAACCTAAATCTGCAAATGGTCCGGGAGAGAACCTCCCGCACGCATATTGCACTCGAGACGCCCATAGGACAACTTGCACTGCGCCCACCACTTCCGCGTACAAAATGGCGGACCAGTACGTCGATAAGAAGACCGTGAACTCGTCATACAGACCCAAAAGCAACGTGAGCACCGTTCGACACTCTCCACGATTCCGAGCTCATCCGACGTGAGTGCAGCAAATGTCTCCAGGCCTAAAGCGAGCGCGGCAGCCCTTCTTCCTACGCAATACCATCACCGGTGTCGTCCTCGCGTCTTTCGCCGTCGGCGTGTGGGCGTACTCTATTGGTGCCGTCAAACAAGATGACTTCACCGATGTCGACGAGGAGGCACGCGCCCTTGCGCGGTCGGGAGCCTCCGCCGTGCAGGCCGCCGTCACCGATGCGGAGAAGAAGGCAGTCGAGCGTACGGAAGCTGCTGCCCCTGGTACTGGAGTCGCGCCGCCTGTCGAGCCTGCGGGCGGTGTGATTGCCACCTCTGCGACTCCGATACCTGTGGCATCCGCCCAGCTGACACGCCCGCGGGGCGTGCTGGCGTCCCTCGTGCACGATCGGCACCCAAACTTGCTAGACCCGACGACGAAGACGTTTATTTGGGGAGCACCATCCGTAGATAGGATAGGGAGATTGGGCGAGCCGTCACCAATTTCGCAGCGCAAGTAGTATTCCGACTGAAGTTGGCATTAAAAAGTATCTATCTCATAACACATACCCTCGGAGTGCAATAACATAATCCATTTGTCGTAACAAACTGGGTAGCAAGTACTGGTACGCAAGATAACAGGAAGAAACACTCTGAGACCACAGTCGAGTGGTCGTCAAGGATGGAAACTATAGTACAAGGGACTAGTGAACAAATCGTAACCGTCGACTGATCCACCTGGGTAATCTAGAAGCTGGGCCCATACGCTGCCTCTTCACACCAGAGCGGGCTGACCAGCGAAGTCTGCTGAGTACATCCGGCACGAGTCTGAAGGGGGACCGTAGGTCCTCAGATGTCCTGAGACACAGGCTGCCTACGCAGAGTCAGCATCAGTGACTAACTTTCGGCGAAAAAGACCATGGACATCACTCACGGAACATATACGCCCATCTTCTGCAGGCCTTCCTTCGCGGCCTCGTTCCTGGCGGCCTTCTTCGTGTTGCCACGACCGCGGCCAAGGCACTCCTGATCGACCATCGCGCGGACAATCCACACGGGCGTCGTGCGCGTGCCTTCGCCGGCACTGTCCTTGTACACCCATTCGACGACTATGTTCTTCTGCTGCAAGTACTGATTGAAGAGCGAGAGATGCCCGATGCTGGGCGAGACCCGCGACGGCGCGCCGAGAGAGCGGTCTGTGCGCGTGGGGCTTGGCTCTGGGTCAGGGGAGAGGCCGTGCTCGATGCGGACGACGCGATAGGCTTCGCTGAGCCACGGGCGGAAGAGCGCGCGCATCCATCTCTTGATGTCCTCGAGTCCGACCATGCCGCGGTCCATGTACAGGCCGCCGACATAGGCCTGTGGTACCTGACATCAGGAGAAAACTTCGACTTGTGACATAGATAAACACACCTCGAAGAGGTTGGCTGTGAAACGATGGTCGACTTGATAAGGTTATGCGTCCACCTGTATATCTGGGGTACTCACCTTGTATGTTGTGGGAAGCCTTCAATGCGATCTCCTGAGCATGGTGGCACACCAGGCGGTCGTTGAGTCCGTACATGCGTGTACTACAAAGGCTGTCAGAGTGCTGATTGTGGGTGAGTGGGCCGCAAGCGTACATGGTAGCCAAGTTCTGGTTGCCGACGACTAGGGATCGCATTTTCTTTATTGCGGCAGACATCAGAACGGCATCCCTCGGTCTGGCGGACGGCTTACAGTAGACGGACCCACACGCACGTGTGGGTAAATTTCCTGGATGAGCTCCGTAACGACCATGTTGAGGACCGTGTCCCCGAGATGCTCCAAGCTGCCGTAAGCGTTCATTAGCTTCGATGTGCAGGTTAAACCGAGGCACACGTACGCTTCGTTGTCGGGGCTAGGATCATCGGGCGAATCCTCGAAGACGTTCGTAGGCCGAGCATAGTAGCTGCGGTGCATGAACACCTGTCGACGTAGCTCCTCCGTAAAGATGTCGGGCAGCGGAGGCAACGACTGCGGCTCGATATGCGGCCTATGAGAACAACAGTTAGCGAATACCACGGACAAAGAGCGACGACCTACGAGAGGCATGGCTTCTTCTGCACTCTGCCAACGGACAAGTAAGCACATAGTCCTCCACCATGAGACAAAGCGCACACCTTCCCATGGCGGTTGCTGTCAGGAACATAGGGAGGTCAGAACTATCTGAGAGGAAGAGGGGGACACCCCAGTATCGTTGGGAGATTGGGGCCTGCCATGCTGTACAGGACTGCGCTAGCTTTATACTTTCCTGCTGAGGATGATCTTCCTCAGATGAAGCTGAGCTTGTTGACTTGGATCTCCGAGGCATATGCAAAGTGTACGATGGGTGATGTGCACGGCTGAGCTTGCGGAAGCGGCGAGCGGCAGTCGCGGTGCGTGCGAGAGGAACGAATAGGAACGATCCGGGATCCCTGTATTTCGTGCGGAGACTGTAGGAGGAAGAACCTTGGAAGATTGTCAGCTTACGTCGACTCGGCGGCTCAGACGGGCAGTCTGCATTCCTCCCCTGTGAGATGGGAAGTTGTGAAGATGGCAGCGAGACGCCGCGGGCGTCATGAACAGCGACCCTGAGTGCAATGCACAGTACGCCTCGGGAACACGGCGGAAATCCAGATAGACAGTGGAAGAACATATCTATATACAATGGCGAGAAGAAAAGACCGGAGCTAAGGGCATGACACTGACGATACACATCTCGAGACACATTTGACTCATGCGGCAGCGACTTCCGTCGCAGTTGACAGACTATCATTCTGCTGTTGCTCCCGTTGCTCCTTCAACTGCAAACTCATATTTCAGATCACGAATGCAAAGACACAAGATGAACATACCTTTTTCTCTGCCGCTGCCTTCATTGTGAAGTAGTCCTTGTGCAGACCGCATTCAGTCTTCTCTGCCTTATTCGCCCATCGTCCAGCGCGCTCTCCTGCGTCGCCTTCGCTGCTCTTCACCGTACTGTGCCAGTCGCCGACGCTGCGGTAGCCCTGGTCGAGTAGCTTGTTTCGTGGGACATTATTTTCCTTTATGTACCACTCCACGAGGTGAAAGTTCCACTCGAACAGCGGATTAAGTTTGAGAAGTCCTGTACCGTCTATCTCGAGGGGCTGCAGGTTTGCACGGTCGCCTCCTTGTGAGGCGCGGCGGCCAGTAATAACGGCCCTCACGTCAAGCTCTTCGTACGCACGACGAGCTGGTTCGACCTGTCAAAATCGTAGTTAGCAAACATACAACACAATGTATGGGACGAAGAAGTACATACTTTTACTGAGAAGTCGTAAAGCTCTTCGTCCCGCTCCCAAAGCTTCTCCCCAAACTTTTTCTCAAAGTCCTGCACTGTCTCGCACCCATCGGGCTTGTAAACGTGGAGGGGACAGTTGTACTTCTTCCTAACGTCCTCCACCAGCTCATACGTCTCCTGGAAGTGGTACAGGGTGTCGATGAAGATGAGAGGCGGAGGGTTGGGCGTGATCTTCGAGAGCATGTCGATGGCCACGAGGCCAGTGAGGCCGAACGCGGTGGTTTGATAGAGACCAGGGACGTGCTCGATAGCCCATCGTAGTATATCCTCTGGCACAAGAGGGCGAAGGTAGTCGTTGATGCAGTCGAGCTCCTCTTGTGAGAGGGGGAGCTTCAGAGGCTTGTCGAAAGTCGGCGAGAGAGTCTCAACGGCCATGATGCAGAAGTTAGCGTTCGGTAGGATATAAAGTATGCTCGCCCGGAGGGTTTGCAGCGTCGAAGTGCCGTTAGTTAACAAGCAAAAGCCACATTGTGTATATAAGTCGGAGGCAAGTCGAGCAGATCAGATTCCTTGCCTTGGTTGCACCGTCTTTGCACCATGCTGACACCATCGGTTCGCGCACAACGCCTGATTCAGCGGGGGTATTCCCACCAATTTTCCATTTGAAGGCACGAGACTACACAAATGACTGGCAAAGTATAGTGGACTTAGGAGTATCTGGAATTCAGGGACAGGCCGGACAGGTGTGATGCTGTGATGGTCGTGGTAATGGTCGAAAGTGAAGGCAATAGTGCGGGAACGTCGACGCCCTTCTCACGTTCGTTTACTCTGTGTTCCCATAGGCACATGTCCATACAGCTATCTGAAATTACGGGTACATCGAAGTGGGGAGAGTTGATTATCACTGTCATACCTATAACAGAGAACGACTAACGAAGTAACCAAGCATTACAAGATGCCTTAACGGTGTCAGCTTAGCCAGACTACATATGACTAAGGATGGCTTGGCCCAACAGCGACAGCGATCTGGAAGTGTTCTATGGAGTTGCTTCGTCTACATGACAGTGAAAGTCAGCCAGAAGCGAATGAGATGCACGGGTATTTGGTTAGCTGCTTGAGCATGCCACTCCGATTGCAAATTACGACCATCATCCAGCCTGTAACGTCTGTCGCGTGCCAGGCGGTTGCTATCCACGGGGATAGAAACGCAGCTCCAGTCTCGCCGACGGCTGTCTAGTCTAGTGCTTAATTTCGTCCCGGCATGCCACAAGCTAGAAGCGTAACCGGCCTGAGACTCACTGTATGACAATATGCGTTTAATCGGCAAGTCTACCTCAAGCGTTTTGGCCATGGAACTTGCGCAAGCCTCTATTGGTTTCTAGCTGTAATTCGCAGAACCGTTAAACAAAGGCCTTCTAGTAGTGGGTGCAAAGCGGAAGAGTAAGACTTCTGTGGTGAGAACCCCAACAGATGCTCTCGTCTAACACGAGGCAACCCAATAGAGCGTTAGGCCCGCACGGTAACTCTTTATCCTGAAGGTCGCGATGTGCGTGCCCGGCTTCAGATCGTTTACTGGAGACATGACGGTTAAGACGGAAGGTGTAAGTGACCTTGATTACTTACTCCGTCACATAGTTAAGCTCTATTTCTTATCTCTTGTCACGCTCAGTAACTGAAAGCGTTTCGGCGCTTAATACGTTCATTACTGGTTCTTTACTCCCTGCTTACCGCTGTGGCCTGAGAGGGTATCGACTTGTTACCGAAACGTTTAACAAATGCAGCGCACTGGGAGTAGCGTGAAAGTCCTCGAAGAGGCACCACCACCACCGCTTCAATCACAACCTGAGCCGGTCATGGCCAGTGCGATACCACGCAAGATGGAGAACGCGGGTGGGCGAGAGTACAAGTACTTCACAGAGATCTCGCAGATGATGTTCGTCTTCGGTGAGGTGCAGGATCCCCTGCCGGAGACAGTGAACCTGGTGGAAGATATCGTCCGGAGTCAGATTATTGAGCTGGTGAGTGCGCCGTTCTGTGCAAGAGTCCACGGCGTACTCACCCTCAGCAGATTGTCCAAGCTCGGTTAGCGGCCGGGAAGCGTGGAGCACGCTACCTCTCCGCTGAGGACTTGATATTTCTCATTCGGCATGACAGAGCGAAGGTAAACAGACTACGGACATACCTGTCATGGAAGGACGTGCGGAAGCATGCGAAGGATTCTGGTGGCGATGGGGCTGGGGCTGAAGTGGATATTAACCCGGAAGACGGTACGGATGGTGCGTGTAATCCTGTATATTTCTATGCGATATCCATGACCGAGCCCCCCGCCCCAGACAAGCTGGCCGCCAAAGCTCAGAAGATTACCATTAAGCTACCTTGGGAGATAGCGACTATGTTCTCGGACGTCCTACCTCCGGATGATGAGGAAGACGAGGATGATCTCGAAGCCCATGAGGCTTCCTTAGCGCGACTGAAGGTAGATGCTCTGAAGACATGCTAGAGTTCCCTATGCTGAAGATCATACAGGAAGCAGACGAGACGACAAAGCAGATGACCCGGGAAGAGTACCAGCACTACTCTGACTGTCGACAAGCCTCCTTTACATATCGGAAAGGTAAGCGAACGTGCGCTCTCATAATACTACGTCATCTTGATTCTCCGCCCTAGCCAAACGTTTCAGGGAGTTCCTCAACCTCCCGCCCGCGCTGGACCTCAAAGCCAACGACGATACCATCGACATCGTCGGCTTCCTCGCCTTTGAGATGGTGCGCTCACTCACTCTAGCGGGTCTGGAGGTGAAGAAGTCTCTCGAGGAGTCGTACCTCTGCGAGGATATCTATGCGAACTCGTCCCCTATGCTCGGGAAGCGAAAGCATCCAGGGGGACTCGGTGGCGACGCTAAGCGCATGCGGAGGGAAGAGTCTGAAGAGGTCGAAGACTCGCCATTGCCGGCATGCTCACTCTTTGTTGCACCACAAGAGGCGCGGACATCCCTACGTCCAGAGCATATTCAAGACGCCTTTACTCGTATGCAGACTGACTGGGCACATCGACGCTCAGCTGGCATGAGGGATTGGCGTGGAGGTCTCGTGCGAACCTCTGTCAGCCTCATCTGAGCCGTCTCGCCTATCATCGCTTCTGCACATCATCGCTTTCGTTTGTAGCGCTATTGTATTTAATGTGATATTTTATTCTCTGAATCTGGGAGCAAGTCCAATTTGTTATCTAATGTACAATGTCAGCCGATTTTTCATACATGCCATGCATCGCAGTGTCTGAGACGCTAGAACAGTAGAGAGGCCGCGACCTCAACATTGCCGCCTGCAGCGGCGAGCGTACTTATCGCAACCTCTCTGGACACCCCGAGGCTCATAAGGGTGTTGATATCCTGCTCAGAGTAGCGAGCTTGAGTCGCTTGAGCACCTGCCGCTGGTGCGCCTCGTCCTTGTCCTGGCCGCGGGGCATTGCCGAGGGTATGTCCAGAGCCAGGGAATGAGGGCTGTGACGGCGGAGCCGCAGAGCCGGAGGGTAGTGTCGCATGAGAGCCCGCTGCTGACGCGACGTCCTCGGGATTCGGCGGCTCGAAGAAGCGTGCCTTCTCCGGCAGCTCATGTTCTGCGAGGAACTTGACTTCACGGTCGCGTATCCGAAGAGCGTTCTTCTCGAGGTCGATACATGCCTGGTGAGCTTTGAGCATATCAAGGCCGAAAAGAAGGTCGACGTCACGGCCCTAGAATGAAGTGATGAGCAACGCCACACATACATGGCACCACAAAGGGCATTACCTCCATGACGGTGAAAGAACACGGCAAGAAAAGGTCGGCGAGCTTGAGCTGGGCACTGTGTATACGGCCCAGGATCTTCGCGGTACCAACGCCACGAGCAATGCCAGAGAACCGTTTGTCAAGCAAGCGCATCAAGCTGCATACCAATCAGTCGCATGATTCGATCACGGATGTGGATAACTTACCCGCACTGTTCTGCTAGGTCAGGACTCACTGTAATAGATAATGCCGTTGAGAATTCCGCCTCGATACAGTATAGATGCTGTACTTACTAATAGTTTGTTGAGCACCACTATCAACAAAAGCCTTCACTGGATGCCCGTTGACTTCCACTGGCACACTGGGCAGTGAGATAGTCAGCCATTATCAGGCCATGAACTCAGAAGGCGTCTTACTATAGCATCGTTACGCGACCGAACGATTCTGGGGAATACTCCAACGCGTGCTCCAGATTTTCGAGGACGGCCTGCTGCCGAATAGCCTCCTCTATCCTCTGCTGGGCCTCAACATCGAACGGATCGGCGTGTAGGGCCTCGATCGCGGCGTCCGTCTCAACATGGCGCGCCCTCGTCTGTCTGAGGAGTTCGGCGAACCGTGCGGGGTCGTTCTGCGCTGCCCGTGCAACTTCGGGCTGGGTCTATAAGGGTAGATGTCCAGTCAGAGGGAGGGACAGAAAGGGAGCTAGGAGGGCATACCGCTTGCAACTGCCGCATGAGTTCGGGGTCGCCGAGCAGCTGGAGGCGCATCATCTCAGCATCCTGCTCCAGTGTCCTACATCGAGCAACCCGTTCAACGACAGCTTAGATTGTAGGGCGATGAGAACGCACCGTCCAGCCACCGAGACCTTTCTCCGAAGGAGAAGCATGGCATGATCACCGATCCCGCATTCTCGCATCGTCGCCTTCGGATTGCTGAGGTCCCGGCCTTCGTATGAGATGCTCTGTTCATTGACCGGTATACCCGACTGCGGGATGGGGGCGATCGCTCAGCTAATCGAAAGGTACGGGGCCATCTCGTCACTCACCTCTGCCTCGAGTAGTGCCATAACGTTCTCTAATTCCATGTTTGGGTCGATCTCAATGATAAACGACTGGCCTAAATCGTTCACGAACGTGAGCTCCATGGTGTCGCGAAGCAGAAACTGTGGAGGTTAGCAGGCGGAAAATGTGTGGTGGTCGTTGTCCGGGGTTAAGTGGCTTTCAGGGAAAGAAATATTGGTGCCCAGTCTAGTCGCTGGCTTTGAGTAGGACTGACCCGAGAAAGGCAGGTTTTGTAGATTGCCTCACAGCTTGCGTGTACTCTGAATGATGCATAACGCGCGGTATGACAGAGAAAGTACTAGAACAGACGAGAAAGCAGGTACAAGATAGCCGAAGCTGAGCAAAAGCTGCGCCTTGGGTAAGGCGCATCTAAGATCTGCGAGCTAAATCCAGTCCGATATACATCAACCCCCGCGTGACAAATGAGAAAACACAACGTCGTAACGACGTGTAAAAAGATTTAAAAGGCCAGTGCAGTGTCATCTGGCACTGGGCCTGCGGGAACCGAGGTTGCTTCGTGTGAACGAGGATCTGCAAATCATGTCATCAGAAGCCATAAAGCAGAGGGAATAACCCATGCTTACACCCGTGGGCTCTGTCCCCGGATGTTTGACATCAACGAACTTTCCATTGCGGAAGACAGACTTGCATCTGAGGTGGAGGTGGTCAGTGACAGCATGAGCTACTTGCTAGCGATATCTTACCACTCAGGTCACTGAAGCTGGAAGGGGTGCTCCCAATCTCACTGCCTCTGTCGCTCCGGACATTGCCACCTAATCGTCTGCTAGCCGTCGTCGAACCTCGTATCGTCCCAAATGCCATGTTGTGCGATACCGCTGGTGGACTCCTGGGGGAGGTAGCGGGCGTTAAGTGTCTTGTCATCGGTGAAGTAGGCTGACTGGTAAGCTCGGGTGGCGGGGAAGGAATGTCAGGAATTGAGCCCTGGAGAGAGTTCGTAGTACTTGACAGGCTGTGGTGACTCGGGGTGTGGCTGATGCTGGGCCGACGGCTCATGGCGAGTCGATGATGGATACCGGAGGATATGCCGGACTCAGACGACAGTCGAAGGCGTTTCCGGTCGATGTCCCGTCTAGCAAATGGCGGTCGAGTAGGCGAAGATACGAGACCTAGGGCGTCGCGAGTCATCTTCAGCTCGAGATTTTTGAGCTTTCTCTCCAGAGCTTCCTGCTCCTCGATGCGCCTTTCTTCCTCCTCAAGCTTGTGCAACTCCTCTTCCTCCTCTCCTTCAGAACCCCCATCAGCGCCTGATGAGGGCGACGAAGGAGAAGGTCGAGAGGACGTTGGTGAAAGGGGCCGTAGCGCGGGAAAAGCGCGCTTCGGGCCTTGGAGTGTGAGGACGGAAGAAGATGTGACTTTCTGTGGCGAGCTGACGGACCGCAGAGAGTTGAGCCGCGTGCGGATAGTTAAGGGCCGTGCAGAGGATGAGGCGGCCATGGGACCGCCGTTGGAGGAACGGAAGGAGTCTCTGCGTCCAGAAGGGTGTTTCTCAGTAGTAGGTAATCTGGGGAAGTACTCTCCGCCAGCATTGTTTGATCCGGGAGGGCTCGCAGGTCTAGGAGGAACAGGTTCTTGTGGCGTAGGTGAAGTTGGACTGAGTGCTGTACGAAGGCCGCGTAAGTCTTCCTCATAACGGACCTGAGCGCGATATAGAAGGTATGGTAAAGGAACTTGTAGGTGGTTAGCCAGCCCTTTCCCTGAGCGCGGTGAGCACGGTTGGATCGGACGGCCCAGGTATCACTCACAATCTGTTCCCGCGCCTTCGACAACTCTGGACTTGGCGATAACCTCCCAAAGAAAGTGCTCTTTCTCAGCGTTCCATTCTATCTGTTCTTTCCAATGTTGTCTCAGCGTTATGGTCAAGCGGCTGCACTTGCACCCACTCGTGGAGGGTCTGGGATTGGTTCATCGGGTCGGTTGTAGGGCAACCTGACGATCACTCTGATTTGCGGTTGCTGCTGCTGCTGCTGCTGAGCGAGTGGCATAATTGTCGAAAACACCTGCTACTGAGCCGTGTGTGACTGCAAAGTGGAACTGTGGCAGGGAGATGGAGGTGGAGGGCAGGAGCAAGTCCGGATCCATTCTTTCTCGAGACGCTCGCCACATCTCTCTTCTTGACCACCACTCTCTTTCACCTTTGCATGTTTTCTTGGTGACCTCAAACTATTCCTAACATTGGACCTAGATTAAATGGCGACGATAGACGAACTTGTCGCTGAGCTATCAGCGGATCCAGAACGCGAACCTGTCGCGTCTGAGTTGGGGGGTGCGAGCTGCCTTTCCCGTTGGAAGCCGTGAAGATTGCGCCTCTCATGCTGCTCTCGTCTTCGGGATGTAGTCTTACAATCTATATACGGCGACGATGCGATTAAGCCGTGGTCGTCCAACGGGAGCTCGAGTCCGAAAAATCGAGAAGCTGGGACGGTACGGTACGAAGTAGTTCTCACGTGAGTGCGCGCACCTTCTCTGAACGGAACATGGTTGAGGGGAATAGTTTGGCAACAGATGATGAGGAAGTCCAGTGCAACGTGCTAATATCAATCCCTCCAACGTATCCTTCAGCGGCTGCTCCTCAGCTGCAGCTGCTCTCGCGATATATAGGACCATTTGGCGTCGACCATGCCCTCTTTGGTGCCGTCCTCCGGACATACATCTCGAGCGAAGGTGTAGAATGGGTTGCGGATAACGTATGCGTATTTGACGGACTAGAATGGGCCAAGGAGCGATGCACAGAATGGTACAACACTAAAAAGAGCGAGAAGATCGCAGGCGAACTTTTACGCGAGGACGAAAAGAACTTGGCCGTCAATGTACCAGATGTGGAGGAGGGGAAGGATAAAAAGGTCTCTGGATTGCATGAACAGTGGGAGGAGACGTCTGCGCCGATATCTGCGAACATCCCACAGGGTATCGTGATCATAGAAGCAGAGCCGATTGTGGACCGCAAGAGCGTATTCGTTGGTCGCGCTTGCCGTGTAAGAGACCCGTCCCAGGTTGGCCTCGACCCGCGTTCTTGACCTGTGTTTATTGACATTGAGGCGTTTTTCAGGTTCCACTTATTCTGGCGCATCTCATGTCGGACCGGCGTATAGCTCGCGCTGCACATCCTATTATCAGCGCCTGGCGCTGCCGGGTTGGCAGCGTGATGCACCAAGGTTTGTTGGCTCCGATATTAACGGGGACTACGAACATTTAACATCCCACTTTATCTCCGATAGATAACGATGACGATGGTGAGACCGCCGCAGGAGGTAGGCTAGCGCATCTTCTGCAAATCCTCGTGAGTAGACCTTCTATCTTCTTTGCCTATCAGCTCGTGGCGATGCTACTGGCTGACTTGATCCAGGAGGTCAACGATGTATTGGTGGTCGTGACGCGCTACTTCGGCGGGATTCACTTAGGACCCGATCGCTTCAAACACATCAATCAAGCGGCCAGAAATGCTTTAGAGCTGGGTGGCTTCCTAGATGGCAGCGCTACAGATACTCGCAAGAAAAGCAGTGCAAGAGCAAGAAAGTGATAGAGGAATAGGCATACATACTAGTGCTTAATAATACCCCCACTCTGTGTCCACAACCCTACTCAGTCTTCTACACTTTGAGACCATTCATGAATATAGCTTTAGCCTGACACTTTGAAACCATTCATGATATAGCTTTAGCCTGCTCCATCCAATAATCCAGTCGCGCCTGTCTCACCTGATATGACGCGCGCTCGCGCGCTAAACTGGGAGAGGGAATGACATGACACCCGGTGCACTTCCGTCCACCCTCATATTGCACTCCGACCACCAACACGCCTGCACCGCGCAGCCTAACGAACGCAATTCAAGCGCAGCGGGCCCGACTTGAACCCGAGTCATCGTGATCAGGGCCCTCAATCGTGATGAGTCCGCCGACGAGACTGTTATATACTGCCCTTGGGGCTTGTACGGCACGAATCGAACTCAACGCGTTTCTGCCCAGGAACAAAGGAATGCGGTTGCAGCATAGGAAGGCGAGCACGTCTACGGTGAGCACACTGAAGGATACAGAGCGCGAGAGGTGATGCTCACAGCTCAAAAATAGTTTGGACTCACGGATGCTAGCCTTATCCGCCACCAAGCCTTGATAAACGGCCAATGGGTGGACGCAGAAGATGGGAAGAAGTTCTCAGTCACCAGTGCGTTGCCCTCGAGTTAAAATTCCGCGATGATATTGATAAGGGACTCACAGACCCTGCTACCTCTGAGGAGCTTGGACAGGTAGCAGACCTCGGCATTGCACAGACAAAGCAGGCTATCGAGGCCGCATCCGCGGCTTTCAAGACGTGGAGTAAGACCACATCAAAGGTACGGATGCGCAATCTGCGCGATTGGAGCGCTTTCACAAGCCATGACGTATAGGAGAGACACGACATCCTCATGAAATTCTACTATCTCATGAAAGCGCATCACGATGATCTGTCGCGGCTCATTGTAAGTACGATCGCCCCGCTCTGCGTACAGATACAACAATTTTCTGTCTGCAGACTCTGGAAAACGGGAAGCCCTTGAAGGAAGCCAAGGGTGAGAATGATTATAGCTCGTCGTTCTTGGAGGTACGTACACCACGCTCGAGACACTGAGGGCGCCATCCTTAACATATGAATCATAGTGGTTTGGTACGCGTATAACCGGTCATGCACGTATGGCTTTCCAGCTGATCCTCTGATGCAGCGGGAGAGGCCGTTCGCACCTACGGAGGTACGATCAAGGTCTATCTGCATTGTCACCCATGTCGTTTATTATTTGAGAACAGATGTCATACCCTCTCCTTTCCCCACAACGCGGAACGTGGTTATAAAGCAACCTATCGGTGAGTAAGATTTCCATGTCGGGAATTACTAATATCTAACATGGCCTGGTGGCGCAGGTGTCGTGTAAGCTCGCGTCCTATTCAACCGATTCTTTGAAGAGCCTAACCTTAGTTATTTCCAGCTCTATCATGACTCCTTGGAACTTCCCATCGGCAATGATCACTCGGAAACTCGGAGCTGCTCTCGCAGCAGGCTGTACAGCCGTAATTAAGCCTCCAGCTGAGACGCCGTACACATGTCTTGCGTTAATCGAAGTATGGTTTTGATTGCTCGTTGCCTCAGACTTTGCGCTGACAAATCATATACAGCTGGCTAATCGCGCGGGTGTCCCACCGGGTGTCATCAACGTCGTAACTACTAATGCCAATATCGCTGAGGTTGGTCGCGAGATGTGCGAGAATCCGATAGTCAAGAAAGTGTCATTCACTGGAAGCACGCCTGTCGCGAAGTTACTATACAAGTATGCTGCCGGAACTCTAAAGAAGTGTGTACGCTTTCCTTCACTCATGCAATTGTTTGACTAACAGTCAGACAGAATTTCCATTGAAGCCGGAGGCAATGCTCCATTCATCGTGTTCGATGATGCTGACGTTGACGCGGCAGTCGAGGGTAAATATTTTTACTTCCCAGGAGCGCCCAGTTGACGCCATGTATACACAGGCGCGATTGCATGCAAATTCCGGCATACTGGTCAGACCTGTGTTTGTGCAAACCGTATCTACGTGCAATCTTCTGTGTACGCCGACTTTGCCTCGAAATTGGCCGAAAAGGTTGCTGCGTTCCGTGTTGGCGACGGCTTCGACGAGGAAACGTAAGTTTGGCTTTCTGCGGTAGGCCGCGATGTCTGACATCATCCTAGAACGCACGGTCCCTTGATTCACCTCAGGGCGGTGGAGAAGGTTAAAAAGCATGTCGACGACGCCGTCAGCCGCGGTGCACAGCTCGTTCACGGCGGCAAGCGTCTCGAGGGCGCGGGTTCGTTCTTCGCGCCGACCATCCTCGCGGATGTGCCTCAAGACGCGCTCGTGTGTACGGAGGAAACCTTCGGCCCGCTGGCGGCGCTGGTCAAGTTCGAAACGGAAGAGGAAGTGATTAAACTCGCGAACGACACGCCGGTCGGCCTCGCGGGATACTTCTACTCGCGGGACATCGGCCGCGTATGGCGCGTCGCTGAGGCGCTCGAAGTTGGCATGGTTGGTACCAACACTGGTGCGATTAGTCAGGCTGTTATTCCGTTCGGTGGAGTAAAGGAGAGCGGCCTTGGTGAGTCTCTGGTACAATCTCCCGAGATCCTCCCGGTACTCATAACATTTCAGGACGAGAAGGAAGCAAGTATGGAGTTGAGGAATATCTGAACATCAAATATATCGCTTTTGGAGGTTTGTAACCGTACCTAGTGTATTGCTTAGCGCATGTAACGAACACGGACGATTCATGCATTCTGCTTGAGTGGATTCCGTCTGCACGATCCGATGGCGAATTTCCTAGTCGAACAGCCCCACCAGGCCGCCAATTGGCGCAGCGCGACAGCAGCAGTGAGCGGCACATCTGCACTGAACCTCTCGAACTGTGCTGACCAAAATTACCGTCGTAGGTGCACCCGCTTGCTAAAACTAAATCCGGACACGTCAGAGTGATCCGTGCGGGAACGTTGGCTATGCCTGTTGATGCTTCCTTTCGCAAGTCCTGTGCCCAAATATTTGTCCACGTCTGCGCTTATGATTGTCCCGGCGCGTCCAAGCCCCTGGACGAAGGTAAGCCTACCAAATCTTCCTGGGCGGTATACTAACTGTCTTGAAGGTTAAACCTAGAGAGGATGCTGTACGCTCTGTGCGGGCTCTGCGTATGCTGGAACCTTACCTGGAGGGGTTTTTCAGAGATTTTGTCGCTTTCAGCAGCGGACTGAGCCTCAGAGGACGCCCTAAAAGACGATGCCTGTCCCTAGATGAGACTTGCCTCCAGGCGGCATGAGTCTGGCTCTGGTATGTTCTGGTCCTTGTCTTCTTGCTAAGCCGCAGTTCGATTCTTGTCCAACCGGAACTTCCTCGCATCGTTCACAGAGAGCTGCGCACGGACTACGGCCAGGTCCGAGTTGCGCTTCGGGTCGGTGACAAGGAATTTGACATTCTGGGTTCGTTGATATGGTCTCCGTGCTCAACGGGACGCTTATACGGTGCAGGCTGCTCGTGACTCACCTTAACCAGGTTCTCACCGCCCAGTATGGGCCGCAGCGCATGCTTAATCAGCGCCGCGGGCCCAGATGGAAGCGTGCGCAGCCACAATGCCCTGTCAATGTCGTCGGAGGTGCGGGATGTCGGGTAGGGCGCGCGGTTTCGGACGCGCTGGTGCACAGCGTTGGGCCGGCGTATCCTCAGAGCACCCGCGGCTCGTATCTTGGTTGGGTAGGGAACTGACCAAGCCCATGTCGCAACGGAGGCGGTGAAGGCGAGTGATCAGCTGCGTAAAGTTTTGCTTAGACGTTGATTTGCAGCCGAGGGGAGCCAGGGCTGTGCAAGGGATCTGTGTTCTCCTATCGTATGTCCACCGTGCTCGGTGCAACTCTGGCCATGCTGGGAAGGCGGCGTGTTTGAGTTCACGCTGGACATCAAATGCGGTTCGTTACTGAATAGGTTGACGCCCATTAGGCCCTTGATGCTGTATATGAGCGCCGTCAGTCATGATAGGTGAGAACAGTCATAAATACAGGCTAGGGTCCCGCTACCAACAGTCAATCCGCTGCAGCGCAGCCTCCCCCACACTCACCTTCCTGTGTAACGGCAGTGCAGAAGAACCGACCGACTACGAGCTATTACGAGGGCCCTTCGACCTACTTTGCTGCTTTTCCTACTGATCCAACACTACGGGCGGGACGACATAAGAAGAGGCTGTGCACTTGGAGAAAACAATCTATAAAGGAGGCCTGGAGGCACGCAAGTCTACCAACTTATTGTCCAACACCAGCCTGATATTTGCGTAGCATGGCAGCACCTTACGGGTATCAAGCCTTCGCTTACCCTCAAACGCCTTACCTCTGGCCGTACTTCCAACAGCCAGTAAATTCACCTTTCATCCCTCCTCAAGCTCAGCTTCCGCCTTCTCCAAATGCCGGAGCAGGGACGCGTCGGGTACGCTTTGAGGATGAGGAGGACGTTTATCGCCCTCGGCCACCATCTTGGCATGCGGGAATGGTGGGCACGGCTCCTCCACCTAATCCCGCCCCGTTCCCCTCGCCTCCGATGATTTACACCCAGCTACCCACCGTGGTACCCCTGCAGCCTCAGGCACCCACTCATCACCGCCGTTACTCGGATGGAGCGCTGCCGCAGGCTGCCTGGGTCCAGGTCCCCACGTGGATGCCAATGTACCCACAAACACTACCGCAGTCTCAGCCTCAGCTTCATCCCTTGCTAAGCGCTGAAAATGGGCACAGGTCGCCTATCGTCTTCGACCTGTCCTTCCACACGTACGAGCCGCGCAAGCATGCGCCCGGAAGCTTCTCGAGCTCTCATCTCACCCAGGATGAGTTCTCGCAGACGGCCACATACCCGAGCGTGACGCGCATACTCATCACCTGCGATGAGATCCCAGACTGGCGGGTCGTGCTCGAGCCATACAGGGAGCAGCCGTCCAATTCGGGGTACCTCACGGTGCCTGTCACCAATGCGCCCGCGCCACCCATCACCGTGCACGATGTGCTCTACGCCATTCACCGCATGCTCCACCGCCAGATCAGGCAAGCAGACTGGCGCAAGCTGTCAGATGAACGGACGACGAAGGTCAGCAGGGCGTACACGCGTCGTACCCGCACCCTGTCTACCACGCGAGCGTTCGAGGAGAGCCAGGGCGTGAAGTGGGTGGACTACTTGGAAGACAAGTACATGTTCAGAGGACTCGTGCGTCACCGTGGAGAACAGAGCTTCGAGCACCTCAGGCTCCTGGTCCAGAGGAAGGACTGACTTGATCGGACTAGGATTGGTATCAGCCATCTCTTTCGCTTTCTGACTCGTCAGACTCATTCTAAAGCCCCTCTATGACTCATTATGCCTATAAATGTCCCCACACGTTTCGTATACCCCAGCGCGAATACTTGTAGCGCATATACCCCTACTAGGCTATCTTAGTATCACTCTCTAGTACTAGTGCTGTTAGCGTCGTTTACCTTATTCGTCTAACTTGTACGGTCCCTATAGAAACTCCTTATCATGTAGTAGAAAAGAAAGAAAATAATATATGTACAGTAGGGTTTCTGCTTGAGCTGTTTTGTACTTGAAACCTGTGCAGTCTCCGATGAGCGCGAGCGGTGAGAGGTGTCGCGGGTCTTCACTTGTGCCGGGGCAAGAGGACCCCGTGGGCGCCGAGCCCTTTCCTCACATCCTATCGGCAGACCACTACTTGCTGTGACCTTCCTGCCTTCTCGTGCAAGGCCTTTCCGACAGAATGCAAAAGGAGGACCTTGTCACCGCGAAGTTTCGCGTTCAGCTCCCTTCCATGCTCCAGCCCGTCTCTCCTGCTCTGGCCGCCTTCCATTCTACCAGAGCACGGCTCCTCCTCCATCCCGGGCCCGAGACTGACGTTTTGAGGGCTACGAACTGCACAAAGTGCGGGGCATATCTTTTGGACGGCACAGGGTCCATTCGGACAGTTCGCAAGGCTTTGAGAGGGAAGAGAAAGAGTGCAAAAGGCACACGACCCTACGTGCGGGTCCTTCATAGGACGTGTGGCATGTGTGGGTGCGATGAGGACCTGCCATTGGAGAAGACAGATCTTACAGCTCAGCACGCGACCCAGAGAAGTGCCGCTGCTCTTGTGAGAACGTCGCCAGGGCCGCAAGGTCAAACGAAGATTGATTCAGCTCGGCCTTCTCCTGCACACACACCAATCGCCGCGCCGTCGCGTCCCTCTTCTCTTGCACCCTCGAGACAGCTCTCCCAGACGCCAACTGCGGCACTGAGCTGCCAGCCTTCTCGAGCTCCCGTCTCCGCGCTTGCACCTCCGCTGTCGTCTGATCCTTCCTCCAAAGCATCCACCTCGTTTAAGCTTTCTCCCGCCCTTGCGCGAGGCGCAGCCGATGCTCGTACCAGGTCGCGACCAAAGAAGCAGACGGGCCTCCAGGACATGTTGGCTCGGAATAGAGAGCGCCAGGAGCAGGAGAAGAAGGCGGCAGGCGGTGGTCTGGCAGCATTTCTGCAGGAGCTGTAATCTTTCGTCGGACGAAATCAATGTGCCCCAGAGGACTCTACTCAAAATTCTGCGGCCTTGCATGCGCACATCTCGAACAAGTATAATACGTCATTCTGTCTACAGTACGCCTGATAGTCTTTGATGGAACACAGTCAACCTCCCGAAACGAATGCAAATGTCTATCTCTACGAAGGACAGGAAAGGAGAGGAAAATATCATGACGAATAACAAATACGCGCGATGACGAACAGACAATCCAAGCAGCATCACACCTTCTCGTCTTCCTTCTCCCTGAGATCTGGCGTCTTGTCCGGGAGTGTGCCATCTGTGCTCGGCTGACGAGGCGACGCCTCGGGCAGCGCGGCGTTGGCGGGAATAAACCGCCCGGGCCAGAAGGGGATGTAGCACACGAGGGCGAGGACGAGCGGTACAAAGTCGAGCGCGAAGAAGTAGACCTCCGTGCGCGTCAAGAAGCCGTCGAAGCCCTCGGAGAGCTCGATCGTGCGATAGACGGAACGGATCTGCGGGAAGCGAAGCATTTATGAGTGTGCGAAGAAGAGAAGCTGGGAGTGAAGGGTGCGCACGAGGATGCCGACGCAGCTCAACCACATGGCGCTCGCGAGTGCGCGCCAGTCCTTGTACCACTTCATGCCGCGGTCACGCGTCCAGACCTCGGGCTGGTACTTGCGCACGCGGTATATGAAGCGTGTGTAGACGCACATGAAGATGGCGAAAGACACGAGTTGCAGGACGAGGCCGACGAGGAAGACCTAGGGAGTGATTGTCAGGCTGAATAACATCGATAGAAAGTAAGGAACCCACCCTCGAGCCGGCCTGTGCCTTGCTGGGGTTGGTGTGCGCAGATGCGGATATCGAGCCTCCCGCGGCCTGTGTCAGGAACGTGGCCACATCCGAGCAGACGAACACGAGCGTAATCCTGCGCGGAGGGATCAGAACGTGGTTGTTTGCCCCCAGCCAACGGGCCATGCGGCCGAGCAGGACATATTCAGCGGCAATGAAGCCGCATGGGGAGAGAGTGACGAAGAGGTAGTAGAGGATGTAAAATGCGTTGCTGTCCGGGTTTGTGTGGAGGCCAAAGCGGAAGGCGATACCTAGCGTATAGGCTTTACAGAGGATATGGTGTCAGTCGCCAGGCTTAGAGAGAGCGGAAATGCACGCACTGTATTCTGCGATGACCATAGCAAGCATGAACCGCCCGCCTATTCTCCATGTAAACCATGTTTGTGGCAGAGCGATTGCAAGTGTGATAGCTGGCGAAAAGGAAATTAGCTTCGCGTTTCGAGGTCAGCGAGCAGTCAGCGATGGACACAGTCCCCCGACGACGTCAAGGACGGTCGTCGCGGCATCTGAAAAGAGTAGTCCCGCCCAAAACGGACCTGTTGGGATTTGGAAAAGCTGCCGATGCACAGGATGGTCTCAGGTTTGACGACGATCTGGAGTAGGTCGCCGGAGATCGAGGAAAGTGGGAACTTACCAACAGCCATGGCCGTCAACCCATTACTCGTGATGTATCCCAGAGGATTGAACGGGTCATCCTTGGGATCCGTGAAAGGATTTATATCGCTTGCATTGGCAGGGATTTGCCGAGCGACGGCGAGCGACGAAAAGGCGAAGAGCAAGAGGAGCGCTTGGGAGAGCAGCGAACTTGTCGTGCGGGACGCCATCCTTGGGGGAAAGGCGAGGAGAATGAAGGGGGTCAGAGCAGGGAAACGGCGATGCGGAGCATAAGGTGCGCCTAAGGATAGGCTGGAGGTTTTTAACGGCGCGTCTCTCCGTGACTGCATGGTTGTGCCTGATTGCATGCCAGTATAAGCACTCGGCTACTCTGGGAGTCAGCGCAAATGACTAAAACGTGGATCAAATCCGGACATCACTCCGTAGCCACAAAGCCTTTGAAGACGCCTTCGACCCGCTCAAAACGTTTTGCATTCGCTTCCTGGACTCTGCTGCACAACATTACTGCATTGTATCTCCTGCAGACAGGGCATATGAACGAACCACATATAATTCACTTGTATGTCACAGTGCATTGGCTACCCAGCTGATAGAATGCTTCGGGATGCCCCCATCACATCACCAACCACAGTCGAAGGACGGTCCAATCTCCGATCATTCCGAGTCTCCATGTTCAAAATCGTGCAAAATGCGACATATACACAGGAGGAGTTGCACCGAGCTAGAAAATCTGACAGGAAACTTGAGCCAAGCGTGGTTCGTCCCCGTGCAAGCTGCCTGGGGCGGCCTAGAGGATCTGTCCCAATGACGCGTTGATGAGGTAGGTGAACCAATCGAAGCCAGGGAGGGATATATATATACCCTGACTGGCTGCGCCTCAAAGATACAATACGATAGTTATCACGGAGCGTTACAAGTAAGTATAGCATCCTTCTGCTCTTGAATCGGCTTCAAACCGATATCAGGACCTGCTGACTTGATGAACGTTGCACTGCCATCAATATATGGAAAACGAAAGGACGAGCCGATGCTAGCGGTCTGTGACAAAAGGCGGTTTGAGTATGCCATCACTCACAGGAGAGCTATCGTCTTATAGAGACTGGCACGTACAGGAAAGACATATTATTCTCGCGTATACTAGGAACTAGCGGACCTCATGCACCATATGGCATGCTGAGGCTAACGCAGCCCATGTCGCCCGTGAGATCCCTAGTTGGAGTAAAACCGTGCATCCTGCCACCAAGTTTTGGGTACCGACGCCCGAGATGGCAATCATCATAATGGAAGGCGAAAAGGGTAGCAGCTGCATTGCCGACGTCCCGGCTGGGGTCAACTACCGGCTGTGTTCAGGAGATTGTATATATATGAGGGGATAGGCAGCAAGTCGCACGACAACCTTATCCATCTCCTCCATGTCCTTGACCTATTGGCAAAGTAAGCCCCTCCTTCGTTTATGCTTTACGCAGCAAGGTGCTAACGGAGAGTCACCAAGGCGTAGGGATAGTAGTGGGCGCGGCGGTAGTAACGACGGCAGGGGCTGCCGCGCAGATTGCCTTGAAGATAATATGGAATGCTGGATACATCTCCCAGACAAGTGGGTTATCCGGCGCCATCTCTTTCTAGCCCCCCACCTGAGAGTACATCTTTGCCGCATCAGTAGGCTACTCGGCCGCACTTGGGATGGCTGGACCGTCGACAGCCCCTGCTGCATGCCTGGTCGTTGCGGGTTTGGTGGTGCTGACAGTCGCTGCTCCGCTTCTGTTCTCACCCAACCGGCGATTTGTCCTACCCTCCGAGTCGAAAGGAGGCTGCACCGCGCTGCGGCGGTTCATGAGCAACATGTGCACGAAGATCAGCGGTTTTGTGTACAAGAGTTCTCACTGAATGGGATGTTGTGTATGTGGTTGTCAAAGCCGAAAGCAAATTGTCAATTAATGCTAGAAGTGAACTTACATTACGACAGCAGTCGGTGAGAAACATGCCCACTCCGCCCGACGATCACCCTGCGCAAATCGAAATCTGGCTGAGCTTGAGATCTGGGATTGTCCGCACTACGTCATCGACATCCCTTTTGGTTAGTTCGTTCTCTGCTGCGACTACGACTTCCACTGCCAGAAGCGAACTTTGCAGTGACACACGGCTGTCAGCGAAAGAAGAACAGCTCCAAGCGTATAACTCCGGTCTAGCGCTCTTCCACTCCGCTCGGTGGTCAGATCAAAATCTGGATATTCCATTCGTCGTTCATTTGTGCGACCTATTGTACACTTTCTTCGCTATTTTATGCAGCCGAGGTTCATCCCAATGACCCTCTCCAGTCCTGGCCACTAGAACAGATTGTAGAACCTCGCCAATGGGACCGTGTCCGCAGGCGGAGTAGTATGTATGGGCTCGTCATCGGCGAAGACCTCGAACGTCTCGGGATCGACGCGCATCTGCGGCGTCGCGTCGTTCCACTTCATTTTATCCTTCGTGACCTCGCAGCAGTCGCGCACGGGCTCGACCCGTTTCGCGAGTCCGTACGCTGCGATGGTGCCGTTCGCGATGCTCACCTCGCTCACGAACGAGATCGAGTTCAGCGCGGCGCTCGCGGCGTATGCGCCCCACATTGGCCGGCCAAAGAACGGCTGGACGGTCGGGATAGACCCGTTCGGTTCACCAATCTGCCGCGCACATGTCGGACAAAGTGGAGAGTGTTGAGGAGGGGGACAGGGACGTACCTGGCTCCAAGCAATGACGCCGGACTTGAGGACGATCTCGGGTTTCGCACCAAAATTCTCAAACTTCCAGAGGACCAGGTCGGCAACCTGGCCGACTGCAATCTGGCCTACAAGGTGGCTTATCCCATGGGTGATGGCACTGGTAAGCAGTCAGACATCAGCTACCCCACACGGGCCACATTGACGCGCATATACATACGGGTTGATCGTGTATTTCGAGATGTAGCGCTTCACGCGCCCATTGTCGCAGCCCTCGGAGTCGCCTAGGGAGGTGAGTGGACCCATGAGCTCACGCATCTTGCTCGCAGTGCGCCACGTGCGAGACACGACTTCGCCGACGCGGCCCATGGCTTGCGAGTCCGAGGAGATCATCGAGATCGCGCCTATGTCGTGCAAGGCGTCCTCAGCGGCCATAGTCTGGGCACGGACACGCGACTCCGCTAAAAGAATATCCTCTGGATTGCTCGAGTCTATATTGTGGGCGACCATGATCATCTAATGTCCGAGAAGAATTCAGCCGCGGTTTAGAGGCATTGAGTGGGGACCTACCTCGAGATGTTCATCCGGAGTATCTTTCGCGTACGGGCGCGTAGGGTTAGTTGAAGACGGCAGGACCCTGGGTCGCTCGCAAATGGCGATGATGTCAGGCGCATGCCCACCACCAGCACCTTCCGTATGGTAGGCATGGATGGTATGGCTACCGAATGCCTTTAGAGTGGCTGATCAAACGCCAAGTCAATGCACGCTCCGTTAGCGCACGAGATGGCTTACTCTCGAGAAACCCGCTCTCGTTCATGGTATCCGTATGGATATTGACCTAACAAACGTCACAGAAGGTGGCGTCTCAATAAGCGTTTGACTGACCTGCACATCATATTTTTTGCCGATGGCCAGGCAGTTGGTAATCGCAGCGGGTGTCGCCCCCCAGTCCTCATGCAGCTTCAGCCCGCAAGCGCCGGCCTTGACGATCTCCTCTAACGCGGTGGGGCCTGAGTCGCTACCCTTTCCCGTGAAACCGAAGTTCATCGGCAGGCCGTCTGTCGCCGCAAGCATGTGGCGCATGTAGAACGGGCTCGGCGTGCATGTTGTCGCATTGGTGCCGCTCGCCGGGCCCGTGCCGCCGCCGATCATCGTCGTCGTGCCCGACGCGAGGGCCTCAGGGATCTGCTGGGGACAGATGTAGTGGCAGTGGACGTCAATTGCGCCCGCGGTGACGATGAGCTTCTCGCCGGAGATAGCCTCGGTAGATGAGCCAACGACGAGGTTTTCGTCGACGCCGTCCATGACGTCGGGGTTGCCTGCCTTTCCTATGCCAGCGATAATCCCGTCGCGCACGCCGATGTCCGCCTTGTCGAAGATCAGAACAAAAACAGTAGTGGTGAAACAAGTGGGCCACCTTGTAGATACCAGACCAGTCGATGATCAGAGCGTTAGTAATTACGAGGTCCAGACTCTTTTGTGAGGAACGATCCGTAGCTTGGCCCATGCCCTCGCGGAGAGTCTTTCCCGTACCGAACTTGAGCTCGTCACCGTAGGTAGTCTACAATGCCAAGTTGAGCTCTCTGCGATGTATAATGACCTAAGCCCTACCATGTCTCGTTCGACCTCGATCCAAAGTGATGTGTCTCCCAACCGTACGCGGTCGCCAACAGTCGGTCCAAACAGGGACACATAGTTTTCGCGCGAGATGGTGTTGTGTACGGACACCTCGAGCTCCATGGCCCCCGGCTCTGGTGTATGCGCAAACCCCTGGCGCACCAGGTCCACGACGATTTTACCTATTCTGGAGGGATCTACTACGCCGGTAGCCAACCGGTTACCTCCCGTAATGATCTTTGTACCGCCAATGTCGACCAGTGTAACCGTTTTAACTTCGCTAGGCTCGAAACGAACGGAGGCGCCAGCTGCAATGTCAAGTCGCTTTCCGTATGCTTTGCCGCGATCGAAATCGAGTGCCGAGTTCGTCTCGATGAAGTGGTAGTGAGAACCGATCTTTAACAGACCCTAGCCTGAGCCAACCAGCTTTTTCAAACAAAGTTATGGATAGCATACCTGCACTGGTCGGTCACCGTTGTTCGTGACTTTGAGCTTAATGCGCTTGCGGTTCTTGTTTAGGGTTATCCGTTCCTTTTTGGCTATGACGGCACCCGGGGCTTTGTCTCGCGCAAACTCAGACGTATCGACATGCGAGAACGGATCCGCAGACGGGATAGGAAGGAAGGAACCGTAGAGGGCGGCAGCAAGGTTGCCATCCTCGGTGCAGATAGGGTCGCGAACCGTAACCAGGAATACCCTTCGTGTCTGTCAGAAGGCATTAGGCATCATCGTTCTGTTGTGACACCCACCCATTTACGAAGGTGCCCTCGACCTGTATCACTTTAACGAGAATAGGAACTCCTGGGAGAACGTGCCTGCGTCCTAGCATCCTCTTCCCATGCTGTGCTAGGTCTGCGACTGAGTGCTTCCCATCGCGGATGAGCTCGTGAAGCTGAGAAGCAATCAAGGCGACTGCTTCAGTCTGGTTGAGGCGGAGGCCCCTGGCAAGCCTCTTCTGAGCCAAATATCCAGCCTGCAAGCTGGTGAGAAGCTGTTTCGTGTCTCTCTCAGTAATTGTATGCATACCTGATGTAGAAGAAGCTTGTCCTGCTCTCTGGGAAAGATGCGCATAGTGACAGTCTGTGCAAAATCGACCTGCTCTCCTGGAGGGTGGAAGGTGAGTCGAGTAGGGCTACATGAGGACACCTTGCACCCATCATATACTGGCTGTGAAAGGCAGAAAGCCAAGATAGAGCAGGTCACCCCTCCTCGATCCCCTGCCCCAGCATGCTGTCAATCGAAGCTCTCAGATCAGAATTTTCCCACATTACCTCATCGCTTTCAATTGGAACTGCTCTCGGCCTCGACCACCTGCTCTGTATGGTCGACGTCTTACTTTTCGCGCTACTATGTCGAAACGACCCGCGGAGGCCCAGACAACACTGGAATCCTGGCAGCCTATTCGGACGAAGAAGTCACGTGTAGAAGCCACAGAGATCACGGCGGACAATACCCCGCGATTGACCAAGATTCTATCCCGGAACGTTGAAACACCCATACCCTTTCTCGGACTTCCTGCAAAGAAAATTGGCGGCTCAGCGACAAACGACAGACCCCGCCCGCACCACCTCCGCGAGCTGCTCAAACGCCACAGCTTCCCCGACTTCCTCTGTCTCCAAGAGGTCCGCGCACGACAGGCCGACACAGAGTGGGTCGCCGCCCTCCAGGCTGCCGTGAACAGCCACGGCGGCGACCCCGACCCGCGATACGCCATCTACACCTCGCTGAACCGCGCGACGCGTGGGCAGCGACATTTCGGGACGTCGACCTTCGTGCGGGAGCCCAGCAGCGTCGTGGCCGCGCGCGAGGTCGACTGGGACGCCGAGGGGCGCATCGTGATCCTCGAGCTCGCGGGCGGCTGGGCACTCGTGAACGTGTACGCGCTCAACGGGAGCGGCACCCGTGGCGGGACCCCACGGGACGGGCTGCGGTGCCCAAGACGCGGCACGAGCGCAAGCGCGAGTTCAACCGCCTCCTCCTGCGCGAGTGCCAGGCGATGCAGGCGCGCGGCCTCCGGCTCGTGCTTGTCGGCGACTTCAACATCTCTCTGGCGCCGGCGGATTGCTTCCCCCGCTTGCGCACGGAGTACCCCCATTCGCTCGCGAGAAAGGAGTTTAACGAGAGGTTTATTCCCGCGGCAAATGTGGTAGACGTGTTCAGGGAGAGGCATGGAGACAAGAAATGCTTCAGTTGGTTCGCGAAGGGCAAGCCACAAGGGTCGGATTGTGCCAGGGTCGACTACGCGTTGGTGGAACGGATCTTGGCCGACAACGTTGTGGAGATAGAGTATCTCGAAGACCCGAAGGAGAGGGCGCACAGCGATCATGCACCTCTCCTTCTTGTGCTTAAGGATATGGACAAGCTGAACCAGGACCTTCCCGCAGAGTCTCTTGCGAAGAACTAGCAAAAGTGTAAGCCCCGTCGAGTAAACTGAATGGATATAATATTGCGACCAGCACATTAGAGCAATGTAGCCTTTAAACCAAAGGAGTGTATCGATACCAAAAGATGGAAGCCCGGCTAGTACAGAACCAAAAGCGCAATGACCAGAGGAACGAAGAGATGGGTCCACCCAGAAACTTTCTCCACTTCACGCGCGCCGCCGTTCAGCAGCTTCGACAGCCCGCTCGGCTGATCGGACGAGGAGCAGCTGCAGGTGTTGGTTGAGCCCGCGGCGTGTGTAGCTTTGGAAGCCGACGGACCGCCAGCAGAGGCCGAGGCCGAGGTGGGATGTGGCTTCTTCGACGTTGGGGGTAGAGCAGGCGTAGGCGCGGCAGAATCAGGCGAGATGGCAGCGCCGGTGGCTGCTGCAGACGGCTCAGCGGAAGACGATGGGTGAGACTTCTTCACCGAAGACGCAGATGGAGCAGGGCCGGAAGATTTCGTGGTACCTCCGCTGCCTCCGTCTTGCGATCGTAGAGTAGATGTAGTCTTGTGCGACACAGAAGACGAAGTACTAGAAGATGGGCCAGGTGATCCATTCTCGCCAGCCGATGAGGACTTGTTCTCGTCGTTCGAAGACCCAGAGTGCGAGGCGTCGTCATCCTTCGAGTTAGCAGATTTCCCATCGCCAGCCTTGTCGCCAGATACCTCGCTGCCATCTTCGGAGTCGTCGTCGCCGCTAGAGTCGCCCTGAGAGCCTTTCTCATCATTGTTGTCATCATCTGACTTGTCGCCTTTCTCGCGAGAGTCAGTATCATCGTCTTCTGCGTCGCCAGAGTGCTTGTCCATAGCTGTGAGATTCAGAGGCGCCGCCTGCTCGGGGTGCGCGAGTTGTCCCAAGGAGTCTGCTGCTGCGGTGGCGTCATCCGATGTTGAGTCAGGTTCAGACGACGAATCTGATGGGTCGGAGCCAGAGTCTTCATCCTCGTCCGAATCTGCACTAGAAGTAGAGGTTGAGTCGGTCCCGTTGGCGGCCAGGATACCCGTACCCCATGGGATAGGGTCACCGTTCGGTTGGGTAGCATTTGTGGGGGAGAAATACTCTGCACTCGAAGACGCAATCTGAAAATCGTTGGTAAATGATGTAAAGAAGATGCTAACCATCGGAGAAGACTTACTGTGAAACGAGTAGTCCACGTTACATTTCCAGTTAGACCGTTGGTGAACTGCGGAGAATAAGTTTAAAAAACGCTCGCAGAGAAGTAGATGGAGACGCACCTGATAGAAGTATATGGGGGCATACGGGTCGACCTCTGGACACGTCCAGTTGAAGGGCGTGAGAGTGGGGTCTGTACCGTCGAGACCCCAAGCGACATTGGTAACGAAGCTCATGTTGCTATTGGAGCCCGACATCAGATCTTGCAAAGCTCAGTTCGGTGATATTAGAAAGATTGTAGCGCAAGTGCATACCGATGGTGACGTTCTTCCATGTCTCGCTTTGGTCTACATCCCACTGGATTGTACAGTTGCTACCAGCGTTGAAGGTCTGCCCCGGTCCCGGCGCAGTCGGGGTAACGCCAGCAAAAACCGCTGCAGTCAATGCAAACGGCAGCAACGCGAAGCCAAGTGCGGAAGTCATAGCCGAGCGAGGGTAATAGCCGGAAAGCGGGAGCCTGTGAACGACCAGCGCAGAAAGAAAGTGGGTGGGGTCTCAGACCGCCTAAGGGAACAAAGGAACACCAGGGGCATGTATTTCGCAGACGTGGGCAGTCATATTTGGTGTGGCTGGGCGGAGGCTGGCCGCAGGATGAGGTTGACGTGCTGGGGTTCTAGGGAGCGCCGGCGGCGGCTCCTTTTGTAGATTTGATGCGTATTTTTGATGTGCTTGCGCCACGCGACTCACCCGGACCTGAGCGTCTTCGACGAACTGCTCCGCTCACCTTGACCTTTACGTCGTTCTCCTCAAACTCCTTTCTCGAACTTCCATAGTACCACGCGAATATGCAATCAATCAACAGATTCCTGTACGGCCCAACTCCTGAGGAAAGAATACGCGCTTGGCAGACCAAGCTGCGCGCAGAACAGCGGCAGTTAGATCGGGAGATGAGGCAGGTCGGTCTGTGCACCCAGGATAGTCCCACGCAAATTGACAGATTGCGTCTAGCTGGACACGGCAGCAAGCAAAGCGCGGACGACAGTAAAGCAACTTGCAGCGAAGGGCGATGTCAAATCGGCGCGAATACTTGCGCGTGAAGTCGTTCGGAGTGACAAGCAGAAGGACCGGCTGTCCGTAAGCAAAGCAAGATTGGGGTCGATATCGAACCAGCTGTCCCAACAGCTTGGTGAGCTCAAATATCACGCTCAAATGTTCTGATACTGATGCCTCTCAGCTATGGCGAAGGTCACCGGATCCCTGCAGAAGTCTACTGAGATCATGAAGCTCTCGAATCAACTTATTAGACTCCCTCAAATTAGTCAGACAATGCGTGAGATGAGTAGAGAGATGACAACCGTACGTCCGTCTATCATTGAATCTACCCACATCGCATAATTTCTGTATCAACAGGCCGGAGTCCTAGAAGAGATGATGGATGATACCCTTGCGATGGAGGAAGACGAAGAAGTCGAGGAAGAGGCTGACGCCGAGGTTGACAAGGTCCTGTTTGATCTCACTAACGGCAAGCTGGGCCAGGCTGGCACGATACAGAATGCAGAACCGGTACGTCTATTAGATCGCATATCTAACCTTTTGATAGCTCATAAAACGCCGACAGACCGTCGAAGACAAGCTGGAGGACGAAGAAACGGAAAGGGTCATGGAGCAGTACAGGCAACAACTCAGCGGACTACTCAGCTGATTCGGCCGTCTGCTGTCTCAATGTGTTATACGCCCAGTCGAGACATGTGTATAGTACTGCTTGTCATTTCCCATTACTCATCTACCTGCGAGTCTTCTTGGACTGCTTCTCACAGTTTGAGATTAGTCGCTTCATCATGCGATGGAAAAGGGGGCACGGATATGGCTATCTCACGGGCAGACGTTGTTGCTGCTGCTCCGAGTCCTTACGTCACTGCTGCCTGAAATGCCCTTGCTCCTAAGGCACGTCTAAACTACAAGTAGCGCTACTTGATCATAATGCCCTTCTCACCGCAACGCGAATTTCCCACAGTATAGTGGGTATTCTTTCCACCTCACTCGGAGGCAGCGTATAGTAACCTCAGTTGCTATTGATACTTATTTGGCTAGGGCTTTGTGGCGCACCGCGGCTCTGCACTACGACAGGCTGTCTCTCCCTCTCGAAATACCAACCAAACTCGTCAGGATGCTCTGGTGCAGTTTCTACACGAGTCAGATGCGGGGAGCAGCTCAAGCTGCGCTCCGCATGCCGTCGCCACCCTCGCCGGCGAGGTTAGCGCCAATTGCTGGCACCAGAACGACGGAACCTTATCCCTTTCGGTAAGGAGACTGTTATGTGCATCGCGCACTCGCCCCTCTCGTTCTCCATGAACGACACGGACGTGGGAATCGGTGGCAAGCATCGGCAATTTCTCAGCAATAATTTCGTACAGGCTGACCGTGACCGCGCCCTTCTTTCAGCTGTGGGTGCAGTTGTCGGTTTAGTGGTAATGGGCCTATTCCAGTTGCTGTTGGCCCTCTTTGGCTTTGGACCGGGTGGAATTATCGCAGGTGAGCTGGTACCACATACGTCTAGGGCATCTAGATTAATATGTGGCGCCAATGGTTTCAGGAAGCGTGGCGGCCGGGATTCAGTCCGCAATTGGGAATGTCGGTCCTGGGTCGCTATTCGCCCTTATCCAGAGCTTCACTGTGGGAGGTATCGCCATTCCAGCATGGATCTGTGCCGCCGTGACGGGTATCTTAACAGCGCTGGGCTTGGCAGTGTGAGCTGGGTGGGGTTGCTGAGTCGAGCACGCACCACCTGCTGCGGCCGGAGTTGCCAATGGATAGGATAGGGAATGGATGAAACTGCTGGAACTCTCCAGACCTTTCTATTAGCTTTTACGTCTACTTCTTGAACTGCGCGTGTCATGCAGAGTCAGGAATGCGATTCACATCAAGAATCTTCAGCGTAGACAGCAGCACTTTGCGTCGAAGTGGCAAAATAAGGTTTAATCACGAGGTTAAAGGTAATTATAAAGGGGCTAGTCTGTGGACGATTCGCACCCCAATACTCTTGCAACTCTCCTATACTATCATAACAGCTCGTTCATCAGACGCAATGTGCGCTGCGGGAAACAGAGCAGTCGCCGCAGGTAAGGCCTTATTCGTTCCACGACAGATCGAGCCTAACGCATGTTATAGCCCTAGGAGGTCCCGGAGGACTGAGCGTTATAGGTCTTGTTCACGCCATCCTCGCACTGATTGGATTTGGACCCATCGGTCCTGTCGCAGGTGCGTCCACCGATTCATCCATGTGGGTGGTCGCAGTTAGTGACGGAAGTCGTTCCTGTAGGCAGTTTGGCCGCGGCCATTCAAGCTTCTATTGGAAATGTTGCTGGTGGATCAGCCTTCGCGATTGCTCAAAGTGTCGCCATGGGCGGAGCAGGAGTCGGCGCGTGGCTCGGCGCAGCCTTTGGCGGAGTGTTGGTTGCTCTGGGTATCAGGAGATAAGATATGCTTGTTGTTTGAATGGGCTTGGAGAGCTATATGCGTCCCTAGTCGAACAGTCACTCTCAGCGGACGTGCGCACTGTTTAGTGAGGTCCATCCCAGAGATGTAATAAACAGAATACCTCACCAAGACTCTCACTAATCCCTCGCACGGCATATCATTTTATATTGAGAAGGCTAAGACATTAGCCCGAATGTCGACAAGCGTAGTTGAGTGCGTCTAGCTTTTGAATACCAGCCGCATTCGTCGGGCCTTCAAGGGGAGAATTACGTACGGAGAATGCTGTTGTTTCTCAGTGCGCGGTCTACTTCCAGCATGTCCGCGGTGCTAGAGCTCGGAAATTGCAGTATAAGCGAAATGCATTGTACAGGATGAGAAACGTTCAACAACCGGTCACTTCAAGGACCACCCCAGGTCACTTCACGGCCGTTTGACAACTCTTCGAAGTTCGCGGCCGAAGGCGAGACTTAGACGCCATTCACGTGCATTTACATCATGGCCACGTGGTCAGTGAAAGGCCTACAAAGTTGCGCAGACCGTTCTCCTCCGACAACTCGTAAAAATGTTCGCAGCCAGAAACGTTCAAAGTATCGCGCGGGGTGCATCAAGGGGCTCTCAGGTAAGTTTGCAGAGTTGTGTTGCATAGATTAAAGGAGCTGACACGGTCTGGGAGCGTAGTCTCTGCGTGGCTACGCTTCGGCTGCACCAACCGCCGCTTTTGCTGGTCAGAAGGGCCCCAACGTGAGTCCCCACACGCGCCCAACAGGGATGGAGAGCTGAAGTGCGAACAGGGCAAATACACTGTTACCCTTATTCCCGGAGACGGTGCGTTAATGTTGTAGTGCACGCGACGACGTAATGGCTCACAAGATGGGTGTCTAGGTATTGGCCCGGAGATCAGCCAGTCGGTCAAGGACATCTACTCTGCTGCAGGGGTACGTTGCCGTGAGGTCTATATTAAAGACTGTAGCTCACAGTGATATCTAGGCCCCCATTCAGTGGGAGGAAGTCGACGTCACTCCAATCCTCAAGAACGGCAAGACTGCCATCCCAGATGCTGCCATTGCTTCCGTCAGGAAGAATACAGTTGCTCTCAAGGGTATGCAGTATTTAAACCTCTGTTCAAACTGGGTCTTACCATCACTTCACCTTTAGGCCCGCTCGCTACTCCCAGTTAGTAGAACTCCACTCAGTGAAGCCGATACGTAACATTCACGCGTTTTCTCTTACAGTTGGAAAGGGACATGTCTCTCTCAACTTGACCCTCCGTCGTACCTTCAACCTTTTTGCCAATGTTCGTCCTTGCGCCTCCATTCAAGGCTACAAGACTCCTTACGACAATGTCGACACCGTCCTCATCCGTGAGAACACTGAAGGAGAGTACTCTGGTATTGAACACGAGGTACGTCACTTCTAGCAGTCAGCAAGTCAGCAAAACCATATGTGCGCGTAGATCGTCGATGGTGTCGTCCAGTCCATCAAGCTCATTACTTGGGACGCCTCGGAACGTGTTGCGAAGTACGCGTTCCACTACGCCCAGGCGAACGGCCGCAAGCGCGTCACCGCTGTTCACAAGGCAAATATCATGAAGATGTCCGACGGCATGTTCCTGTCTGCGTGCCGTCAGGTCGCGAAAGACTTCCCCGGCATCCAGTACGACGAGGACCTCCTCGACCGTGCCTGCCTGCAGATTACCCAGAACCCCGCGCCGTACGCTGACCGGGTGATGGTCATGCCTAACCTGTACGGTGATATCCTGTCCGACATGTGCGCGGGCTTGATTGGAGGTCTCGGTCTCACGCCGTCGGGTAACATCGGTCGTGTGCGTGGTTCTTGACTGGCATGCACGTAACTGTGACTGATAGTTCGTACAGGACGCTTCTATTTTTGAGGCTGTTCACGGCTCTGCGCCCGACATCGCCGGCAAGGGCCTAGCTAACCCCACGGCTCTCCTACTTTCCTCTCTCATGATGCTTCGGTACGCGCTGTCCATGTTTGAATTTTCGCGCACTGACGATGAGCAGCCATATGAACCTCAACGAATATGCCGACCGCATTGAAAAGGCTACCCTCGGTGTATGTCCCCACACAGCACGTTCGTTCAATCAGTCTTTGACTGACATGCTTGATAGACAATTGCAGAGGGCAAGACCATCACTGGCGACCTTGGCGGCAAGGCTTCTACCAAGGAGTACACCGACGCGATCGTCAAGAGGCTCTCGAAGGTGTAATAGACTATAGAGCTCTAGCCGCGTAGACACTCAATACATTACTGGCCGCTGGCTATGGTATTCCCCTGAGACTCTCGTCGCATGTTGGCGGGCTATGTTTGGCTATCGCGCCGGCGGTTTTGCCGGTTGTTCCTGGTGCTAAGAGCCGTGCGTTCCGGTGGGCGACAGTGGCTGCTGTTTCTCTTAGTCGCAACAAATTGGGACAAGGGCCTGTCGTGAAGGCGATGACACGCGTTGATACTTTAGATGTGGCTTGGGCTGATGAAACATTGGTGCGAACGCGGAGGATGGTTGGCCTCATATCTGAAGCTGGCTTGTCATCATACACGCTATTTTGAAGCTGATTGGTTGCTGTGTTCTGGCTATGCGTGGAACGGAAGTAAAACTCGAGATGATGCACGATGTGATGGGGACTAGGCGTGGGAACTTTGTTCGCTGCGCTTCAGTATCATAAAACTCGACTTGCGGGCTCACTTGGTTCTTTCTTTGCGACGATAACCAAACCTTCCACGCCTACCGAGGCAACCACTCCCATAAACCCCCACTCGCCCTACAGGGCAAAGCCATCTACCTTACACAGATCTTCCAACTTCCTGGTAGGTGTCGCTCAGCATTGCCAGCGTTGCAGCGCGCTCACGGAGTACTGCAGTCGTCTCCACGCACTTTTCTCCAACCAGAAACAGTGAAAAGCTCAAAAACATTTCATAAGCCCCAAGCAACGACCCGTGTACCACCAGAATACTCATTACGAACGAAATGACCGACGAAGTCACGCCGCAGACACAGCCCAGTGCGCCCAAGAAGGAGGAGAAGGTCGGAGAGAAAAAGCCGTTGCCCAACGGCGGTCAAGGGGGTGGGAGAGGTCCGAGGAGGAATATGCCACGCTCTGGCTCGACCAGCGGGGGCTCTAACAATGGTGGTCCGCAGCGTCCCTCGTCTGGCGCGAGTAATAGACGCAACGCGTCTAACCCGCCGACTGCTGGCGCTGACGCGAAGAAGAGCAGCAACGACAGTACCGGAGACAAGAGGCTCGACAATCAGCGCTCTAGGCCTCAGGGCAATGGCAATGCCCGCGGCGGCAACCGCAAGCCGTCTCAGGGCAACCGCCAGAACAACAGGGACAGCGTGTCTAGGCAGAGTAGCGGCAAGCAGAGCTCCGGCTCTCCCGCGAATGCTGCTCCTCCCGCCGAGGGAGCAAGCGATGCGCTCTCTTCCCTGCAGCGTGTCATCGCTGATCTCAAGACCACCACCCCTTCCGCACAGTCCGCGAACATGAACAACCCGATGAACATCTCCGCCCCTGTCCCAATCCCCGCCAGCCAGAGTGGGTCAAACTTGCCCGCCAACGCTCCTGTCTTCCAGCCCGGCGCTGTCGCTTTCCCGGGCATCGCCGGCAATGAGGCCCCTAGGCACCGCAAAGCTGCCTCTCTTGGTGCTGGCTCGCTCCCTGGCAACTTCAACTCATTCTCCCCCAATCTCGGTTCTATGCTGGAAGATGTCGAGGAAGGTCTCGGAGGCGCATCATTCGAGGAGGGCGAAATTCAGGAGGCACTTACTCCCACTGCGGCTCACCAGCGCCGCTCGCTCTCTCAGAGCTTCACCGCTCCTAGGTTTGCCGCGCTTGCTGCGCAGCAGGAGGATTCCGTCGGCCCTGCTGGCCGCCCTCAGCTCGCGCCGAACTTTATGTTTGGCAGAAGGCGCCCTAGTACCGCCACGCCTATGGGACCGCCCATCAACGAGGAAGATGTCGGCTTCCAATTCCCACAGCAGAACCCGCAACAGAATTTCAATATGGAAGCTCAACACGAGCAGAATCCGCACAGGAGAACCGAGAGCTCCGGCGAAATCTCAGGTATTATGGCCGAACAGGTACGCAATCCTCGTGCAGATTGTGATAGGCAATCTAATCTCATAATCATTACAGATTGCCATTCAGACTCAGATCGAAGCCTTGCAGCAACAACAGCAGGCGCTCTACCAGCAGCAGCTCGCTCAGAACCAAGTCCTGTCCTTCCAGACCGCTGGTCTTGCCCCGCCTCGAGGTGGCGCTCACCGTCGAGTGCACAGCACTCTGCCTGTTGGAATGGGCATCAGCGCGGCGTTCGCCGGTCCTCAGTCGGCTATGGGACAGTTCGGCCAGCTTGGTAATATCGGAATGGGTTTGGAGTCTCAAGGCGCGGGTATCCCCCGCGGCCACGGCAGGCGTCACAGCGTGAACGTCCTCAATAAGGCTAGCGGACAGCCGGGTCTGGGATCCATGTTCCCGAATAACTCGGACGGATTCGACGACGGCTTCGTCCCGCCTGCTGGTTTAGCTGGCTCCCAGCATGCTCGTTCTGACTCGACCTGGCGCATCAATGGCGGCGTCGGCGGTATGCAGAATGCACCGTACACCGCGGACCTTGCGCAGGCTCAGGCTCAGCTCCAGAGTCTGCAGCAGTTCCGTGCCGCTGCCGGCGGTCACCACCACAAAATGCCGTCCTTCAGTTTCCCCAACATGCTGCCGAATATGATGGCGGCGAACATGATGGGTCTCGGCCTCGGTGGCATGAACATCCTCCAGCAGCAACACCAGCAGTTCCAGTCGCAATTGCAGCAGCAGTCTAACCAACCCCAGCGCAAGTCGCTGTTCGCTCCCTACCTCCCCCAGGCTTCTCTGCCCCCGCTCCTTGCGGCAGGCAAGCTTGTCGTCGGTATCCTACGTGTCAACAAACGTAATCGCTCGGACGCCTATGTCGCGACTGAGGTGCTGGACGCCGATATCTATATCTGTGGTTCAAAGGATCGTAACCGTGCACTGGAAGGCGACATCGTAGCTGTCGAACTCCTGGACGTTGACGAAGTCTGGGGAACGAAGAAGGAGAAAGAAGAGAAGAAGAGGAAGAAGGAAGAAAACTCTGCGTACGACCTCAAGGGCACTGCTGTCCGCAAGAACGACAAGAAGAAGGATGATGTCGAAGTCGAGGGTCAGGGTCTAATGCTTTTCGAAGACGAGGAGTACGTGTGTTTATCCTTATCGTCTCCAAGCTTAATCGCATGCTAAACATGTTACAGAGTCACCGATGAGGTCAAGCCTCAATTCGCCGGTCACGTTGTTGCTGTTGTCGAGCGCATGCCCGGCCAGCTCTTCTCCGGCACCCTCGGTCTACTCCGTCCTTCGTCGGCGGCTACCAAGGAGAAGCAGGAGGCTGAGCGCCGCGAGCGCGAGGGTGACAAGGGCGACGAGCCTCGCCGTCCGATCGAGCGTCCCAAAATCGTCTGGTTCAAGCCGACCGACAAGCGTGTGCCGCTCATTGCCATACCGACTGAGCAGGCTCCTCCGGACTTTGTCCAAAACTCGGAGACCTATGCGAACAAGCTCTTCGTCGCTTGCATCAAACGCCACGTATGCATGTTTTGCCGTCGGCCGAATTCGCTTATACTTACCTTCATTATTGTAGCCTATCAGCTCCCTCCACCCCTTTGGTACTCTGGTCGAAGAGCTTGGTCCCATCGGAGACATCGAGGTCGAGACAAGCGCTTTGCTCAAGGACTGCAACTTCCCCACGGAGGACTTCACTGAGAATGTTCTTAAGTGTTTACCCCCTATTCCTTGGACGTGAGTGATTGCACTGCCGCGAGTGATTTTTTTTAGCTTATCAGTCATTGCAGCATCCCTGAAAGGGAGTTCGAGGTTCGCAAGGACCTCCGTGGCGAGCGTATCTTCACCATCGACCCTGACAGCGCTAAGGACCTAGACGACGCCTTTTCAATCAAGGTCAACGACGACGGTACCTACGACGTTAGCGTTCATGTCGCCGACGTGTCGCACTTCGTCAAACCTAACACTGCTCTTGATCGCGATGCTCGCAAGCGTGCTACAAGCGTCTATCTCATCCAGCGTTCTGTACCCATGCTGCCACCCGCATTGAGCGAACAACTTTGCAGTCTCCTACCCGGCCAGGAACGCTTGGCGTTCTCTGTTATCTTCACGATGACCAAGGAAGCAAAGGTCGTTAAGAAGTGGTTTGGCAGGACCATCGTCAAGTAAGTACATATGTCCTACGTTTAGCACGCAAAACTAATGTATGTCGCAGGTCCGCTGCGAAGCTGAGCTACGGCGATGCCCAGAACGTCATCGATGGCAAACCGATCGGCGAGGTACCAGTTATTCCCGAGCACAATGCTGGCGACATTGCCCACGATATCAAGGTACTCGACGACCTTGCTAAGCAGCTGCGCGAGCGTCGCTTCCAGAACGGTGCGATCGGCGGCGAGTCATATGATCTCAAGTTCGTGCTAGATGAGGACGGCATGCCCACCGACTGTGTCTCTTACGAGCGCACTGAAGCGCACAGTCTTGTTGAGGAGGTCAGTCTAGCCCGTCTTATTGACAGCTTATCCGTATTCAGTGATTCCCCATTCTATATAGTTCATGTTGGCAACGAATATCGCTGTAGCTCAGCAGATTGCTGTCCACTTCCCCGAGCAAGCACTCCTTCGCCGCCATGACAACCCCCTGGAGCGTCGTCTCGTAAGTCTCTTCCGCTTGTTGATGTTGTTCAGTTAGTCAGACCGATCTGTGCAGAACGCCTTCGCCGACCGTGCGGAACGTCTAGGCTACGGGATGGACACCTCGTCCTCTGGTGCTCTTATGCGCTCTTTGAATGCGATCACCGATCCTGCCATTCGCCGTATCGTAGAAATCTTGCTTCAGAAGTCCACCCAGCGTGCGAAGTACTTCTGCGCGGGCATGCTCGACATAGCGAAGTACGGTCACTACTCACTCAACGTCCCGTTATACACACACTTCACCTCCCCAATTCGTCGTTACGCCGATGTTCTGGTTCACCGTCAGCTCGATTCGATCCTGCAGGTCGGCACTCCCGGTGAGGCTCCCAAGTTTACGATGGACCGCGACGCTGTTGCCAAGGTCGCTCAGCAATGCAACATGTAAGTTGGCTTCCTTTGGAATTAAACAAAACACTGATATGATACCTTCTTAACAGCAAGCAGGACTCCGCTCGTCTTGCTCAAGAGCAATCTACTCACTTGTTCCTTTGCATCCTTATTCACGACCTCACCCAACGCTATGGTCCTGTCATCCGTCAGGCCAAGGTCGTTGGCGTCCTCGATGCTGCGTTTGACGTCTATGTCCCCGAGTTCAGTATTGAGAAGCGGGTGCACGTCGACCAAATGCCCATTGATGTAAGTCATATCCTATCGTTAGCCATGTGACCTCGTTTAACTCTATTTTAGAACCATGTCTACGACGAGCACAAGCACACCCTCCAGATCTACTGGTCTGAGCGTGATGTTATCACCTGGCTCGCAGAGAACAGCGACGACGAGCACCTCAAGAAAGTCAAACAGAACGCCGAACAACATGCTCTCAAGATGGAGGTCGCCTCTCGCTCCGTCAACGACGAGCAGGCTCTGTTCGATGAGGATGATCAGGACGAGATCGTTTTTGAGCGTCCTGGCGAACCGGAGACCGTCGAAACCTCTAAGCAGAGGCTGTTCTCCAAGGCCAAGGTACAACCCGTCTTCGAGGCCCTCAAGGTTACCCCTGCTGGTCACAAGATCCAGGAGATCCGGGAGATGCAGACCGTACCAGTCATCGTCACTGCTGACCTTACCAAGAGTCCGCCGGTCATCAAGGTCTACAGCGTTAACCCATACGCTGCTGAGCAGAAGTGAAATATCCGCATGGCCAAACCCACTCGCCGACTGGAACAGTTTTTTCAGGGATGGATTTTGGATGAATGAAGTCAATGGTTACCGTTTTTCTCTTCCTTTCACCACTTAAGCGTTTTCAAAAGCAGCTCTCGCTATCAGTAATTGCTTCGCCTTCCATTTGCTCATGACCCGAGCCTGCTACGACTAGCATGATGTCTTCTACGCACTTACTCATGTGTCTTTCATGCACGTGTAATTCTAATAAACGTTCGTACCTTACTACACCAATGGAGCTTGTACATGTTTGCTATGTGATTTCCCATGACCGACGCCACCCAGATATCCCGTATCTATCTTGCCAATAAGCTGCTACGTTTACATGTCTTTCCCTCTTCCCCCTGTGCACTTTCCTGCAAGCTATGATGGACATCCTGCGCGAGTCTGTAGGACTATCATCAGCGATGACAGGCGGTAACAGTACCCGTTTAGGACCGGAATCCTTCTTCCAGATCGCCTTCGCTGTGCGCACTAGCTCAGTCTCAGTTCGATCTTCTGTGCTACAGCCAGCGCGTGCATACATCTGCACAACCTGACGAGTTCTCTTGCACGCGTCATTCGTGTATATCATCGCTGAATTAATGGCGAATGGAGACTCCCTGTTCTCACTTGGTTATGACTCAATAAAAGAATGATATCGGTGCAATGCACCCTTTGAAACCAAATTTTGAACTGTCTCATTATTTTTACTTGTGACATCCATTGCTTCTCATGCCCCTTTTCGCACCTCAATATGCTCACTACTACCACCAGGATTTTCAGCTCCCCACGGGGAAGTTCTACCCTTCTTCTTCCGCGCATACAAATAGTCAGTCTTAGTATGACTAATGAAAAATCAGAACAACGCACTTGGGGCAAAGAAGTCTTCCTACTAGTCAGATGGAGAATGCAAAAAAGCAAACCGAAGCAAGCGAAGAAATTCCAGCACGACGGCATGGCTATGCACGAATGTGGCTTGTGGGTATTTGCGGTGCACAGAAGTGGATGGCCATAGTCACTTTATAGACTCGCGGGCTCTGGTTACCGGGTGTGCTCGGCGGTGCAAGGCCCGTCGCGATCCCAGCCAAGCTGAAGCCAGGCCATACTAGATATGGGCTAGTACTTGCCGCAATAGGCTACAGGCTCAACGTTCCCGGTCTCGGCGCATACACTTGAAGTGGCGAAGTCACCCACAGTCGGCCGTCCTCGTAATCCTACCCCAAGGATATGCTAGAGTGAATGGCTCGCATCAAAGGCAGTAAATGACGCTGGTCATAGAAGTACCTATGCTAACCCAGTCTAACGATATCAGTATACGCGAGGTGCGATAGCAATATAGGTATTAAGACAAGACATAGGCTTAGCGGTGCATACGATAAGCGTCATAATTGATCTCAGTATCTCGCCGAAGAATATAGATGCCGTTCTAAGACCAGGTCCATTTCACATCTCGGGTGATCTTGCAGTTAACTTTGTGCCGAGGCCAGTCAGTGGCCTGGCACTCTTTACTGTATCGACGCGTCAATGACGAGCAGCTCGTTATTAAAGGAAAGTGCAGAGTTACCTGCAATACCTACAAACGAAAACATGACGTGTGAGCTTGGACTCGGACAGAGAGACACATGTGACGAACCGGGCCAGCTTGCACCGTGCGCAACGACTCATGTTCTTATTAATAGTATCGTCGCGCTCGCATTTCGTGCAGCTTGCGGCAGTAGGGTAGACGGCACCTGGCAAATGAGGAGCGGGCGGTAGGCTGGCGGGGGCTTGGCCAGTCATAGCAGCCAGCGTTCTTTCGGTTTCTTTCACCTGCTGGAAGCACGACGAGCCACGGGAGTCGCATAGAAGATGGACCTACACCATACATAGATCATTAAGGCGAGAAGTGTCATGTATAAAGCGCATACGTAGACCACCACTCTAGGTGGAGACAGATGCATCCACGAAGCGAAATTCATGTGGCTTTCGCGCGCGAGCTTGGCTACGATATAAATTAATCAGCGTTTATAAAATGTAGTAGAGTAGTAGCTACACACTGCAGAATTCGCAGTGCCAGTGGTTGCTGTGCTTCACTTCAGGCATCAAGCTACGGACGGCCTCACGAGCCCAGTCCTGCATGCGACGCAAGTTGCCCGCGACCTCGACAGGCACGATGGGCGCGAATTTGACTTCAACGCGTCTTTGGTCTTCGCCGGTAAAGCGAGAGTCTTCGGCGGGGTCGCTCGCAGACGAGCCGTATGCGATGACTAGGAGATCAAGGACCGGGCCTTGCGAAGAGTTCTTCGTCGCCATAATTGGTTTGTTACGGCGTACCAGGAGTTTTGCGAAGGCTACCAATGGGATATGTACGGGATGAGTGAAATACGACGCGTGAAGTCGCCCAGCGGCGTGGGTGATGGTGGCCAATGAAAAAGCACGCGGCGTGCTAATGAACGCGTCTGGGCGCTTACTGTTGCGTGCGTCTGAGACTCTGAGTGTTGTTCAGTTGTCTTGTGTGCCGCAACCACCTCGAATCTGGAGGTACTTGACGTCAGACCTAGCATAGAGACCAACGGAAACCATGCGTCAAACAAGCATACACAGAAACTTCTCGCTCACGATGCACAGATCTTCGCACGCGAGCTGAAAATCTTGTGTACGAACCGTTTCCTCGTCCCCGCTGGGTCTCCTCGACTGAATTAGCCTTCCTTTGACGGCGAAGGAACAATCTCAACCTGACGGCGATCCTGTTGAAGAATTATCGGACGTTTGCAGACTGCTGCATGACACTCAGTCTCCTCAACTGACGCCACTTGAATGGAAGTCTACTTGTCTCCTGCTCTTGCAATATGGCAAACGCAGAAGTGTCGTCGTTCAAGCGGTCTGCGTCGCTGCAATAAATGGCGCTCGACGGAGCTTTGGAACAAATTATCGATTTCTGTGTCCGGACACGTAGAGTGTCGACTCTGCAAAGTCGATGGATTGCGTTGGCCATCCAGGTGTTTGGCTTCTTATCCGTGCAGCCAAGGTCAGACATATCTCCTATGCGCCCGCATGTTGTGTCTGCAACTGAGTCGTCTACCCATTGTTAGCTTACAGAGGCTATTCAACGCGCGTGACGCTCGCAAGCCATCACTCGGGCTTTCAGACGAGTTGCTTGCTACATTCCAGGAGTATCTACCTGAGGACGCCACTGCATGGGTCTCAAAGCATCGTCAACAACTCTGCGATGTCATTGGCACGTCTGCCACTGACAGTTACGACAAACTCATTCATCAATGTTTGACCAAAGGAGGAATTGGATACATACAAGAGCAGTGCGTACAGTCAATCTGCTGATAGTCCAATACGCTCATAAAAGAGCTTCTACAGCCTCTTGCCGTTTTGTGCAGAGGCTTCGACAGAACTCTACCTACGTACACTCGCCGTTCGCATCCATCAAGATGAAGTATTTGTCAAGTCACATTCCAAACGCAAAGTTGTCCGCGAACTCCTCATAGCTGCCATGTCGAAGACTAAGATCTATGGTCCGATGCACATGACACACAACAGCACAATTATCGAATCTTCCTGGACTCTGCTGTACTCCTGCGTGGAGGCAAATTGCGCGGATGTCGCTGCTGCTATCATCAAGAAATTGACTAACAAAAGTGAAGTGCCCGACTCCGATCATGGCTTCAGATGGGCTTCATCTGTTCTCTTTGTGTTAATCGGCAACATACACAAGAAACTGGCCGGGAGTCCCAGCTCCACCATCCTCTTATCCTGCAAATTGTCATTAGAGCAGGCCGCATGCGACATGTTCATCGACGGCTTGCTTGCGAAGACCTTCGAGGATCCCCGTTTTGCAAAATCAAAACTAGACCCGCTGAAGTCGGCAACATTCTTCGAGTCTCCGGACATGGCCGCTTCCGTTATCGCAAAGTACGTTGCTCGATTGCTTTTACTCAACCCTCGCTCATCCACCACGTAAACATAGAATACTGCATAGGTTGCCAGAGCTTCATCAGCATTACCAGCAGGAAATACTCGCGATATGGCAGCCGTATTTAGGCCACATTTTGCGCAGTCAGACTTTGATTACGGACGTCCCGTCGCTGGTTGAGCGATTTATCAAAGACGTATCGACATCTGGTATCGACTCCTCGATGACGATCGTCTCGTCATACCTAGAAGTGGGTCTCCGGGATCAAGCACGCCTTTTGGTGGATCAGATTGTTCAACGAGCTTTTCCATCCCCTTCGCACATGAAGATCGACGGTGCCACTGGACGTTATAGCGAACATTCCAATAGCCCGTCGATGATTCGAGCCTTCTTCTTCAAACTGGTTCGGATGGCGTCCCAGAGCGGGGCCCTCGCTGAACTGGGTCCCGTCCTGTGTACTCTGCTTATCCGTTGGGCACAACTAGACATGGAAGACCGTGGCATTATCGTCACGGAAACGTTCAAGAAGAGTTTTATCCGCAGGCGCGAGGACTGGTTCAACAATTGCGAGTGTAAGACGTGCTGCACGGTATTTAGATTTCTCAGCTCGACCAGCGACGCCGGTCATCTCTGTGTCGTTCTCAAAATCGAACGCTTGTCGCTCACAGGGTCTGGGTGCACTGTTAGACACATCGAAAAAGTACTGAAAGCCGTCGTTATCCCCGAGATTGTCACTTTGAAAGTTGAGACAAATACGAGTGATGACAAGCTACGGGACGTCTGGGTAAGCCAAAATGGCTACGTACAATAGCGAAGTTAACTTCTTAGCACACACAGATGTACAAGTCCCCTCAACTGTTCCGACCTTCCGAGTCGCCGAAGCACAAAGCCGCTCTGAGAAACATGCTCAATGAAGTCAGCAAAAATGAAGCCGAGCGCAGCCAGATCCTTGGGCCTGGGTACGAGCCCTTGCGATCTTAGATGAACAGTCAAGACCCTCGTATGTCGGGAGCAAGTGTTGAAGACAGAGCGGATACAGACTCCGACGACAGTATAATACCAGGCAAGCAGCCTCTAAAAAGGAGGAGACTGAACACTAGCAGTACCGCAGCCTCAAGTCGTGTGTTCTGATGAGCGTTTCTGCACTCGGTAGTAATATCTTCTTCGTGCATAACCTCCCTTTCCCACAGACAAGATATGGTTCTTGCATGATGTGTACATACTCGAGGTGTTATGTATCTTAACCACTGAACGCAATGAGGGCTACGAGTCCCATATACTGGTTACAATGATAGGAGCTCGGAAGTCGCCTCAAAACTCAAGCCTCTTGCGCTCATATCGCCGGAGTGGGTCCCTAGATACATGTACAACACGGGTCTCCTTGACCGTGTGTATATTTGCCCGATGGACAACTTCCCAGTAGCTCAACGGGACCTGGCGAAAGACCACTAAGGCAGTGCGACGTGAGGCTCTATCACTAGTACGGTCTAAGAGCAGAAAGCAACTCACCTCCGTCTTCGACTTCTTGGCACGTTGTCCGCCGTCACCTCGCGCACCGGTAGAACTAGGCGGCCGCTTTCCCGTCACCGCCGCGGTAATATGAGCTGCTTTGGGCCCCATGTCTGCACTGTCCGCACCAGCACCTGCGGCCTTGGCATTACTCTCCTCCCGATTTTCCTCCTTGTTCTCTTTGTCCTGCTCGCCCTGCTCCTCTCGTGCATCTCTATCCATCTGCTGTTCCTCCTGAAGTTCTCCCTGTTCGTCCTGTTCGACATCCTGCTGGTCCTTATCAAATTCTCCAACTTGGCTCAGATGCTCTGCATTGCGGGGCTTAGGTCCGTTGGCCCAAGATGCTAACGTCCGGTAGTGTTCTGCGCCCAAAATATTCTCTGGCGATGGCTTGAAAATGGGCGCCTGAAGCATACTCTGAGCGACGATCTTGCGGTTAAGCCAGAGACGTAATATCTTGGCACTACCCGTGAGCTCCACCTATAGCGAATAAAGCATTTGATGAGCAGCTGGACAAGCACATATATGGTATACGCAGCTGCGGAGAGAGTAGCTCTAACTGACCTTTATCCCTGTCTCATTCTCATCTGTCCATGTAGCGATATCACTTGGGACATAGTTGTCCAAGCCAGCCTTGAGGTGCTGGAGGACCCGAGGATCAAGCGCCAGCATCTTGAGGGTATACGTCTCGCGGGAGCCTGCGGCGAGGCTTTCAAGCAAAAACCCTCTCACCGAGACGCATGCAGGGCGTTCGCACTTCCATCGCTCTCCAACATGGTCGATCTTCTTCTGAAGCTGGGCCGCATCCTCTTGTGGAGGGTCCGGAACACGCTCCATCCACCCAAGAAGCAGAGTTCGCAGCGCCTGGGCCCAGACCTCTCTAATACTATCCCTATACGAGTATACGAAGGCGATCTTTTTCCAGCAGAGCATTAAAATCAAGCCCTTGTGAGACCTCGCCTTCATTGTAGGGGCCCTTGCTGGAACCGTCGTAGACCAGAGCACGCTGCTCGTCCGCCTTTCTGATCAATACAGGATCATCTGCGATTCGTTGGGCGATGAGTTGCACTGCTTCTTCAATGCCTCTGTCTATACACCTCTCCATGACACGGTGTACTTCCTGCGCATTTGGTAAATCAGCTCGACGTGCAAAATAGGCCACAAGTGACTTCCAGAGGGTTTCAAGCGCGGAGAAAGCCGAAATACGTTCCTTCTCGCCTTTATATGCGATGAGAAGGTCGAATATTGCCTGCGGAGGTACGGCAGTAGGCCCATCAACACGCTGTATAGCTCTGAACATGATCACGCTTCAGTGCGTGAGGTTCTGGTGGTCAATAGCAAAAATCCGCACCTCTTCAGTAAGACAGATAGTCCAAGCCCACCATTCGAGAGTTTTACTAATGGATGTGCGTCATGTGTATAGTACGGGGGTGTTGACCGGTCGATGAGCCACAGCTTTTCACGGGAGAAGCAGTCTAAGTGGAGGTCGAAAATTGCATTTTGAACGTCCTGCATCGCCCCCTGAATTGGTTCGACAGCCGAAAATTGGGATTTAGATACGCATAAGTCACGAAGATAGAGCATTAAGGGTGTCAAGTAGTCGATGGTTGATTCCAGTTTAGCCTGTGCATCTTTACGCTCGAGCTTGCTTGACCGCAAAGACTGCGCTACACTCTTGAGTAGTTCCCGAATGATTTCTGGGAATCCAAACTCGCAGCATGAGGTGAGTATTGGCTTAATGGTGGTGAGACGGTCTGCAGCAGTTGAAAGCCGGTGAGCCTTGAACACAGCGGTATGCAGCATGTCAGCAGTAATTTTTGATTTGCGAGGGATGTCAGGTAGTACGAGCTCAGCACGAATGCGTTTTGAGAGCTCGTGCAGAAAGGCAGAGGTGTAAGGCCCGGAGAGTGCCCTCAAGCTATGTTATGCATCTAAGTCGTATTCGCCCAAAGTTACTAAGGGTCCGGACGACTTACTGAATTGACATGAAGGTAAGACCACCCCATTGCAGGCAATGGTGCAGAATCCGGTCGCACTCGTCGTCAGAAGTGGGTGCGATTGCTTCGCATAGGCGTTTTTGGTACTCGCTAAGCCACGAGAGAATGCGAGGCTCTGTGTCGTCCTTTGTAGTCGATGCCTCCAACAGGTTCTTCAACTCTTCAGTTAGGCGGAAGGCTAGCCTTGGGTTTGTCGCCGTCTTGAAGCATTGTTCGAGGCTACAAAGGGTGAATAAAATATGTAACAAGATAAAACAAATTGTACGCTCACCCTGCTCGAACCTCAACCCGAAGCCTTGGATTGCCTTTAAGACGATCCGAGCTTCTAGAGCTTCAGATTCGAGAGTATTTAACCACTTCTCGACAGCCTGCCTCCACAAATCGGCCTGTCTCCACTTGAGAGCTGCATTCATGATAGCCTTTAAAGATGCTTTGCGAGAGCTATCATCCTCGAGTTTGTCAAGCATTAGTCGCGTGGATGTAAGCTCCAGCTCTGAAGGTTCATCTACTCGCGCGAGTGCGGTTATCCACCGGGAGATCTTGTCTGACTCTTTGCTCTGGACAGCAGCGCCCTCTCCACCAGCCATAGCTTGGTATACCGGTATGACGTTTCAGTAGAGGTGAGCTGAAGAGGGCGTAGAACAGAGACCGTTACTGCCAATGCTCGACTGCAGTACGTTTCCAATTCTGGACGTCGACAAGGTGCCCACTGGTCGATCTTCCCTATTTTAAGTGTAGTCGACTTTACGACACTTGTTCTCTGTTCCGGCTGAGCAACCCCTGACGTCTGCAGCTGAGGTAGTTCAAAATTCGCAGAGCACAATAAGGACAAGCTTATTTGGATATACCGTGTATTAGACAACTACAACCTGTGGGCTACGGGGAGGTCTCCTTGAGAGAGTGTTCCCAAAGCTTCTCCTTAGCTTCTGGAGTTGACCACATATTCTTGTCGCCAAGGTCCTCGCCATGCTTACTGCGACGGAACCATCCCTTGGCGCCGGCATACACCCCGTGCCACATATACTCGCCACAATCGTCCGCAGTCACGCCGAATGCGCACGCGAGGGCAGATACTAGAGGATTGATAATGGACCCAGACCAGTGGGACTTGGTTGCGCTGCTCATGATGTTTGTCCGCACGATGCCGGGGGCTATGTGTGTGAATGCGAAGCTGGGATATTTATCTGCAAAGGTCTGTATATCGCAGTATGAATAATGAGTAGCAAGTGGACAGAACTAAGCTTTTGCGCACCTGCACCATCAGGTCGTTGTACGTGGAACATGCCCTCGCGCACAATGTCAGCGAGTAATTCTTCTTCAAGCCAAGATCATCTAGATCTATCTGTCCCGCCTCGCCGGTGCCTGCCGACAGGACGGTCGTAACTTTTGCATCTTCGCCGGCGTCCTTCGCTTTCTGAAGTAACGGGATGAGGCTAGACAGGCTAATGAGTGCTAGTCGCAGGAAAATAGACCGCGACACACTCATAGGTGAACCTCCATCGGGAATAATAATGCAATGCCGTCTTCCTGTCAATCCCCTCGTCCGACTCCGTCCTTCCGTCGAACGCCATTATCCCAGGGGAAAGTACGAGGAAATTGACCTTCGGCAGCCGCTCCTTCAGCTCCGCGGTCGTCTTGCGCACATTGCGCATGAGGGTCAGGTCACACTCGACGAATTCGTACTTTGGCTCCTTGCCCTCGGGCTTGGGGAACGACGCGATGACCTCCTCGGCGGCGGCACGGTTGCGGCCGACGAGGATGATATGGGCGTCGCCGCCTCTGTGACGGGCGAACGTCCTGGCCATGCCCGCCCCAATACCTGCGGTACCACCAACGAAGATAGCGACAGGGTGGTAGGGCAGACTACTGCCAATGCTCAGGTTGGAAGCGCGTATGCTCGAGAGGGAGGACATTGTTGCCGATGTGAAGCGGGCTATGAAGGGGCTCGGTGGCAGGAGTACTAGGTCTTGTTATTTCACACGAGCGCAGCAGGAATTGACGTCTGCTAGCCGGGCCCCGGCAATATTAGAGAGGACGTCCGCGAACTGACCATTCCTTTCACTGACCGGCAATAGTAACTTCAACTTGAGCCTTTACAGTCGGCAACTCTTCCGCGTGACTCAGAAGAGGATGCGTGAGATGAAGGCACGAGACGGGGTGAAGACAGTGGTGGAAGCAGCCAGAGTGTAGAAGGCGGTTTCTTAGTTTCAGGTCATCCGTGCAGCAGTACATATATATATATAAAGCATCTGCAGGATGCGCCGTGGCGAGACGTGTATGTGCGGCAGGTGTAGCCGCGGCGCTGGTCATCATCCATGTGAAACGTGAAACACTGGCTCAGGTCGATGTGAAAGCAAAGCTGCTTTCGGCGTTGCTTCCCCTCGGCGTCCAAGTTGTCCGCCGACGCTCGAGGCGCTTTCGCGGCTCTCCGGCTTGAAAGTTGTCTCTCGTCACCGCTGTCCCTCATGAACATCCTCGCCCGATGTCGACCGGGTGGAATTATCTCTTCAAGCTCGCGCCGCACAGCGGCTGGGTGTCTGTGCTCACTTGACAGACCGCACCGGCACGTCAAGCCAAGTGTGCTCAGCATCCCTCGGCTGTTCGGCACCAATGCCAGAACTGCGGAAACAGCCTCTGAGCTGGACGAAGACGAAGCACCTCTGAAGTTGGAAGATGATGGTCAATACGAGATTATTGTGCCCAAAGACCCATTTGCACGTCCTGTGTTTTCTCCGCCATTGCACGTTCCGCCGCATATCATCCGTCCTCTTTACGCCACACCTGAGATGCTAGAGAAGTACAACAGAAGCGGCCATCTCTCAGAACCATATATCGGAGATGGACGTATCAGTTTGGGAAGTGAGGACGAATTCAAGCTTCGTAGAGCAGCTAGGCTAGCAAGACGCGTTCTGAATTATGCAGGCAGCCTGGTAGTGGTAAGCACCTCTGCTGCGTTCCCGTCCGTTCCAGCTGACTGCTGTAGCCAGGTGCGACGACAGAAAAAATTGACGAGAATGTTCATGACTTCATCATCAAACACGATGCGTATCCTTCACCGCTACAGTACTCTGGCTTCCCGAAGTCGTGCTGCACGAGCGTGAATAACATAGTAGTCCACGGTATACCTGATACGTATGTTATCTATGCCGCTATGCGCGCCCTGTGACTAATAGCGGCGTTGCCAGGCGACCTCTCAATGACGGCGACATTGTGAACATTGACATAACTGTCTACTTGAACGGCTACCATGGGGATACTTCTAAGACCTTCTTAGTCGGTGATGTGGTGCGCCTGCGATTCTCCCTTATGCCTCGGTAACAAACCCTCATATCCACAAGGATAAAATAGGACGAGACTTGGTCAAAGTCAGCGAGGAAGCTCTTGAGGCAGGTATCCGTGCATGTGGACCAGGACGACCATTGAGAGGCATCGCGAGAGCTATCCATGAGGTTGTGAAGGATAGAGGATACGTTGTCTGTCCTGCATTCACCGGTCATGGTATTGGGTCGGTCTTCCATCGCCCGCCATGGGTATGGCACGACCGTGAGCATTGTTGTCTCGTTCACTTGAACATAAGGCTGAGATCCTCGTAGTGAACGAAGAGCCAGGTGATATGATGCCTGGGCAGTGCTTTACGATCGAGGTATGTCGAAGGACAGTTCCTAATTCTCTGCCTAGCTGCCCACGCTTTGTCTAGCCTGCGATTATCAAAGGCTTGAACAATAACCATGTGATCTTCGGTGACGATTGGACAGCATCCACAATGGTGAAGCGCATTTTCTGCACCTGGCACCGAGAAAGCTAACTGGTATGCCATCCTTAGAACTGGGCTCGATCCGCACAAGCAGAGCATATGGTACTCATCACTGACACGGGAGCGGATGTCCTCACACGCGACGACTCTGCCTTCGCCGTAGGAGAAAAGTAATCAATGTTACATTAGAGTGAGATTAGGTCATACTGGTACATTGCCCACTACTTGGTCTGCGTTAAGTTAGAGATGATAGACAATCTTCTCGCCGCTGTGCTTGCCCTCCGCCATGTACTTGAGACCGGCCTCAGTGCCCTCAAGGCCGCCGTCGAAGAGCTTGGTCGGGTTCGGCTTGACCTGCCCGCTCTTGACGAGCTCGGGCGTCTTCTTGAGGAAGTTCACCATGTGCGCCCGGTCCTCCTCGCTCGCGGGGAAGGCCATCATGTGTCCGTAGACGAACTCGCGGCCGAGCGAGGAGTAGATTACCGTCAATTGGAGCTTGACGTCGGAGCGCAGGCCCGGGACGTCCTGAGGAAGGATCGTGAGGAGCTTGCCGCCGTCGGCGCCAAAAGTCTCCACGCTGAATTTCAGCGTGTCGGGCTGGGAGATGGCGTCGAGCCCCACGCGAATGCTGTTGTTCGTGAGCTTCTTGATCTTTTCGATGGCGCTCGGATCCTTGTACTGCAGTGGCTGAGTCAAGACGAGGGCAGCGCGCATGTCAAGGAGAGACGTACGTCAAATACAGCGTCCGCACCAAACTCCTTGCAGAGTGCGTGGTTTCTGGGCGAGGCAGTCGTAACGACTTTGTAGCCAGCAAGGTGTGCGAGCTGGATGGCGAACATGCCGACGGAGCCTTCATAAATCCAGGTTAGCACCTCAGCGCCGCGGGCTCAGGACGCGCACTCACCGCTTCCTCCATACACGAGAATCCACTCCTCCTTGTCAACTTTTTTCGGGGGCTCGACGAGTCCTAGGCGGGCCGGGTGGAACAACGCCTGGACAGCTGTCCAATAGGCACCACCCATGGTGGCCGCCTCTTCGTGGCTGAGCGTGCCTTCGGGGACCTTCCAGGTGAGGTCGGCGGAGGTCTTGGCATACTCGGCGAACGCGCCGCGATCCTTGTACATGCCACCGAACACGAAGCTCGCGACATGGTCGCCCACGGCGGGCGACGTGACGTTCTTGCCCGTCTTTACGACGTAACCAGACCAGTCGCATCCGCAGATCGTGCCCACGTTGGTGAAGAGGCTGATGTCTGTTGATGCATCATCAGTAGGGGTGCAGACGAAATGGTGAGAAGGGCGGACGCACGGTGCCAGTCAGTCGGGTTCTGCGCGACACCGACGACCTTGACGAGCACTTCGTCGTCGTCGATCTCCGGGACGGGCACCACCTCGATCTTGGCGGTCTTGTTGGCCTGGGTGATGAGAGCCTTCATCGTCTTTGGAATCTCCGCTACCATGTTGTGCGATGACTGGGCGTGTGAGAGATGAGGGGTGTAGAGGTCAGGGGTGTGCAGTTCTTGTATGGCAATGATATGAAGGCACACCTTTTATACTGAAACTCCACGCGCATAGGCAAATGGCTCATGGTGTCCGTGAAACGTATTGTCAGCAGCAGTCAGCAGCCCCTCCCTTGAGCGTTCGCCGATGGCCGACCACAGTACGAGTTACTGCCGCCGCGATGAACCACACAGCTTGCCGCATCCGGAGGGCGCTATACTCCGAATGGAAACTGGCGGCATCCGTCGGCCACCGGAGCGATCCAAGATAGCATCACCGAGCATTCATCAGACGGCAACCCCGCGGAGGCCGCGCTTTCGGGGTCCACAGGAACAACGCTGCCAAAGGAAATCTCATCAATATTGAAACACTGCTCGCGGTCAGGTGCAGCGCTGACTGTACCCAGGGCCTGGGCTCAAGCTTAAACATCTCAGCGAACATAAAGTCGGGTGTGGTGCTGACAGAGCGTGCGGACAGAGCGCGAGCTAATAATGAAGCCGAAGGTGCTTCATAATCTCGTCCTCTCATGTTACTTATCTTTCTATTATAAAGCGGCTGCAACTGAGACAAAGGCGATGTCTGATTAGCTAAAGCAAGGATCAGCTAGCCTGTCATTTCGCGAAAGTAAGTAACTGGTTCCTTATCATTTGTTAATCCCTTCCATGCCCTAAGTATTCCTCGCCACCCAACGCCGCATGCCCCCGATCGGCGCAAATTCTGTTACTTCCGCTTACCCCACCGATGCTCCTATTGTTCAGCCAGCGCCTGCTACTAGTATGGCACCGCCTGCCCGCGACTATCTGCGACTATGAGTCGGTCATATACGGCTACAACATTTCTCGAGGCTTTCCTGCACGCTACACGAACCCTGAAGAGCGTGATCACGAGAAAGCTGCCATCGCAGCCAAGTGAGCACCAGCTACGAGAAAACCACGAAAGCAGCCATGATCACGAAAAGAGCTGCCGAGAGAACATTGATTGCGCAGTGGTCTTGCGACACAGGCTGCCTAGCGTAGGATTTATGTCACTAGCAGCGCACGATTTGCCCTGCAGGCATGTTAAAAATCGGGAGCTATTCTCATTTTCAGTCTTTCTAAATACCAAAATTCTTACGAAAGATTAGCTGACGAAGGTCAGACTACAGAGGACCCATGACAATTGGTGGGAGGGCCTGAGGACAATCCGTACCCAAAACAGCCATCGGGGCCCCTCACGCGGAGGGAAAATCCGTACCCAAACCCGGCCGGTAGGCCGGGAGCTCTGAGGAATCGTCCATACCGGCCAACGAAAACTGACTAATGTCTGAGGGCAATCCATACCCGGTAGTCTGGACAAGTGTCGGTGTCCTTCCGGGTTAATTACCCAGCTTTAGATCCAATACTACCTAACTTGAGTGGATTTGTCACAATCTTGTGCACATCGTGGCGCCGCCGAGCTTCTCCATCAGCCTCTGTAGTGTACGCCTTAAATTGGGACCTGAGAATGATAGAGACAAAGACCGAGAGCATGAAGAGGATATTTTGAAGGCCAACGATAATTAACGCATCTGTACATGGCCTCTGAAGTATGACCCAGCTGTATTAACAAGTCAACCTGCCGACCACCGGCAGGCGGCGGCGGCGGTGCGCAGGCCCAGTCTGCTTCCGCTGTTGGTGCAACAAACCCCTGGCCGCACCTCTTGAAGCTGCTCAATGTTCATCAGCAAAAAAATTAGCTGATTATCTAGAATGGTCAGGCCATATAAAGGTACCCATGAATGCAAATTAACCCATTCTGGAATCACCATTGCCATACTAGATAGAGCACCTGTATGCTTTGCACAGCTTATCAGTCTGAGAAGCTTCGCCATTCTGGAAAGGTTTACCAGCCATGGCAGGGCATTGCCAGCGAGCGCCGGTCTGGGAAACAGTTGCCAGAGTGCTCAAATGAATTGGTTCAATATTCAAATATATTTGGGATCAGCTCGCACATGGAAAATTGAGAATCAAAAATGGTATATTTATGAAGCTACACAAGGTACAAAGGTTGTAGCTGACGCTCCTTGGAGCAAAATTTCGGCCCATGTTGCTTACCAATATGGCTTAGGTGAGCCACAAACGTGAGGTTTCATGAGCGCGAAGAGCTGCGGATCGTGAGACGTACCAGAGACGCACTATGCTATGTGGGAATGAGAAACTTTGAGGTCGGCAAAGAATGCATCAGCACGTGACGCGCAGAAAGAACAAGTGACTTACGTTCTGTGGCTGATGCCAGCATGTGGTATCGGCTGCACCTGTGAGGCTCCCGAGCATGTTGCAGATTGTGTCACAGGTGGCGTGATAGGAGGGGCTCAGGGTGACAAGGGCATGGTCATGGTAATGATGTGCAGGTCGTCTCTTGGGTGGGCAGCAATGTCTCGCATGAGCCTATAGGCAAGAGTTGTGGTCAGTCGAGCGCATATATGCACGTCGCATGCACTACATGCGTCGGGGTGCTGCGTGGATAGGCTTGTGTGCGGACTTACATGCTTATAATGTCACCTTGTGCTCATGTTATAGCTCCATACAGGGGCGGGAGGAGGTGCCGTGGCTACTGTGCGTGTGGTCAGTTGTGTGAGGTGTCAGCAGAGTACAGCCTGCATCCTTTCAGTTCAACGTGCCACACAGTCATCCGCACGCGGTGTACTCACGCACAACCCATAGTGGCAGCTTCCTCGTGCGACGGGGTACCCTTCGGGGCTTTCCATGCCAAGTCCTCGGTAACCTTCAGGTATTCGCGAACGCGCCACGATCCTTGAAGGTTGCGCCTATAACGAAGCCTGCGACATGGTCGCCGACAGAAAGCAACGTGACATTCCTTCCAGTTTTGACAACATGGCCTGAGTAGTCGCATCCGCTGATGACCCCACGACGATCGAAAAATCTGATAGCTGAGCGTCGTACATAGCGTTGAGTCCTGAAATTGCACAGACCCCGTGCACCTGAAACTTACATTTCCAGTCCGTGGGATTCTGTCCAATCGCGACAACTTGAACGAGCACCTTGTTGTCATCGATGCTAGGCACGGGATAGGTCTCCACCCCGGCCTTATGGTTGCCTTGAAGAACGAAGGCCTTCATAGTAGACGGGATGGCTGGGTGAGACGACATGGTTGACATCAAGGGCAGGTGAGTCTAGGGCTAGTTGAAAATGCTGGAGCTGCTCTTACTTTGAGCATCTGTTATATCGCGTTCGCGCGGTCATGTCATCGACATTATGCCGCACGATATGTCAGCATTGTTGCTGATATTATCACCGAGACAATGTATATGACAATGTCGCGCTCTGGATAGCTCAGCATGTAGAGAAATTTTGGTGCCTTCCCTGGAGCGGCGGTTGGTGGCCGCGGTGCAGGTCAGAACGGGCCCCGACGTGTGCCGCGGATCACAGTCGCGTAAACGTCATAGTAGCGCCGTGCGCAACACCCAACACTTGAGCGCTTGAGCTTGAACCCAATCCGCCATGTCTAATGCAACAGCACCTGCGAATTTGAAAGTGTACGCCCTCTAGCAGCTTAAATTGGTGGGGTCTCTGCACTTACTTGCCTTGCGGGTAGTCTCACTGTAGGCTCTGCCGCCGGCGCGATTCGTGAACTTTTCACGAAAATCCAGGCTATAGACGCCAAGCATGGAAAGTTTGACCTTGTGCTCTGCACTGGCGACTTTTTTGGGCCTCCAAAAGACGAGGGAGAGGCATATAGCGACGATGACGATGTGATGCAACTGCTGAATGGGTCGCTGGACGGTGCGCCCCAACACGTCTCATGCAGAGTGTTCTGGTACAAACTTTGCGTTGCAGCTCCCATAGAATGCTTCATCATGCAAGGGGAACATCCATTACCTGCACCCGTCATCGAAAAGTTCGCGAAGACAAGTGGGCAACTGTCGAACAACGTGTTTCTGCTCCGTGCGTGCACCCCCGACGTCTGTCCGTTTGCATTCGCTGAGTGGGATGACAGACAAGTCCGGGGTCATGACTACTGCTCAGGGACTGCGCATCGCTTGCTTAGGAGGTATCTACGACGCGAACCTGTATTCAGTCTCAGAGTCCGCACACGTATGTGCAAAGCTACCTCAGCCCGCTCTGCGTCTGACACATTCTCCAGGGCTTCACGTCTCCGTATTTTACCAGCTTGACCGTCGAAAAGCTCCTAGCAAACACCATGACGAAGTCAGCTCCAACTTCTAAAACAAAAGATACTTCGTATGGTTCGCTAGCCGCTATCAAAGCATCTACAGCATCCTCGCAGTACATCGACGTCTTACTGACAAACCCTTTCCCTACGAACATCACTGCGTTCTCTTCTGCACCGCTTCCCATGCCGTCTTTTCCCTCACCACCAGGCGCAGAGCCTATTTCCGAGGTAGTGCGACGGACGAAGCCCCGATACCATTTCGTCGCTGGTGGCGGAGGGAACTCAGACGATGTGCCTCTATTCTGGGAGCGTGAGCCGATAGTATGGGAGGATGAGAGTGGACGAGTGATGCGCTTTGTTAGCTTGGGTTCCTTCGGCCGGACGCCTGAGTCTGGGAAGAAGCAACGAGTGCGTGCTTCTGAACTAGAGCTTATGATCTTCAAGGTATTCAATCTCTGCTAGTGGTTTTATGCCTTCTCCATCGCACCCCAAATATCGACGACTCCGGCCCCTCCTCGGCCATCAAATGCCACCAAAAATCCATTCACGGAACATATCCCGCAGAAGCGCGGATTCCATGGCGAAGACGGAGATTATCGCTGGGGCGGCCAGGGTAACAAGCGTATTAGAACAGGTACGTACCATCGAAATACATGTTACCTCATATCTAGGAGACATCTTCTATAGAGCCTGGTGAGCCTGGAAAGCCACCACCGACATATAAATGCAAAATTTGCGAGTCGTCGGATGTACGTCCCAATCGCAGCCATTGACAGCTCAATCTGACGGGCTTCTTCCTGTAGCACTTTATAACGGACTGCCCAGACCGAGCGAAGCCAAAGGAGGGCTACGTCTGTAGAGTTTGCCAAGAAGTGAGTATACTTCTGGGGCACATACACTAACAGGTTGACCCATCCCTTTAGACCGGCCACTTTGTTCGTGACTGTCCGGTCAAAAACGCCGTAGGCGACACCGGTGGGAAGAAGCCTCGCGAAGGCTATGTCTGCCGGGCGTGCGGGAGCGAGAACCATTATATCCAGGATTGCCCGTCTGCTGCGGCTAGAGGACGCGGTGGACCTCGCGAACCTCCAAAACCGATTGCTCGTGAGTATTTATCCGATGGTGCAGGCGTAAGTTATGTTGAATATCCGTCACAGCGGATACATGCTGGTTTTGCCTATCAAATCCCAATCTTGCGAAACACCTCATCGTCTCCATTGGCTCGGAGTGCTACGTTACGCTTCCGAAGGGCCAGATCATACCGACGCATACTGCGTCTGACTACCCCGACGCCAGGGTTTCAAACGCACCTGGTGGCGGACATGTCCTCATCGTGCCTATCACTCATTACCCCACGTACGCGACAATACCTTCAGATCTATCAGGTCCAATTGTTGAAGAGACCGAAAAGTACGTCTACTCACGAAGCCCTGCTCTGACGAGGCTTGGAATTCACGTTCTGCAGGTACAAGCGCGCCTTACACGCCATGTTCGCCAAGCACCACGCGCATCCGGTGTGCTTCGAAGTCGGGAGGCTCAGCGCGAAAGGCGGACACGCGCACTGGCAGGTCATTCCCGTGCCGTGCACAATCTCGCCTGACACCATCGTCGACGCCTTTAAGACCGAGGGCGAGCACCTGCGCATCGACTTTGAGGACTTTGACGCTAGCGCAAACGCGGGCACCGGCGACCGCGGCTACTTCAAAGTCGAGCTCCCGGACGGCCGGCAGATCGTGCACTGGCTTAAAGATGGCGTACCATTCCCAATTCAATTTGGACGTCAGGTGCTTGTCGCGCTGCTCGGCATGCCTGAACGGTTCGATTGGAAGGAGTGTGTACAGAGCGACGGGGAAGACAAGGAAGATGCACAGCAGTTCAAGGAGGCGTTCAAGCCCTTCGACCCGAGTCTGTCATAGCAGTCTGGTCCCGCTGAGCATCTTAGATTATTTTACTAGTATGTATGTATCATTTTTTGTGAGGACAGGAGTGGCGGTATGGTGGAAAATGAGATATGCACATCAGACCCAGCGCACGATACCTCGGTCGAGGCCGTTCACCCAGAAGGGTTGTAGTACTTTTGGTAGGTTCAGAGCAACAGCTTCACCTGCGTCATTGAGCACCGCGCCGTTCTCAAGTAGAGCTACAATCAACCGCGGCACGGCGATCGCGGTGCCGTTCAGTGTGTGCACGAAGGCCATTCTACTGTTCACGACGGACTTTCCGGATTCTGGGTCGATGTCTTGTGTGTGCTCCATGTACCGGATGTGTAGCCGGCGTGCCTGATAGTCGGTGCAATTCGACGTGGAAGAAATCTCGCCCCACTTGCCGCGCCCAGGCATCCACGCCTCCATGTCGTATTTGCGGTATGCACTTGCGCCAAGCTCTTCGGTCGGCATGTCGAGTACCCTGGAGGATGTTTGGCATGCCACAACAATAAGGCAAAGAATTGGAGCTCACCTGAATGTCAAGCCAAGTTCCTCAAAAATCTGCGTCTGCAAGTTCTTGAACTGCTCCATCATGGCCTCGCTTCCCTCCGCAGTTGTGACCGCGAAGAGCTCTAGCTTTGTGAACTGATGTACACGATACAAGCCTCGTGTATCCGTCCCGCTTGCACCTGCCTCGGCACGGAAAGCACGTCCGAGCCCGACGACCCTCTGAGGCAGGTCTTTCGTAAGGAAGTCCTTTCCCGCGAACATGCCAGCAAGCGGGATTTCCGCTGTCCCAGTGAGGACAAGCTCTTGCTGCCGGGGTGCATCGGACGAGTTTTCGGGTGAGACATAGTACACCTGCGAGCAGCCGTCGGGGTCGCGCGGTTGGAAGCCACAGCGGTACGCGACGTCCGAGCGTACAATGTCTGGGGTGGTTACAGGGGTAAAACCATGCCTCGCGGCGAGCGACATGGCATAGTTGGTCAGCGCCATCTCGAGCAGCGCGCCTTCGTTGAGCAGGTAGTACCACGAGCTGCCGGTGATGCGTGCAGCGCTCTCTAAGTCGAGCAGCTTGAGCGCGGCGCCTACAGAGACGTGGTCTCGACGGGGATCTGCGTCCACAGCAGGAGGCCCGTGCTCCGAAAGAATCTTGGCAGAGGATTCCGGGCCGATAGGAACGTTAGGGTGGGTGTCGTTTGGCAGACGGAGGGCAAGCGAGAGCAGACGAGTCTGGACGTCCTCCCTTCGAGCAGAAATCTCGGCGAGCTGAGACTTGAGCATCTTGGCTTCCTCGACCGCGGATTTCCTGGCCTCCGGATCTTTCGCGCTGTTCTTTATGCGCTCGCCCGCCAAGTTTTGGAGGTGCCTTACTTGCCTAAACCGAACGTCGAGGTCTAAGCGTTCGGCATTTAAAGATACTATGTTCTGTAGTGTGCCTGGTGGAAGGGGAGCATTGCGGACTTGCGCATTGTGAGTCTTGGCCTCTACGTCGCGCATAATGGCCTTGTAGTCGAGTCTAGGTGGATGCAGGTCGGTGCTGTTGGTCCAATAACGCCTGGTACCTCCACGATATGAGTGAGATTCCGGGACTGTTCGTCTATGCATCCTACTCACCTAAGCTACGCGCGCCGTACGTGAGAGATCGCGTCCATAGTCTCGTCGACATAAACACCTTCGTATGAGGAGAACTTGCAGAGCTGGTGATGGCGGTCGCGGTTCAAGCGCACAGATTTCCGCAAGCGCCAGCTAATCCAGAGAACGCGGTTGTTGGGACAGTCTGCTCTCAAACTCACACCTTTCTGACCGGAGCGGCCATTTTGTGAGTCGAAGTGAGCCATGAAATTGCTAGGGAGATACAGCACTGTATGAAGGAGTGTAACAAGAACACTACATTGAAAAGTCTTCGATGAAAGCGTGAAATATATGCAAGCAACGAATGAACGGTAGTTGGGGAAATATAAGGTATAGATAGTGATACAAATATACCAAGGGAGATGAGACGTCCCTGTTAAGGCAGCGATGATCCCGGGAACGCAAATCCCAAGCAGATAAAGCGAGATATAGCGATGTTCTAGCAGGTCTTGAGTCGTCGGAACGATAGTAATAAGTTAACCCTAAGTTAAGAAATGAGTAAGGAAAAGAGTAGTTGGTAGTCGACATACGAGTCAGACACCCCACTCTTCCATACCGCCACTACCGAAGCCTGCCCTCGGCGCCCACCCCGCCCCGCGAACCAACCGGTCTTCTTGCCTGACGTACGAAGGCACAGTTGGGCTGTTGGGCGCCGGCCCAATGATCCAACTCCACCACCCGGCCGGCGTATCGCTGCTGTAACCGTCACCAGCCTTGCCTTTACCCTTGCCCTTCGACCGAGAGCGAGACCTCGTCCGTAATGAAGACTTGTCTTTACCCCCTTGCTTGACTTCTGGCGGCTCAATAAAAGAGACCCGGTTCGGTGTCGAGCGCCCTGAGCCGCCTATGCCAATAGCGTCCGAGACGTTAAGCCAGCTGCCACTTAATGACGACGTAGGGGAGGTCGGAGTAGGAGGTGCGGACCTGCCGCTCTTCCCCTTGAGCGCGGAGTGCCGCGGGGGGCTCGGCGGCCGGGTTGAGGACGTATGTCTGGCCTTCGTGAATAAGCGGGACACGCTCGCAGTGGCAGTGGAAGCATCCGCAACAGGAGCAACCGGAGACGGTTTCAGGAACGACGGTTTCGCAGCTTCCCTCTGCTTTTGCTTCTCCAACGACGCTGGGGACGGGTGATTCTCGAGGATATTGCGAAGGTAAGATACCGTGCGCTCAACGTGCAGCTCGTCCGATGACTCAGAGCTCGAGGTGGACGGTAGCTCGATAATTGGCGGTGCGACCCACTTTCGGCGTGCAGAAGAGGGGGAACGGCCCGTAGAGTCCCGACTGGGCGAGCGGAGGGGTGATATGGACAGCGGTTTTGGACGGGGCGATCTCGACTGGCGGGGCTTACGAGTGCACGTGGTGCTTGTGCTGTCTGACCTCTTCGTCCGGAACGATGAGCTAGGCGAAGCGGTGGATGACGTGGTTGAAGATATTGCTTTTGGAGGGCTAGCAACTGACGAGAGGATGTCTATGGCACTGCGTTTCCGTAAATCGCTTTCAGACCCTACTGCGTGAAGTAGAAGCGGACGGCAGCTCGCAAGAGAGCTCTCTGCGGGAAGTGGAGCAGCAGCGTGGTGGGAGGAACGCAGACCGAGCGTGGACGGCAGTGTTATCGAGGAGGGGTCTTCTGAGGAATCTACGTACATGGTCATGGCCCTTGGAGGAGGGGCAACGAGGTCGTTACGGTGGTGAGCTGCGAGGTTAAGGCTAGCGTTACGCATGTCTAGCGAAGGTCGTCTGAGATGTGATCTTGACATGCATTCCGCGACGGTGGAGAGAGGGCTGGATGCGGGAAGGCTTTGACTTATTGAGTCTTCAGAGGCCATTCGTCTACTTGGCCCCTCTTCGTTATCAAACAGCCCCGCTACACCTTGCGATATCTGATCAAGGTCAGCCTGCCAGTTGTTGTCTCTGGTGATCCTCGAAGACAAATTACGTGCTTGAGCTTCTAATGAAGCTTCATCCTGAGAACCCCTCGAGAGCACGTTGTCGAGGGTCGCCCGTGTAGACATGGAGGACTGCAAGAGGGTATTTGACATCTCCAATGCGTGCACGCTTCGGGCGAGCAAGGAGTCGAGATATGGATCGCTCGATGTGCTGCGTCGTGACTTGCTGCGAGAAAGGACTTGTAAATGGCTTGCTCGCCGAGGGGGCGCTGTCAAAGGTGCCGAATGAACGTGCGATGCGTACAGTATCTGCGACTCGTCCTCCTCTGTATCTGTGTCCTCGTCTGCCTCCTCTGCACTGTCTGGATACTCGGGCGGAAGGTCTGAAGGGTCGTCCACTAACACGACTTGTCGTCGCCAGGGAGGAGAAGTATAGACTGGTAGTGTAGTGACTGTCGTATCTGAGGAGAGCCGCAGGGCAGAGATTCGCTTGCGGTGACCCCTACGCATCGGCTGGGAAGTCATAGCGAATTGTTTGGCGTGTGGGCGTTCGCCCCGAGTCAGAGCGGGGCCGGTGTTTAGAGTCCGTTAAGGAGAGTTCATAGAGCAAGCGTAAAGATATATGCACGCAGCAGTGTGCATGCGGTCCTCGGTTTGCGGTTCCAGACGCCATCAAACTACTCCACAGCCGATAGTATTCAATCGCCGAAGATTAGAGATAAGCATCAGCTTTTCGGGGTTTGAATTAGTTTTATTAAAGGTAAAACATGTTAAAAGCCCGACAATGAGCCAGAAACAGATTACTAACCAGCCACTTGCAAGCCTCGAGTCTGCCCGCAAGGCAGTTACACAGCATCCAATTGCGGCAGCCATGGAACGAGGACAAGTTGAGGCCGTACAAAGATAACACGCATCCGGTGTAGATCTACCTCCAACTTGGGCATTCGGAAAGCCTCACAGCCTCCATCCATCGCATCACAAAGTACTTGCCTCGGCAAAAATCCCATTCAATAAGGGTATTCTATAGTCACTACTCCTGATATAGCCTACGTCGTATGCGTCGCAGTGTGGTAAAGTGCGTCGAAGTATGCCCAAGGGGCTGATGGGTGGCAGTCGTCAGCCAAGTTTTACAGAAACAACTTCGACTTACTATGATGCGACATGTTGATGACACGCAGAGGGGGCCGAGGATGGCTGTTTCTCTCACTTTGCAGTTCAATCGGGACATCTGTTTCTGAGACCTCATATGCCTTGTCCACATGGATGAACTTGGGGTCTGTGATGAGCACGGGCGGTACGAGGCCAACGGGGTCGTCACGGCAAATGATTCGCCAGGAATAACCAGTATGTTCCTCGGCAACGAGCGAAAACATATCCACAAAATCCAGCAGACCAAAGCGAGGGCTGCCGAAGGTATACAAGTCGCGCAAAACGCAGGTAGGCGGATCAGAGCGAGCAGACATAGGGTCGTTGTTGTAAAGGCGTAGAAGCTCGGCGTAAAAGAGCGACGCATACGACGCCCCCAGGGAATGACCCTACGGCACATAAGGTGTCGACCACAAATAGGTAAAGTGGCGACTCACGGTCAGGTGTAAGCGCACAGGCACATCTGCGGCGGCTTGCATGCGCTCGGAGATCAGAGTGCATGCCGTATGCTTGATATACTCTGCGGGGTCTTTTAATTATGACATTGGAAATACTTTGATGTACATACCAAAAGGCGTCTGCCCGTCCAGTGTAGAGAAGGGTTCGAATAACGTAGCATATACGCCCTGCGAGACATGAGTCTCCCATACATGACCGTCTTTGGCATGTACTGGAACGTAGTGCAGGTCCACAAGCAATTCTTGCCAGGATTCGACGTGTGTACCCTGGAAGACATGAGAAATGGCCTTCGCTGCGATACGGAACGAGCCAACCTTGAACACCAATCCAATAAACGGGTTCCTTGGGTCTGAGGAAAAGAAGGCTCCACAGAATGGGCCGTCCAGTGTAGGATCTGAGTCCGGAGCATCCTATCGTCCTATCAGCATTAAGATCAAGTCGGATGTCGTTGCCTCCCTCAGCACCTGCATAAGGTCTGGATATAAACGTTAGTGAGCTACCGTGATACGCGCCAGGAGGATAGTCTATCGTACCGCATATAGTCACGTAGTGCATGTCAGGATCCCATGACACAGCCTGCGCCGCAGTCTCAGCGAGCGCATTGGAGAAAATGAAATGGTCAGCATACAATCTTCTGGATCTCTGCATCTGACCACTCGAGTAACCTCATAGCATCTTCCTCTCGATCTTCTCGCGCCGCTGCTACTGCACCCAGAACCGTTGGCCAGTCCCTATCCTTAGATGTAAGGAGACTAATCGCGAATAATCTGGTGATGAACGCACCGAAGGTATGTGGCAGCAGATTCCATCCAGGTATAAAGTGCGACAGTCCAGTTAATGGCTTCGCTGCACTTCCACATCAGCGTCCGCAGTTGCAAACTTGGGGTCGACATGCCTTCCGCACGCGCCTAATACGTCAACAACCCTTCTCAGTTTCGATATCTTGTAGAGGATAAAGCGACACACCTCTAGCAATTCCGACACCGATCTGTGCTTCTGCTTTCTTGCTCCACTTCTCCATCCAATGATAGTACGACAGCACCTGCCATGGTCTCTTCCAAGCCCCCGTCTGCGCTCCTTTTGCTTTGAAAGGCTCCGAGGTCTTGAGCAATTCCAGCTGCTTGCGACGGATGTCCCGCTTTAAATCTTCAGCCCAGTGTCCAGAGGACATTCTGTCTGTCTCTTTGTCTACAAAGCGGTAGAGAGAAGGTAAGACGATGGACGGAGAGAATCTGCCCGAACGACGGGCAGTGCCAGAATGGAGCAGGCCTGTCATGAGCGTGTGGTCTTTCTCGCTGAGGGAAGTCATGCGACCAAACTCAGTTCCGTACCGCAAATTCGAACCGGCTTCGGCTAAGGACGCAGCATTAAATCAGTCAACGGATCCCATAGCTTCACAAGTAACCTTTAAGGAGAAAAGGCATCAATTGTACTGTTACTCGACACAACAGAAAAGTCAGACAAGGATGGATGTATGCGTTATGGTTTCACCGAACCGTCAAGGCCACATAGTGGCGATGTACGGAAAGTACAGGAATATAACGCCGTCCCACTACCCCACTTCAACCTCTCGGGCGAATCAAACGCACCGAAGTGCGAGACTCAGCCCGGACGAGAGGGAGCAGAATAGGCAGGACTCGGTCTTGTGAGCACCCGAAGGCACCTCGCTCCGTCGACCAGAATTTGAACGTCACTCAGAAGAACAAACCTCTGCGCCAAGAGGGCTAACGCTTCCAACGGTCGAGCGGACACTTGGAGAGAAAGTGAACGCGAAGTTTTCGTGAATTTATACTTTCGGCGCCCAGCGGAGATTAGCGGGGTCTAAAACTACTCACGCGTGTCATAGGCGCGTCGGTCAGGATCTGTCGACCACCATGGAGCGACCCAGCCGAGTTTCGCGACTGTCCGTGCACCCAAAATATGCACCTCGGGAGTCTGTTTTTGTAGGGAATTCTGAAACGTACAGAGGCGACAGCAACTTTGTCTGCAGTCCCTTCCTGCGAGAATGTGTCGTGGCCATGGAGGACTGCTGCGACGAGGTGCATCATAGCCCGCTAGACATGCTTCTTTACAGCTTATAATGATCAGGTACACGAAGCTCAAGAGATAATCCGACAGGGGACCTATGACCTGCCACGGATAGCGAAAGTATTAGAGAATGAACGGGTACGCTTCAGTTTCTCATAACACCCAGGCTCTCGCTGATTGCTCTGGAAGGTCTTCCTACTTATCGACGAAGCCACCGTGCGCAAGTACAAGGGGGACGTCACTGATGAGATCGAGCCTCAGATCAACGAGCTCCTCAATCGAGCAGAGAGAGGGATGAAGGTCTTGGCGAAGAGAGAGAATATGTTGCGGACAAGGGTATGTCGATTTGCCCATTGTCCAAGAGCCAACTACCTGACATTAAACGCAGCTGGAGACGCAACGGACAAGACCTGCCTCGCGATCAGCTGTCAACACCGCGGGTATGAACAAGCTAGAGGCGCGAAAGATCCAGATCCTTGTCCGCCAACGAGAGCAACTTGAGGAAGAGATGGCTGCTTTACAGGCCGAAGTCGATGCCATGGTAACTAGTCGTCTCTGTAAATTTTTGTACTCTTTAGTGATCCAAAGATCTTCAGCAACTGGCAGCCATGAACAAGAAAAGAGAAACATAATCTCGTTAGGTTCCCGCTTGTGCAAGCATCTCAAGCATATCGTACACCTTTGTCTCTCCTTTCGACCACACTAATGCTGCAAGTGCAACTCCCCTATTACTATGGCTTCCACAAGCTCGCCCACCTTCACCTCACTTGGGCCACCCTCGACCTTGGAAGGGAGGACCACTACGCCGTTCGCTCCGGCGAGACTTGCCACGCGACTGGAGCGCTGTCCACCAGTACTGTACGCCTTGAGGCCCTCTGCGCTTGCTTGAATTGATACACGATGGAACTCTACGCGGGGATCTAGACGCATATTGCCTTGCAGCTGCCGTGTCCTTCCGTCAGTCCCACGGCAACTCAAGCCGACACAATGTACACACCTGAACTCGCACACGCGGTAACTGGGACCTCGACATTGGCCATCCACCAAGTCTTCTTAAGGCTGGAAGGGCAAAGACATGGAACGTTACCAGGGCGGAAGCAGGGTTTCCGGGAAGCGCGAACATTGGTACAAGCCCCTTCGTCGTAGGGATAGTCGCGAATGTCGTCGGCTTCCCCGGCTTGATCCTGACACGTCCAAAGTGGATGGTCCCGTTCAGATGTCGCTCAATGACGGGCTTCAGCAAGTCACTCGCGCCCATACTGGTTCCGCCCGTTGTGAGCACAATATCGGCTTGCTCCAGTCCTCTTTTCAAGGTCTCGATGTGCTTCTCGAGACTGCAAGACGATCCGGTCAGTCTCCGCGGGTGAAAGGGAAGGAAAAGGACATAACCTGTCGGGAACGATGCCAAGGTCCACAACCTTGTACCCCAAGCCCTCTAGCGCGGCCGACAAAGACGGCCGATTCGTGTCCCAGATCCCACCCCAGCCGTCGCTGTCCATCTTCTGAGGATTTTGGATGTCGAGCAATTCATTCCCGGTGCTCAGCACGGCGACGACCGGCTTCGGATGTATTTTGACCTGGCAAGCCCATTAGACAACGGGTCCCAGCACAATGTGGAGCTTCACACCGACCCTCTGCTTGCCCACGAAAGCTATCGTGCCGATCTCCCCGCCATGCGAAAGCAGGACTGTGCCCTTTTCAAGTGCAAGCTCGCCCTTCTTGACGTCTGAACCTGGCTTGCGGACGCTCTCGTCCGGATCGACCTGCGCCAACGTTTCAACCTCGAGCTCTTCGCCGCTTTCGTCGCTGTTATGGAGGCGCGTGTCCTCGACCATCACGACCGCGTCCGTGCCCGCCGGAAGCGGCGCACCAGTATTGACGCGGAAGATATGGCCCTCCGGGACCGGTGTCGCCAGCGCATGCGTATGCGGCGTCAGGACCTTGTATATGCCAGGAGGATCGCTCGCTGTTCGTGTGACGCGTCGTCAGTTCGTTCAACGGCGCATATGTGTGGCGAGTACGACGTACAGCGCACAGCGTAGCCATCGACATTCGTCGTGGTCGTCACCGGGACGTTCTGAGAAGCGAATACGTCTTCTGCCAGCACGCTTCCTCGCAGCTCCGACGAAACCTGCGCGGCGCAAAGACCAGACTTAGAAGGGACATGCAAGTGATGCGAGTGGGCTTACCAGTGCTTCGCGCGGCTCCAGAGGCTTCACTTCGCGGAAGATTGCTTCGAGTGCGCTCTCGAGCGTGATGGCGGGATACGGAGAGATTCTGTGCCGCGTAGAGACTGCAAGCGACGTCAGCATGTGGCACGATCGGACGAGCGGAGATTACGCACCGGGAGCGGACGGGTCATGCGAGAGCGTCGTCCTGGGCGTAGGAATAGTGTGCTCGTGGCGATGATGATGGTGGTGCCCATCGCTGTCGTGGTGGTGGGAGTGGGAATGGGAAGGCTGGGAGCTTTGGGGGCTGCCGCTCTGCGATGCCGAGCTTGCTAGTTGAGCATGTACTTCCTTGCCGGAACCGCCCCGTATGAGGTCGATCGCATGATTCACCACACCAGCTTGGAAAAGAGCGTCGAGATTCTCCTTTACGGCCCTGACGCTTCCTGGCAATGTGACGACTAATGAATTCTTCACCGTCCCGGCTACCGGGCGTGCTAAAGCGGCGAAAGGGGTCTTCTGCAGCGAACTTGCGAGCAGAAGGTGGACGATGCCTGGAGCTTCGCGCTCAAAGAGCGGTGCAAGGGCCTGGACAAAAGGTCAACGACATTCAAGACATAGAGACACGCCAGGGAATGCCTACCTCTGGAGTCTTGTCACGCAGTCCAAAGCCAGTCCCGCCTGTGGTAATAATCCAGTCCGCGACGCCTTGCTCCGCCCAAGACTTGACAGTCTCGCGGATCTGCGCTTCATCGTCGGGTACGATCCGGTACTCGACGCACTCATGATCATTCTGCTGTGCGATTTCCCTGATCGTTGGACCCGACTTGTCCGCAGACGCATCCGCGGATGCTGTATCGCTGACTGTGTGCGCAAACGAAGCGCAAGAGCGGATTGGGAGGTTGATCAGTTTACCGCGGACGCGCACGGTCTAGGCGTCGGATGGTCACACCTGTAAGAACGGCGACACGTATCTTGGACATTGCTATGCTGCAGGATCCGTCCTTGAGCTTGCTGATTTACTTATTGACTCAGAAATAGGGGCACAAGATCACCGTTAAGAGCAGGGCCTATCGATTCTGCCGAAAGCGGTCGTAAGCAGGTACATTCTGAGCGCCTGATGTCTCAGCTGAGCGGTGCCAATGTAGTTGCTGCCGCCAATTACTGTGTTGTGATCCGAGCCATAATGCATAAAGGCTAACGGCAAAAAATAGCTGTGGACTGACAACGGAGGCTGGAATGGACCCTGTGTCGGATGGTGCAGCGCGAAGAGCACTGCCTGCAATTGGCGCACAGTGATGACACTTTTGCGTTAATTTCAGCTTTAACTTCGTCGATGTTCGCCGTCGCTAGCCACTGTATCTCAAGCTTATCGCTTTGGACTCGTCGCTGAGATCAGGGTACCCCGCGGGGAGATGATAAACCGGGCAGGCAGCTGTGCCGGCGAACGTGGTCGTTGCGTAAAGCGGCTCGTGCGTTTGCAATTACGCTTCCGGTCAATATCATCCAGTTACTGCGAGCACGTTCGGCTACGAGGGGCTCGGACAGCTCGGATAGGTTCGCATCCACAACACATGTGCATGGATTCGCGGAGGCGAAAACGACTCGAGATCTCGATGTCCCCACCGGTCTCGCTAGTTCTCGCCAGCTTATTCCCGCCAGCGAATCCTGGCTCAGGCACTGAATTTCTCCTCCAAATCTCGACAAGAGATGCCCCGGACCACTCGCCTGTACGAAATTCTGCCGCCGGAGCCTCCCAAATCTTACAGTAAGCCATGGCTATAAAGCCCCGCACGCTCTCCGCCCTGTTCCCCCGACGACATTTCTCAACTCGCCCACCCACCTTTAAGCTTCCCTTTCTCAATATGTCTGCTGCTCAGAGGACACTGCCCGAGTGCTGGGGCCACCGTGGGGTACGTGTCACTACCACCACTGCGCACAATTGCCAGCTGACCGTCGCCGCAGGCCTCTGCCGCCTTCCCGGAGAACACACTCGCCAGTTTCGAAGCCGCCATGCGCGACGGCGCCGAGGGTATCGAGAGCGGTATTTGAACAGCCAGAGATACACGTTTTTGCAGCCCATAACCATCCGAGCAGACGTCCACATTTCCGCGGACGATGTCGTCGTCATGTTCCACGACCCCTGTGAGTCCGAGTGGTGCCATTTTCTTGCAAATGTTTGCCGACACGTCATTAGCGCTGGATAGGACGACGAACGGCACAGGGCTGATCAGGGAGCAGAATTGGTATGGTGAGGAGGGCATGCAGCACCTGCGCACGGTCAAGAAGCCCGTGCAGGCCATCCCGACCTTTGCAGAGGCCGTTGAGCTGCTCATGAAGGTGCGTAAGCGTATGGTGCGCACCTAACATACTCGTCCTGACCATCCGCAGTCTGAGAATCGACACGTCAAGTTCAACGTCGATGTCAAGCCCCAGAACAATCCTGGGCGGCTATTCTTCCTCATGCACAGTATCATTTCCTCGCACGAGGGCTGGCAGACTGTCCTCGCACCACGCATCCTCCTCGGTCTCTGGCATCCGACATTCCTTCCGCACGCGCAGGAGCATCTGCCTTACTGCCGCCGGTCATACATTGGCGGAGACACCGATATCGCGCGCAAGTACTTCTGGAAAGACGTCAGTACCTTCTCCATGTCGTTCGGTTCCATGACGACCGTTGATGGCCAGAGGTGAGTTCCGCTTGCATGCTACGTAGGGCCATCATCGATTTGGTGAAGGTTCCGGAAGGAGTGCAAGGCAGCGGGGAAGAATATTATGGTGTGGACCGTGAACGATCCAGAGTGCATGATGGAGGCCGTACGGTGGGACGTCGACGTCATCCTCACGGATAGGACCAAAACATGGCTTGGTCTTCGCTCTGCGCTGCAAGGCAAGTGTAGTTTCTGGTTACCCTACCCGCCTGCTAATGATGTCTACAGTTGATTATGACAAAATTGCACGTCAACACGGACGCCTCTTTCTGTGGACGACGATGCGTTACTACACACCTGTGCAGATCTTTGCGCGTAGGGCCAGTAAGACTAGACTTGAGAACATCGTGGGCCCGTTTGAGGCTGGCGTCGTTCCATCAGTGCAGTAGACAGATCTAGATCCACAGCATACGACATTTGCAAGTTTCTCTGTTTAATTTCGTACTCGTTGAATAGCGTAGAAGGGTTCCATTCAGGACGATTGAGTTGTCGTTATAATCTCCAGACGTGATTTCAAGGACCATTGATAATGCATTCCATTCTTGACATGCACACGAGGATGATGCACGAACGTGCGTGAGCCGAGAAACCCATTGGCCGGAGGTGTGAGTAAATAGTCGCCTGCGGCTCTAAACAAATGTAAAGTGCTCGGCAGGCAACTGGGAGGGCGAGGAACCACAGTGTACAACAACTGGCAAGGTACGCGGCGGGTGATCGCGACGCAACGTAGACCGTACATCGTTGTACTATTGTTAATGAGTTCCAGGTCTAGGGCGCACCGAGTGTGGGCTGAAGAGACGCTTCTTTGTTCTGATATAGGGCTCTAGTGTCTAAAACATCTCGTTGTTCTGTTCAGTCTGTAAAATATCTCTGATTGGATTGTGCTAGGTATATACTAAGAACAGCGATCTCAAGGTCGGTGAGCCGCTTCCACCGAAGTAACTGGCGAGATGCCGTCACCGTCCGTGCCACCTGTGCTCAAATTCTGACAGGTTAAAGAAAAGTCGTCCTTTGGTCGACAATTTTAATGACATATGGTCTCATGAGGGCAGTACTAGTCTCATGAGGGCAGTACTAGTTCTCGTAGGAATAGACCCCTCGTGTAGGGCGGCATTTGTTTGCACTCGTATTTGCTTGAGATTCGATCGGGACGCTCGCCACAGTGGGCGTCTGCACAATTTCTCGCGTTTCCCGCTGCGTTGGGCAGCTCGTGCAGAGACTGTTCGCCTATAACTTCACTCTGGATACCCCCCGCTTAACTTATTGACCTCTATTCAAAACTCAACATGACAAAAGGCTCTCAGCTTTCCCAGTTGAAGTCCGCTCTATCCCAGGCAGGGCTCTCCAAGCCTCAGCAGAACAGCAAGAAGAGGAAGCGGACGCCGCTCGACGAGAAGGAGAAGGAGCGCAAAGCGGCGAAGCTCAGGGAAATTCAGCAGAAGATGAGCCCCTTTGATGTCAAGGTTACGAAGCTCAAACACGATGTCGGAGGCAGGAAGATTGCTGGTGTTATGGGTCGCCCGGCTCAGAGCAAGCAGGCCGGTATTGAGCAAGTGCGTGGCCTGCTGCTCGCGTATTGCAGCGACTTCTGACAGACTTGGTTGCATCAAACAGCGCAAGAGGATTTTGCTGAAAGAGTATCAAGAGCGGGATCGCGTCGGCGGGATTGTCGACCGGCGGTTTGGTGAAAACGATCCGGCGATGCCCCTCGAAGAACGCATGCTCGAGCGATTTACACGTGAGAGGCAAAGGGCGTCCAAGGGCGCTGCATTCAATCTCGAAGACGAAGACGAGCTCACGCACTACGGCCAGAGTTTGTCGAAGCTCGACGATTTCGACAACGTCGGTCTCGGTCTGGACGAGGAGGACGAGGATGGGGGCAGCGGACAAATCGATTCTAGGACCGTCCAGAGAGCGCACTTTGGCGGCTTTGGAGACGAGGAAGACGGAGATGATGAAGAGAGTCAGGTATGCACAGTTCCCTCAATGGCTTGGAAATGTTTGCTCATATCCTCGTAGCCAGAGAGGAAGAAAACCAAGGCCGAAGTCATGGCAGAAGTCATTTTAAAGAGCAAGGAACACAAGGTTAATCTCCTGTTATAGTAGGGAAACGCGAGATTTAGAGGCTCATATTCTTATAGTTTATGCGTCAAGCACAGCAAGAGGACGACGAGAACCTCCGCCATGAGCTTGATGCGGAGCTTAGTGACCTGCGCTCATTGCTCTACGCTCCTGACCCTTCCACAATCCCGAAGTCTGCTGAGGACGCAGATGAGGACGAGCCCACTTCGGCGCCGCTGTCGGCTGCTGTGCAAGAACAGTCCCAGGACCAGGAGTACGACCAGTTCGTCCGAGAGCTCGCATTTGAGGCACGTGCGCAGCCAAAGGACCGGACGAAGACCGAGGAGGAGCTCGCGCTAGAGGAGAAGGAGGCACTGGAGAAGGCCGAGCGGAAGCGGCTGAGGCGAATGCGCGGCGAGGAGGACGACAGCGACAGCGATGAGGAGGACGGCCGCAGAGGCAGGAAGAGGCAGAAGGGAGGCGATGACCTAGATGATGACTTTATAGACGAGGAGGGCGAGTACGGCGATCTTTTGGGCGCAGGTCTGGGTGAGCAAAGTGTGGATGAGGATGAAGACGAGGGCAGCGATGAGGAAGCTGATACTGAGGAGGATGAAGGGGACAGTGAATGTGAGGGTGAAGACGAGGAAGGCGTATTTTCGGACACACCTGAATCTGAAGCGGAGGATGCTGGCGAGGACGGTGGTGAGGAAGAGCTGGCGCAGGTGAAGAAGTCACAAAAGATAGCTTCATTCAGAAAGAGAGAGTTGCCGTACACTTTCTCCTGCCCAGAGACCCACGACGAGTTTCTGGAAATTGTTGAGAACATCGACGACTCCGACATCCCGACTGTCGTGAAACGTATGCGGACCCTGCACCATCCGAGCTTAGCAGAGGACAATAAGTTCAAGCTTCAAGTACGTTTCGAATTGGCAATTTGGAAGACATACTCATTTATCTCTATAGGCGTTGACCGGAGTTCTCGCCGAGCACATTCTCTACATAACCTCACCACCATCACCACGCTTCTCCCTCGTCTCGCCTCTTGTCTCTCATCTATACGCCCTTACGAAGCAGTATCCAATCCAGTCTGCACATCATTTTATCTCTAAGCTCGATTTGATGCAGATGAACTTGAAGCGCGGCCTGTCTCACGGCGTCACCGAACCTGGCTCGAAGACTTGGCCTGGTCTTCCCGAATTGTCGTTCCTCCGTGTTCTTGGCCTCATATGGCCAACGAGTGACATGAACCACCACGTTGTCTCGCCTGCCCGGTTACTTATGGGATCGTACCTTGGCCTCTGCCGTGTACGATCACTGCAAGACATTGCAAGCGGGTTGTTCTTGTGCACTCTGTTCCTGCAGTACGAAGAGCTCTCCAAGCGTCTAGTTCCCGAAGCAATCAACTTCCTCGAGAATACACTCCTCCACATAGCACCGCACCGCTTCAAGGACAGGGCGTCGTTACCTGGTTCGTTCTCCACCCCGGACTTCAAGTCTGATCGGTGCCAAGGCTTGACACTGAGCAAGAAGTCGAGAGAGATGGACGTCCAGAAGCCAAACTTCACTCAGCTCCTTGGTGATCTCGTAGTTAGCGAACAATCCAAAGTCGACTTACTCGGGCTCACGTTCGACCTCCTTGGTCAGTATGCGGATATACACAAGAGTCTCGAGGCGTTCATCGAGCTCTACGACCCAGTCGTCGCTGTGCTTGCGGGTATCAAGGCAGACTCGTTACCGAGTGCCCTTGTAGTAAGTCATATTCTGCATTGTGTACGATTTGCTTCTAAATTTTGTGCCGTAGGCCAAGCACGCGTCACTGCAAGACTCGCTAAACCGCCTGCTCAAGTTCTCTCGCCAGTCGCGGCGGCCGCTGGCGTTGCAGGCGCACAAGCCGATCCCAATCCCGACATATGTCCCGCGCTTCGAGCACACGACATCCAACTACCTGCGAAACCGCGATCCAGACCATGAGCAGAACGAAGCGGCGAAGATCAAGGCGCAGTACAAGCAGGAGCGTAAGGGCGCGATCCGCGAGCTGCGCAAAGACGCACGTTTCCTGGCCACGGAGCAGCAGAAGCGGCAGAAGGAGAAGGACAGGGCGTACAACGAACGTATGAAGCGCGTGTTTGGCTCTATCGAGAGCGAGCGCGCGGAGCAGAAGGCGATGGAAAAGGAGAAGATGAAGGAGAAGAAGCGGGCGGGGCGCAAGTGATGTCTCTCTCGCAGTTTACTTGGCAGTTTCGGTATCTCACTTTCCGGTAAAATGCTTATGCGTGATCATGTCCCACAATAAGGGGACAATCCAAAGCAACGTTCGGCTCTAGAATACAGAAGTGCCTGCAATTAAGTCCATCCTTTCGCAGAACCTCGTCCGCCACCGTGGCCACGCTCCTTCTCAATGGCAAACATAGCATCTCGGAGCGTGATTGGTCGTCGCTTGTCTTCTGCCTCGGGTGACGCGGTGCTCTGGGTCGTAGGTTTTATTGAAATATATGGTCTTGCCCACGAACTGGCAGAAGCGGCACTGGCTGCCGGGGTCGTGGTCGTTACCGGACTGAGTGCCGAAGGTGCGGCAGGGGTCGCGGGTGCGGCAGGCTTCGACTTCGTCGCTGGTGGCGTGCTCCCCACGCTCGTGTTCATCCACGCGTACTTCGTACCAAGGCCCGCCGCCTGGCTCGCGACAGCGTTCGACATCTTCTTGCGCACATCCTCAGACATATTGCGGGCCGTGACACCAGGACCATCTGCCTTTTTCTTTTTCTTCTTCGGCTGCCCGTCCTCTGCGTCGCCGTCGACAGACATGCCACTCCCGGCCTGCTGCGCAGCCAGTGCCGCTGCGTGCGCAGCCGCCATCTCGCTCCGCTCTTTGCGCTCCCGCCGGACTCTAGTCTCATCTTCGCGTTCGACGCGCTCAATGGCTGCGAGCTGCTTTGACACGTCAGCACGTATGAGGATACTCCACATGGGCTTCCCGTCTTCGAATTGCGATGCGGGACGGTCGAACTGAGTGTCTGTGCGGTGTGCAGAAGCTGCAATCATGGCCTCCACAAGATCTTGCAGCCGTGCACGGAGCGCGAGCGCAAGGTAGTTAACCGAGTCTTCCGGAACCTTGGTCACTTTATGTTGTGCTCCAATATCTCGTATTCTCTGACCAAGAATGCGAGTGTCAAAATTCGGCCGCACTGGCTGTTTCCGGCTGCGATCCTCGTATGGACGATACGACTGATACTGGTCGAAAGATCTATGCAAGGACTCTTCCTCTGCCTGTAGAATGCGCTTATAATCAACGTTCTGACGGTTACACGGTGTAACGCACCCTGAGATCAACTCCAGCACTGCCCAACGCATCATTAAGCTTCGTCACGTCTGTTGTGTCCAGGCTACTTGTTACAGGTGCTGGAGCAGCAGTGACGGGCTTCGGAGCAGTGGGGATAGTAGCCAGCTGAGCTTGCTGCGTAGTTTGTGCAGGCTGATACTGGTAGTGCGAATACGAATGCTGCGTGTATTGCTGGTATGCCTGATAATGTGAGTATTGAGGTGTGCTATAGTCGATATTAACGAAGAATAAAGTCGAGCAGCTGGAGATTTGCGTTTACGTGGTATGTTGCGCCTGTTGTGGCTGCGTCTGAGGCTGCTGGGGCTGGTACTGTGCTTGCGGCTGCGGCTGCGTCTGTTGCGGTGCTTGGTACTGTGCTTGTGGCTGTGTCTGTTGTTGGGTTTGGTACTGTGTTTGTGGTTGCGCCTGCTGCGAGGGTTGATATTGAGATTGTTGCTGAGGCGGAGGTTGCTGAGGTTGAGACTGTTGCTGAAGAGCAGGGTCTATAGGAATTTCTAGCGAGTACTGTCAAAGCCAGGTACTACAAATCCTCCCTTAGACACATACGGTTTCCCCATTGTGCTGCTGAGAATGTGGTAGTGGGTGTTTGTGCACCCTCTTCTTGCTTCATCGATATCGGCGTCTACAAAGTCGAAGAAGAACAGGGGTTGGGTCGAATATTTGCCCTAGCAAAGATGAGAGGGCCTCACAACGTAACTGGCGCCGCTTGGGATGGTGTAAAGGTTAGTGACGAGAGAGAGGCGGTCGTTGTTCGTAAGGTAGAGCCACTGCCCTCACATTGGGGTTTTCGGGGTCCTTCCCGCGTCATGCACAGACACACGCAGCGTCCTCAACTTCGCAGACGACCACGACGACCAAACGCTTTCGAGGTATTACTGCTTAGTATGGTGCGTTGTGCGGATATTTCTGCGGTGTGGTGCGTTGTGACTATGGATAAATTCGTCGTGCGTAGGTCGTCTGTCAATACTTCCTAAAAGGAGCCTGCAAGTTCGGGAACGCGTGTAGAAACGAGCACCCCAGAGATGCACGGCAAGGAGGGGGATTTGGAAGTACGTACCTGGTCCTCTGTGTGGCATTGGTAGCATTGTCGTACTTAGCTTGTGATTTATGCACAGACCAGACTTGGACGCCTGGTAGTTCAGCTCAATCGTCCCAACTCTTTTCGTTCGCATATCTCCATTGCTTTCGAGGTTGAATATCGATGCTAACAATTGCCATCGACGAAACGTTTAGAGTTGATTCCATGGCTAAAGACCTTACCGCAGGGCAGGACAGGCCAATCTGGCCGTTGGCTTCCTACGGGCCTGCCAAATTCGTCCTCAACATCTTAGGAGGGTTGGATGAATCTCAAGAGGAGCTCCGCGTCAAAGCAGTAGCTGCGCTGAAAGCTGGAAACATTCAAGAATATGTACGCAGGCCCTCAAAATCTTTAGCTGACCGCTTATACTATAACCTAGTTAAAATACGAAGCGGACAAGACTGCAGCGGCAGAGCAGATCATCGGAAATGCGCTATCGAATGTACAGCAGCTCTATAATCAAGCGTCTGGACAGGGTGGATCATCCGCTTCTACTGGATCTGCATTCGGGTCTGCCAATTCTGGTACGACCTCCGCCTTCGGAAATGCGAATACTTCGGCATTTGGTAAACCCTCAGGATTTGGGGCATTCTCCGGTGGTGGTCCATCAGCATCTGGTGGGAGTGCCTCCTCGGGGACCTCCGCCTTTGGCAAGCCCGCCTTTGGCCAACCTTCGGCTTTTGGATCTGCAGCACAGACGTCGTCGGCCTTCGGGCAACCCTCACAAAACGCGTCCGCGTTCGGACAGCCGACAACAACAACAGCTTTTGGACAACCTGTGCAGAGCACGTCCGCCTTCGGCGCACCTGCCCAAACCACGTCTGCCTTTGGTGCCCCTGCACAGACGACCACTTCTGCTTTCGGGCCGTCCCTAGCACCCGATGCAGCGTTTAGTAGTGCTGCCACGAATACGTCTGCCTTCGGCCAGTCTTCCTTTGGACAGACTTCCAAACCTCATACGTCAATTCTCAGGCCCGCCACAGGCGCGTTTGGTTCCACAAGTGGTGGTGGTGCATTCCCTCCGTTGTCTGCGCCTTCATCCGGTGCTAATACTGGCGGTGGCGGAGGAGCGTTCTCTGCCTTCGCTGGTCAGTCATCTGCCTTTGGTATTGGGGCGGCGAGTAACACGCCGAACACTGCGACTGCCACTGGCGGCTCGGCGTTTGGGCAGCCAGGATTTGGTGCCTCAGCATCATCTTCCACTGCTACTGCGCCGGCGTTCGGTCAGCCGACGCAAACTAGGTCGGCTTTTGGCACACCGTCAGCGTTCGGAGCTCTGGGCCAGCAAACACAACAGACTAGTACTCCTTCTGCCTTCGTTGCACCGAATTCGCAATCAATATCGGCCTTCGGATCGACAAGCAGTACCGCTCCAGCCGCCGTCACACCGGTGTTCGGTGCACCCGCTCAGTCACAATCGGCATTTGGGACACCAGCATTCGGGACACCGGCGCAAGCTACGTCTACGTTCGGTGCGACAGCGCAGCTTGCGTCCACTTTTGGTACCTCTACACAACCAACCTCTGCATTCGGCGCCCCTGCACAATTCACCTCCGCTTTTAATGCGCCCGCGCAATCACCATCTACCTTCGGTGCACCATCGCAGCCTACCTCTGCCTTCGGAAGTGTCCCAACGCAATCGTCCACTTTCGGTGCACTAGCGCCACAGCCCCTCGCCACAACAACCAATACTACCGGTCGGACAACCGCAGTCCAACCTGGGAGGCCCGACTTTGCAGCCGCAAAGGCAAACTCTAAGCCTGCAATTGCAGCCCAGGTTGATTTAGTCCCGGCAATGTACACAGACATGGTGCCAGAGGCTGCGAAAGAGGCATTCCGAGCACCGAAGTTCGCGTGGGGAAAGATACCGGAGTGGGTGCCGCCGAAGGAGATGAGGTAGTGATCTAAGGGGGATGTGTGGGAATAACCTTTATGTTCGCACTTGTAGCTATAAGTAATATGTGTCTATGTATCGCGCACGCTTTGTTGGCTTGTATTGAGCAACCCGCAGTGTCCTCCAACCTATCTGGGGTGAAGCATTGCAGAAGCGCCAGCGTCGCGCTTTTGCCTCTTTGCTTGGTCCGCTTCTTTGGCTTCTGCTTGCTTATCTTCGCATCAGGTTCCAGAACTGGCTACACGACTCGATGAGCTCCTCGAAACGATACAGTACTATTCACGACCATTCCAGCCTTCGACTGCGTCCAGATGGCAGCAGGGTCACGCGCAAACAAACTGAAGGCAAATCTCAAAAGTACTCCACGTATACCGTCAAAGACCACAGAGGAAACTGGATTGCAAAGGATGCAGGCGGTATTGGGTATGTCAAAACTCGTTACGCTGCACGAAAGGAAGCAGAAGGCGAAGGGCGCGAGAGTGAAGAGCAGGTCGAGAGCGACGAGGCTCGCGAGAGCAAGGTTACTGGGTCTTCCACTGCAAAACGTGACAAAGGCAAGGAACGAGCATTGGAAATCGACTTAGGGGGGCTGAAAGACTCACGCGCCAAGAGGCGGAGACTGTTCCTCGAGGACATCGGCACACGCGACGCAGAGCCCCCGTCAATATCTCGTTCATCCGCTCCTCTCGTCTCGGAAGGTGCGGAGAGTGTAGTGCCTAAAGATTTGCATGCTCGCCCCAGCCCTAGCTCCGTGAGTTTCAGTGTATCTGAGTTTGTGTCATGCCCCTCATGCCCTGCCAGGACCTTTTGAAATGTATACACTACTTCGCAAGCACCTACTACAGCGAAATGGGCCAACTGCGTGACTCATCTAAAGAATATCGTCGAGAGAAGAAGCTGAGACGACTGAAGAAGTTGGAAAGGCTTGCCGCACGCACAGCAGCCAGATTGAGACCGGGCTTGCAGCAGAATCACGATGCACAGGACGAAGACAACGAGGCGGGTTCGTCTAAAGACGACATCTCGGATACGGACGAGGAAAGTAGTGTTGGAAAAGTGAAGAAAGTTTCTAAGAGGCGTCAAGCGAAGCCTCTAGTGGGCACAGACATGTACAAAATCTTCGATGGGTCAGCATTGATGACAATAGGTGAAGTCCAATGGACTCTATGTAGCCTCGCGTGCTGACAATTCGTCTAGGTATGCTTCTACAGCATCATATAGAGGACCTTGTTGCATCTCGCATACCGGAAGGCTGGGAGCAGGAGATGCAGTGTGAGGCAGAGCAGCCGAAGAGAGAGATCAGACACATCAAACGAGTACGTAACAACGAAAGTGAAGACTATGCGGCAAGTTCCCCGTTCTTACACGCTGAGGAACCGCTCGACGACTTCCTGATCGACGGCATATTGTCTGTGCACGATGACAGCGAGGACGAGGATTACGTTCCCCAATGAGCGCAGTTTGTAAGCGTGTAATATAGCGAAATGGTAGATGTAGAACATGGAAGACCTATAGCGATGGTGCACCCGAGACAGATGCGAAGAGGTGCAGTATTTTATGGCTGCTTTGGGTCCACGAAAGCAGTCTTCAACGTGCCGTCCTCCCATCGTTTGAGGATATTGTGCCTGAAGGCGCCGATATCTTCATCTTCGAATATTCTCAATCGCTCGAGTCTTCGTTCACGAAGCTTGTTTTTTGGTAACATGCCGGAAACTGCTTGTCGGATGATCTATGAAAGGAATGTGAGAGGTTGTAGACCTAGCTAGTAACGCCAGAACTCACCTCGTCCGGCTTCTTCGCCATCATGTCCCTGTACTTGATTTCCTTCAAACCGCCGGGGAACATAGTATGGTGCCGGTACACGAGCTGCTCGGCCTTCTTCCCGGTAACCTTGACTTTCCTCGCATTTGAGACCACGACATAGTCACCGCAATCCACTATCGAGACATTCAGTGATATTGACTGAGCACTAGAATCACTGAAGTTCTTACCACCAGGATCGTAAACGGGCTTGTGTTTGCCCATGAGTACTATAGCAATCCGCTCTGCTAGCTTTCCGAGCACCCGTTCGGAGGCATCGACTTGGTGCCAAACGCGGGCATAAGCCAAAGCCGTCTGCGGAAAGGGAATTAACAGATCAAAAACAAGCTATATTGCTAGGATACTGACGTTTCCGACGGCTTGGGACATGGCGTTGAACGACGGACGTTGAAGGGGAAAGGTAGGAGCGGAATAAAATAGGCGCACATCCACAACTTGGACTTGCACCGCGACAGGCGCGTTGGCCTCCGCCAACCTCTCTGTATTCTTCTCCACAAACTCGCTCTGAACGGTATGTGGCCTTGAAACGGCGCATGTATACCAGATTGAACTTTACGGACGGTGCAGAATATCGCTTGGGTGTCGTGCAAGAATTACACACTCCACGACGCTGAAAACGCGCGGTGAACAATACTATGTCAGGAGAGGCTTCAAAACGTTCCAATCTTATTGATGTGTACGTGGCCAGTCTCTACCGGAAGCGGTATCTAACTGGCGGTGTAGGACACACCAGCATCTTCACACACTGCTCTCCGGGCAACTCGATGGTATCACTGTCGAGCAAGTCACAGAATACCTGAAGCTTCGTATACCACAGCTCAGCAACGTGTCGGCCCCGTTCGGAAAACCCAATGACGCGTCGAAGAAGAAGGTGGAGTCGGGATCGGTGAAGCTGCGCGATGGCGTGACTGTGCGGGTCGAAGACGCGGACAAGGAGTTCGTTTTCGCAATAAGCAAACGGTTCGACGTCGACGAGGTTGAAGGATTGGTCCTTCTTCGATCATTCCTATACAACGAGGGTCTTCCTGAAACTTCCGCTAGCGCAGGATCTGCCACCATTGTTGAAGAGCTGCTGGACGCCATCACACCATTCTACTACTCGGAGCGCCTCTATGTTCTTCGAATCCTCATACCACTATTCCGCGCAAGTGCTGGAGGCGTTCAGCCCGTCAGCGACATTGCTGCGGACCTTCTACCTGCAGTTATCCCTGATGGCAAGGCATTTGCCACCTCCCTCCTCGCGGAGTACATATCGAAGCTGAAGGCGCGGCTGCCATCCAACTTCGACGCCGATCCGAGGAAGGCAGTATCATGGGCAAAGCAAAACGTAAAAGAGCAGCTTGTCGTTCAAGAAGTTCTCTTCTGGACTGTTTGGGACTATGCTCCGTGCGACGGCCAATTGGTGGCGCGGATCTACGAGACGTCGTATCAGACAAACCTCGGCTCCCACCAGGAGAATTCGACATTATTATTGGACGAAGAAGGCGCGCAATTACAACAGGACATGGCTGCCTTGTGGATTCTAATCAGTGTTGAGGTACTGGAGCTCGAGAGGGCGGCAGACCCTGGCGGCATTGAAGTTTCGCACACCCCGGCAGACAAAGAGATCTACTGGTCTTCTCCAGAATCCTTGGAACGGATACACAAGCTCGTCACGTCGCATCCGGACAGTCAGTTTGCGTGTCAGTACATTGCTTGGGCCTTTGTGCTCTCTCGAATAGTCGAGGTCTGTACCAACCTCAAGGAGCTTCCCAGCTCATATAGCAAGTTCTTCGACTCCATCATGCCTACGGACCGCTCTTACACTAGGGGGCACGATCCCGCTCACGTCCTCATGTCAAGAGCTGCGCTGGGTCAAGACGCTGGTCTATTCCAGCTCATGCTCACCCTATTGACGAATTCGCCAGTATTCGTGACGTCTATGGCTTGGAGGACTGCCTCGTCAGTGACCGACCCGAACGCTGTGGCGTATCGTTCAGTGCTCAAAGGTCAGCTACCTGTTACTCGCGAGATATTTGGCTCGTGTTTACATCACATTCCGCAGGCCTGGTCATCTCTATCGTCGAACTGGTCCCAGTAGAGCTGATTCCAGATTTCGACGGCTTCCTCGAAGTTTGGATTTCCCTTTTCGGACGGAGCGAAAGCCAGTCTGTGTCAGGTATCTGCCGACAGTTTTGGCAGTCAGATTGGCATCATGGATCAGTCCGTCGGGCAATATTAGACGTCGCTCGGTCGCGGTTCGCTGTGCGAAGCAAGCCCCTTGTTCGCTTACTTCGTGCCATGACGGCTTCTGGATTCCTCGACACAGATCCCCTCGCCACAGCCGACCACAACACGGAAGGTGATCCGCTTACCCACGAGGATCGTGCTGTCTGCGCACAACATGTGTTCCTCTTCCTCGACAGACTCCCTACCTATACCCAGGTCATCCCCGTGTCTGTTTGCTCCGGTTCCCAAGCTCTCTACGAGAAATTGCCCGAACGGATGATCTCTGCATCTGTGTCGACGGGCCCGACATACACCAACCTGCGGCCAATCAAGCTTCCCGGAGGCGCGACACTTCCGCTGCGGTCTGCTGGCCGTCTGCTGAACGATACCGGCGAGCACGTCGTGGTTTCCTGGCAGTTCGAGCACTCGGGGTGGAAGGTTCTCCTGGAGATCCTGACCGATTACGTGAACCGGCGGCGAATGGCAGGCGGCGTGTCGCATCATGACGTCGCCTTTGGGCGGAAAGCGGTCGTTGCGGCTCCGGTCCTCAAGCTTGAAGATATTGGCGTGGAGGTGGATGGCGCAGGAGATGATTCGCTCGTCACGGAGATACTCGACCTCATCCGTAGCGTGACGCGCGATCATCCCGAGCTGGCGGGACAGCTATTGGAGTCATTTGAGTCTGGGGACCCTGTGGTATCTCACTCGATGCTTGAAGCCGCACCTCCAGACCTCGTGCAGCTGACCACTATGATCCTTGAAGATGCACTCTCTCGATCTAGCCCTCAGCAGAAGAGTCCGCCATGCACTCAGCTCATCACCTCTTCCATGAGTGTTCTTGCTGCTCTCTTGGCGTTGCCCAAGTATTCCAATCGTGTCTGGCTCTACATTAGATCGACATCGTCGCTGTTTGGCTCTGAACGTTCAGTTGGCTTCACCTCCACCGTTATCGCCTCCGAACGAATTACTGGGCACTACACAATGACGCTAGCGCTGCTGCACTTGGTACGCCAGCTCTTCAATGAAGCATCGTCGTCCGTTTTGCCCGTCCTCCAAGAGACTCCGAAGCTGCAGCAAATGAAGGAGGAGGTCCTAATGCGTGCTGCTCGCTTCGTACATTCCGAGATCTGGGTCGAACATGTCGGATGGAAATATGCTCAACTTAGCGACCGCTTCGAGATTGGCAGGAGGATCTCGAGCACCTACGCAGATATTCTGAAACATTCTCCTCCTCCGATGAGCGACGCACCTTTTGGCGACCTTAGCAAGGCCGTGTTCGAAGCCCTTATCACTCGCGCTACTACATCCGCAGTGAACCCTCTTATAACAGCACTCACTACGTCAACACCGGTCTTGACGATGCTTTACTCGGCTCGCAGGTATGGGGACGCCCGGCGGCTGATCTACATGCTCGAGTCGCATCTGCTCCTGGTTCGAGTTTTGCTGCATGCCAAGCTGAAGCTGCTGCCGGATAAACCATGCTTACTTGAGCAAGCTTTGTGCACCCGAGTAATCGGTACCGTTGGGTCGTTGGACCCTTTCTCCTCAACCAAACTTGACCCTATCGAAGCCCTCGCTGCGTACACGAAGGAACGGCGGATGGGTCTGACCGTACCGGTGGAAGCGATGGAAGTGCTATTCGCTCTGTGTATATCACTCTCTTCATCCGATGCCTCTCAGGCAACTTCGATCGTCGGCTACCTTGCAGACCCCGAGTCTACGGTTGCTTCCCTAGTTCGCATTATCATGCACCCATACGACGATGCGCTACTACGGAACGCTGTGTGGAACTTCATAACCCTGGCAATGGACAAGGAGCCTGCGCTCGCTGGGCTTTTCGTCAAGGGCCAGTTTCGGGTGCCGAGCGTCAAGGGGAAGGAGAAGGCGACGAATGGGGGCAACGGTTCGAAGGCAACGAGTGCCCTGGCTGTTGCTTGCAATATGCTAGAGCAGTGGGAAGACCTCTGGGAGCTAAACCCGCAGCTGCTTGCGTCACTGTTACGCTTCCTGGATGTCGTTTGGGAGCACGGTCACGAACACAAGTCGTCACTTGATACGGTCAGAGATGATGCAAAATTCTTCGAACATCTCGCGTCCATCATCAAGAAAGAATTGGGCCCTACTCCCGACTTTAGGGTCGAGACGCTTATCTTCCTTGACGGTGCCCAGCATTCAGATCTGCACGAAGCCGTTGTTGGCCATGCATACCGCACCATGGCGAAGACACACGCACTGCACATCATTGCGCTCGATATTCGGATGGCGCTCCCTACGACCGGAGATAAGAGCGTTACCCCCAAGCCGAAGAGCTACATTTTCATACAGGACATATTCAAGGACGAAGACACGATCTCGGAGTTGATCTCGGAGGCTGCTTCGCGGGCGTATGACCCTTCCCTATACGACGAGCTCCAAGAACAAACACAGACACACTTCCCTGCTCTGGTTTTGGACCACATTCTCCTCCAAGAGCCGCTGGTCGAGAGAAGCTTCGGCGATGAATTTGCGTTCTCGACTTCGCTTCTTCAGCTGCGCGTAGCGACTTTCTCGGATACCCTTTCGGAACAAGTCGAGTCGGTGTTCAAGAAGCTCATGTCGATAAACCTCAACCTTTCCCTCGCTCATGCACAGACGACACTAACAGAGTCGTGGCAGCATTTACTCCTACAAGCGGTTCCATTCCTCAGAGGAGAAACGACTGTCCGGGCAGTATTCTTGGCACAAGCCTCCAACATCTCGACGGATATTGCGATGGAGACACGCTCTGGAGGCATGATGCCGACGATTCACCATGCGCACTTGTCCCTCCTGCTCTCGCTAGTGGAGGTTAGCTGGTTCTCACAGTCGGACAAAAAAGATGAGATCCAACACTTCGTCACGCTTATCAAGAACCTTCGAGGGATCATTCTCAATGAAGCGCAGCCACCGGCGAGGTCGTTCCTTAACCAGTCTACCGTTCCTTTCCACCGGCCCCTGCTACAGATTCTCTACTACTGTGCCCGGCAGAGCAGAACTCTGATGCGAAAACCGAAGGCCCTCAGTGCAGAGCAGCGACTAGATATTAACGCCACCATCGACGTCGCTCTTGATCTTAGTATCAATGCCCTCCGCCTCGCTTTCGATACAGCCCGCACGCGATTAGACATAGACCTCGACCAGGATATGGAACAACTGGTTGCGGTATTCGAGGAGTGCACAAGACCGACACTTACCCCGTCGACAACGCTGTGGCTAACTTGCTGTCAAGAAACAGACGTCATTCGTGCCAGCTTGCAGCTCTTCAGTCAAACTGACCTCGCTGGATACACCGACGTTGCTCTACTCAGACTGCGGAAGCAGCCATTGTATGCGCCACACGTCCTAACCTTTCACCTGGCTCTTGCGAGTATCCCGTCGGCAGCCGAAAGGCTCGCCAGCGAGGGTGCCTTAGCGGCGTACAGCGAAAACAGCATCAGCTCTGCCATCAAGACAGGTTCCGTGGAAATTGCCCTGCCTGAGCTTCCCGGCGAACGCAGTCCGATCCATAACGCGTACTGTACGATGCTTGCCGTCATATCAGGGGTCATTTTGGCACTCGGCTCCCATGGCCATTACTTCGTCGCGGACGCGTGTGGGTTCATCCAACTCTACAGTGACCAGATTCACCGTGCGCTGTCTTGGACCATCGGCGATTCAATGACAACATCGCTTCTGGAGGAGATCGAGCAGACTGTCAACCTATTCTACGCCATCTCGTCTACTCCGCAAGCTACCTCGGGGGACGAGGCCGCGAAACGAGCGCTCGAGTTCTTCACCATGGAAGTGCTCATGCTGTTACAGCAGGTCAACTACGCTTTGACGCACCACAATCACCTCGCGAGCCTGTTCGAGCCCATCACTGCGGAGGAGCGTGCGCAGTATGAAGCGGACAGCGCGAATGCATCTGCGATCAGCTCGTCCTCAGATATGGTCGACCTCATTGGGCGGCCATTCGTTGCTCGGCTTGTCCATAGGTTGTTCACCATCTCGGGATCACTCTTGTCGACGCTAGTGAACATCAGTAAGGCAGAAAGCGTGTTACTTAGAGAGCCAGATGATTGGCCTACGGACCAGACTCTGCTTGTGCCGGTATGTGACCCCATTCATGTCCGAAGAGGCACAAACTGACCTTACGCTTTACAGCATTCAAAAGTCGTGCTGGGCGAGCCAATATCTATTGGTACTCTCCTCGAGCTCGGCAACTGTTCGCTCGACGTGCTCAAGTACCTTGTCGACCGCCCGGCAATGCAGAGCGTCACACCAGCGAAGGGAAGCGAGAAGGCGCTCGACGTGCGGGACAGCATGCTCGCGACACGGCGGACGCTCGAGGCGGCGCTCTTCTACGGGGCGACGCAGCTCGCGCTCTGGCTGGCCAAGCCTGAGTTCGACGTCACGGGCCACGAGATGGACGCAGAGCCGAGCGAGATCGATGTTGCCGTGCCGGACAAGGAGCGTCGTGTGGCGTTGCGCAAGAGCATGACGCTGACAGAGCGCATCCGGAGAGGCATGAGTGGAGAGATGGCCGCGGACCTCCAAGCTCTCATCACGCGCGCGAAGCCGATCGTAGGCAAGAGCCAGGCAACGCTGGAGAACAAGTCGGTGGATATCACGCAGGTGCTGTCTGTTTTTGTGCAGGAACGGATAATGATGGGTTAGGGAGGGGTGTGTACAAAGCCAGTCTCGTATGCTCTGTCAGAATTGTTCGCCGTCGTTATATCGATTATCGACTTTAAGCACTGTACTTAAAGACAATGCGACACGAGAGTATACAAAATTAAATATGCTCATGAGGTATCGTGATAGCGATCGTGAGCAGGTATAGTGAAGTTATTGCGCGAGGCATTATGCCTGGTTAGAAGGTCCCTGGTGAAAGACGAGCATATCTAGAGAGACAAACGGGGTTTGAGCATTGTGTCGGATGTCGGTGTAGGCCGGGGGAAGCGTCATGGAGTCGTCAATATCGTCTTCGTCATCTTCCATCGGGACATCAACTCGTACACCAGCGTCCTCCTCACGGCGTTGTCTCGGTGGGGCCATGGATACCGACTGCTCGGCAAGGATAGGGGCAGGAGCAGAGACAGGGGAAGGAGCAACAGTGTTTGGCTGCTTGCGCCGACCCTTCTCACGGTGCGCGGTGATAGTAGGCGCCAATACGACGCCGGTAACGACCTCCGTTGTGGGTGAGGCGTTCTGCACGACGTAGTCTGATTGATTCGGGACCGCGGCCGTCGTGTCCCTTTGATGTGCAGCCTCAGGCCGCAGTGGCTGTGTGACATTATCTTTAGGCTCGATGTTTGAAGGCGGAAGGATGTCTCTACCACTTCCCTCAATGAGCGAATGCAGCGAGTATTCTGGTGGGGCGTTTAGAAGACATGGCGCACATATGCAGACGGAATGCGTACGGTAACGTCCAGAGCGCCGTCTTCGGTGACACCATATACCAAGTAAAAGCAGGACTAGTGCTACGATACCAGCGACTACGGCGCCCACGATTATTCCGAGAGACGACTTGTGGTGGCTGGACATAGAGGCGGAAACAGAGGAACTTGGAGACGTTGAGGCGGAAACGCTTGATGAAGGAACCGAAGAACCTGAGGCAGACGTCGGGCTGCAGTTTTGAGCTGCACCAAACTGAGTGCCATGGTGCATGCAGAAGGGAAAGATACGCACGAGCAGCGGTAATGTTGAACGAGTTTGACTGGACCGTCTGTCGGTCATTGGACTGAATGATGATTCTGAGAGGGTCTAAATAAGATTGTCAGGGATGCTGCCTCCGGGTCAAGTCGACATGGGTGCTCACTGAATGAGGGATCAACATCTGCAATCCACAGAAGCGACATGTCCGACGTGATGCCGACTTCACCCAAAGGTTCAATGCTGTCATAGATCCTAGAAGGTCTTAGATCACGCATGAGAAATCGTGATAGAGTGCGTAACTTACTCCTGCAAGTGTCGAGATAGTCACAAAAACAGATTAGTGATCAACGTTCAGCGGTAGTTCTAACGCGTTATCTCGTACCAATGCATAGGGCGCTGGCGCGAGCGTAAGTGCATTGAATTTCTTATGTATATGGCATACGGCGCACCTTGACCACCCTGCCATATTATATCAACCGTTGAGCATTGTACGACGTTAGTCCTATTCGTCCTGCAGTCAATGACAGTCTCTGTTCACCGTATCAAGGTATACATACGGAACGCTGATGGTCAACGTGTTTTGCGCTCCCACCAGTACAGAGAAAGCACCTAGGAACACTGTAGCTGGGAGCAATCTCATCGGGGGAACGTACAGACTCGCTAATGATCAGAAGGTGGCTTATGGACAGCTAGGCATGCAGACAAGAGACGACGAGCACAGCCTGGCCCGCTGAGACACGATGCGCCCTCTGTGATGGCGGTGGGGTCGCGATCGGCATCCTCGGCACGGCAGACCCCTCGCCACCGCTCTCCGTGTATTTGCACGGGGACTACGCAGTGTTTGAGCACTGACGGTTTGAGAATGTATCTCACAGCGGTGGGATGAACGAGCCTGGGGCAATTATGTGCGTAAAAGCAGACAAGCACGCTGTTTGAACGGCGGGTGGTTCCAAAAAGTGGGGCCATTTCGCACGCCCATACGTAAAGGCCCGCTGCGACGACTCCGAGCCCCGAGTTGCCTCCACCCTCCAATAACCGTCCACCCTATACCATTTGCTCTGCGTCCTGCACGGCTTGTCACACCGTCTGAATGACATTTCCCCCCTCGTAACCGTTCACCATGCCCGAGTACGTCCACGCGCTACATGACTTCGTACCCGAGAACCCGGACGAAGTGCCCTTCAAAGCGGGAGACAGGATTCAGGTCATAGAGAAGGACGACCTCTACCAAGATGGTTGGTGGCAGGTAAGTGCATGATCTTATAATGCGCACTTCTGGAGAAGTAGATGCTTCTGGCGACGTGCTCAGGAGCGAGTGGTCAAGAGGTCCGTTGATTTAAATTAGTGGTCCGCGCATATGCCGCTAGCCTCTGTCCATGCGATATGGAGGAAGCCTGCTGGTGTCACCCACTTTTGCCCACCATCCAGCTGCAGGGCCTCGAGGGTGGGCACGAATATCTCCTGACGCCACCCATAGCGGCATCGGACGTAGTTTCCTAGGCGTTCCTGGCATATGACATCCTTGTCAAGCGTGCTCAAGGCGTGCCTATCCTCGAGGCGTAGGGAAGCTGGTTTGTGAACGCATCGTCCACGACGCATGTCGACCTCGCAATACTGTGCATGTGGCTTGGTGTGGTCCACACAGATAGAAGCTTGCCATTCATTTTGACGGATACATGTTGAGGTGCATATACTCATCTCTTTGTTTTCTCAAGGGTCGCAATCCTCAGGGCAAAGTAGGGCTATTTCCTCAGTCATATACGACTACGAGACCTTCCGCTGCGGCTCTCCCTGCAGAGTCGATCAATCCGCCTACAGTATCTTTCCCGCAGTCTACCTCGACCCCTCCCCCAGCAAACAATGGAGCTTTACCCTCAATCTCACCGGAGATGTCTCCGGCACTGTCCTCGGATGAGCGAGAGCGTACCCTTAGCCATGGGGAGCGGACTATGCAAGCAACCTTGACCGATGTTCAGCAAGCAATTGAGCAGCTTGGGCACACCGGAGGAGATGCAAGCAGCATTAGCTTCGCCAGTTCGCATGGGGACTACTCGGAACATGAAGACGAAGATGTTGCGGGCGGCGAATCTGACAATGACGCCTTTTCCCATCGAGGCGTGCGACAACTCCTTGCTGCGCGTGCTCAACAAGAAATCGAAGAACGACAGGCAAGGCAAGGGACCGGCTCGTCACCGACGACTCCACTACGTCTATCCCATCCGAATGTCGAACCGCCACCGATCGACTTCGAACTGAGCGAGGAAAGCGACGAGGGGGAAGTTGATTCGCGACAGACTCAGAGGCGGAGAAGTACGGCTTCGCCTGATAGGCGTTACTCGTCTCAGTACCCACACATACCGGAGGAAGATGAGGCGGTGGAAGAGGCGGAGACACCGGCTCCGACGTCTCAATCTGCGACACAGAGTGTGCTCACACCAAAACGTGACGAGACAATTATGCCCTCGCTCCCTTCAGCCGCCCTCACACCGCCATCCGCCATCGCCGAAAGTGATAACGGGCACATCGAACCTTCGGAAGACTTCATTGTCCCTTCGCCCAGTGCTGCCAAGCGGGTCCATGAAGAACAAGAAGAGGAGCAGCCAGCAACTGCTACTGTTGATCGGCTCACATTCCCTAACACTCTATTTACCGACTCTCCTGATCTTGTGAGTCTTCCTGGCACTGAATCTAACACCAACACAATGCCGACGCCTATTCCACCTTCCGCACCGGCGCCCATTGTCGTTCCCGAGGTCCCGCCACCAGTCACATACGAGGCTGTTGTACCAGCGGTCATGCCCAATTCGCTGAACCCGCTGACTCCCATCTCCCCCGAGCGCGCCTCGTCCATACCTCCTCCTGTATCTCCCTCCGCGCTGGGGAGTGCTTCGTCCATCCGGTCTGCAACGGCCCCTACCGTTAAACCGGCACCTATCAAAGTTTACGAGCCTGTGCCCTTCGTTGCGAGGTCAGCGGCACCTTCGCCCGGCCGGGTTTCAATACCATCTCCGGGTGTCCCTTTGCCATCACCAACGACCTCCTCTTCATCTGCTGGATATGGTAGCACTAGTGGCATTCAGCAGACCCTCACACCTGCCACGACTATGTCATTCAGGACCGCTGGTGGGGCGACACCTTATCAGGAGGTTAGCCCGAACGGAAGCCAGTATGCCTACAAACGGCCAACGACACATCCCTCGGAGTGGACTGTGGAGGAGGTTATCGAGTGGCTGAGGTCGAAGGGCTTTGACGAAGGTGTCGTGGAACGGTTTATCGAGCAAGAGATAGCCGGCGACGTCCTGCTGGAGCTCGACGCAAACGTCCTGAAGAGTGAAGTTGGCATTCAAGCCTTCGGGAAGCGCATCCGTATCATAAACGCCATCGCAGAGCTACGGCGCCCACCGTCTTTCAACGACGACCACCCCATGCCTGCGATAGGGAACCAAGGGGGTTCGCACTCCTTCAACTACGGCCATTCGCACTCGTCCTCGATGGCGAGCTCCGCGCAACAATCCTTTGCGAGCAGTCCGATGTACGCACCTGTGGGCTTTGGCTCTCAGCACGGCGGGTTTAGCCCCGCAGGATCACAGCGCGGGATCCCACCGCCGAGCACGACAACGACCGGGTCGAACGGATTTGGGCCCGAGAGCCCAAGGCATATGCCTATCCCTGACGTCTCGCCCAGTTCGAGCAGGAACGGATGGCGTGCGTCGGACCCCGGCGTGATGCCGCCGATGCCGCCCGCAATCGCAAGCGAAGTGAACCTGAGTACGCCGCGAATCAGCGAAGCGAAGCCGATCGTGCCTACGGAGCCTGTGCCGCAGCCTGCGCCAGAATTAGTTGGTCTGGGTCTAGGGTTCTTGGAACCACAGCCTGCGTCAAGACCAGAATCACCTCCAAACTCTTCGAAGGCCGAAGTGAGTATGTTTATATGTGCGGATGACGTGTTCATAACGACCCGCCTTTTAGTCGCCGAAGGCTCGACCTGGGCACCTCGTACTATCACAGAGTGACGCTAACCTCAAGGTGAAAGCAGTGGGTGGTGATGATACCGAGCCCGAGGACCGCGCTGCGGTTAGTGATGTAAGTAGCTGGAAACTTGATTGCAGGATTGAGATGGCTGAGGATCGCCATACAGAACGAGTCTACCAAGGTGGACGGCAGGCAGAAGCGGAGACGTCTCTTTGGTCGTTCAGCAGAGTCCGGATCTATCAAAGAGAAGGCGTCCTCGTTGATGGATAGTGCGAGTCGGCATTCTAAAGAGCTGAGCCCCACCGTTCCGGCGCAATCGCCAAGTATGACTGAGGCCTCTGACGAAGTCGCTCCTATTCGACGACCAAGCAAGAAGAAAGGGTTAGAGGAGAGAAAACATGGCGATCGTCTCAGTTTGTTTGGTGGTAGCTTCTCAGGGACCCTTGGTAAAGGTCGCAAGCCGGTGCCGAAGCTGTCCATGTGAGTGGACCTCCATCGTTGCATGACCAAAGACACTACATGAATACGCTAACAACGATTTCTCTAGATCCGAAAAGGGCGAGAAGAGCGAGAAGAGCGAGAAGGCGGAGAAGGCGGAGAAGGCGGAGAAAGCGGAGAAGGTGGAGAAAGCGGAGAAAGCGGAGAAGGCGGAGAAGGCGGAGAAGGAGAAGAGCGATCATGAATCAATCATGTCTTCAACGTTCCACCGGATGAGGCACCCCAGCGGGCGCAAGCCTGTGCGGCCCTCGACCTCAGATGGGATCGCGGTGCGGGAGAGGCTGATTTCCGAGCGCGACTCGGAACCCGAGGAGAAGACACGGGGAAGGCTGCGCTCGTCACCATCGCTCAGGGGGAAGAGCAAAGAACGCGATGTGTTACGCAAGCGTACGAACTCAACGGGCGACACTGCGGTACGCTCGCCCGCGGCGATGGCACAGGCGATGGGCGCGCCCCCGATCAAACCAGGTCAAAGTGTCCTCGCGCAGATTGGGACGCCGGACCACAACGGGTGGATTAGGAAGAAGAGCGACCAGTTCTCATCGTGGAGGAATCGGTATTGTGTGCTGAAGGGCCCTCACTTGTACATCCTGAAGAGCAACGACAAGTCGGTGGGTGTCAACGGACATGCCCTGGGGTGGTTCGAGACTAACGGCTTAGTCATTTAGGAAACAAAGATCAAGGGATATATCAATGTTATCGGGTATAAGGCCATAGCCGATGAGAGTGTGGACCCGGGTCGTTATGGCTTCAAGATTGTCCACGACCGCGAAAGGAGCCATTTTTTCAGTCACGATGAACACTTCGCTATCCGCGAGTGGATGAAGGCTCTGATGAAAGCTACGATCAGCAGAGACTTCTCGAGTAAGCTGCTTTTCTACCGTTCCTGCTGATAGGCTCAGCTGACCCGGGTATGCAGCCCCCGTGATGTCCTCGAGCAATATCCCTACAATTCCCCTCACTGTCGCACAGGCGATGAACCCTTCACCTCGGCCGCCTTCTCCGACGGCACGAGCCGCAACACAACGCGCGCACCGGAGAGACAATCCCAACCAGCTCTCGAGTCGGGACGCCCAAATTCTCATGGGCATGCCCAAGGCGGGCACCGTCGTCAATAATGGCGAGACGAACGGTGACCGTCTTCGTTTGGAGTCCTTCCTCGCCAACACAGGTGATGCTGGCCTTCTTCCACGGGAAGCTCCGTCGAACAAGGTAGCATCGTCGTCGAAGATTCCCGCTCCCCCACGTCCGACTCGTGAGACGCGCCGGAAGTTCAGTACCGGATCTCAGTCTACCGTCGACGTGAGTTTCATCCTCCAGGTTTAGATTGCAATTATAGCTAACCGTGTTCCGTTCACAGAACACGAACGTCGAACTCAGTCTGATCGAGTGGGCGAACTCGCACCTACCGGACCGCCTCAAGATATCCGGCACATCCGGTACCCTATACACCGGCCTCGCACTGCTGCGTCTGGCGGAGGACATCAAGGGCAAGCCTGCTTCTCCGCCTGTGCCTGACTCTGCTTTCCCGTCTGATCCCAACGATGACCGCCTGGATGGCCTCTTCAGGCTCTTCGATTTCCTGCTCGACAACGATGTCAAGATGGGCGCGGTTAGCATCAACGACATTCGGCAGGGCAAACGCGACAAGATTATCCAGCTGCTGAATGCATTGAGGAATTGGGAGGAAAAGCGCAAGGCTATCGCTCTGGCCATCTCGCAGGACGCCATAGCTGGCCCAACGTTCATGGCGGGCCCGATTACTTTTGCGAGTCGCACGTAGTTGCTGACGTTGCGGACATTAGTCTTAGTTTACTGTAACTTGCTTATTATTGCCTTGGAACGTAGGATATTTGCTTATAGCGTTATTGGACGTCGTCGTCGGATTGTAGACGGTGCATATTATTAATTTCCCCACACACACCCCTTTATACTCTTGGATGTAGCCCGTATGCTTTGTAGAGTTTCGCTGAGCCTGCGCTTTGTAATCGATTTTATGTTTTGCTCAGATCAAACACGTAGACGCCCGCAAGTGTACTTGCTCAGGACCCTCGACATGGCCTTGGACATTCAAGCTTTAGAAAAAAATCTGCTGAACTGCAAGTGGACAGACGACGTCCAGGGCCCAGCTTGGCTCACAGTACTGGGAAAGAATGTCGTCGAGGGCGCATTCCGCGAAGTGCTCACCTCCGCAGCCGCTCGCGAACTGTTTGCAGTCCGCCAATCGAATGCTGACCTTGCCGAACAAACCCTAGACGTGCTCTTCCAGTTCACGTCGCCATCTGCACAGACAGCAGGCGAGCTGGAATGCCTGCGGCTTGTGCTCGCTGTCGTACTTCTGCATGCGTTTCTCCAGGTTAATTGGACCGGGCCAAATCTAGAACTCAAGCCAGTGGATATCCTTTCGGTTCCGGACGACTACAAGGATATCATTACGGACGAATTCCTCAACTCGAAATCGATTGCCGAGCTTGCGTACGGTGGCGAGCCTGCTTACCATCTCGTGGAGGCCCCCTTCTTCCTGCGTCTCTCGAGGCTGCTCCTTGATCAACCTTTCGAGCGATGTACATCCGCCATCTGGTGGAAAGCGCGCGTATGGGCAGTACACGAGCACGTAATCGACGAGCCTGTTGCCCCTCCTGAGGACCTTATATCTTACCTGCAGTCCTGGTCGAAGAATATTACTTCCGAGACCGATCTTACAGGCCGGGTGCTGCTCGAGGAAGGTCTTTTCCACCACCTGCTCGAACAGGACCGCCAGGCTGCAGAGCTCTTTGTCAGAGCCGCTAGGGCGACGCAGCTCAAATTCGAGCTCACCGGTGCGCTCGGAAAACGGACCAAATTCCAGCAAAACGACGTCACGCAGCTTGTGCTTCTCGCGGAGTCGCGCAGGCGCGATACGGACCTCGCGCCTGTCGAGGTGACACCTAGTACCTCGGTTACAGAAGAGAGAAAAGCTCTCCCAGAAACGCTGAAACTCAACGACGATACGCTCCTCGAGCGTACACAGTTCATCTCGTCCAACCCTGCCGCCCCTGGCTCCCTCCTCGCACACCTCGATCCCTCATCCCAACCCCCTTTAGACCCTCTCGACCAATGCATCCTGCTTGCCATGTGCCTGAACATCAAGAATATGTCGCCTGCGCACGGTCTGACGTCCGAACAGATGGCGCCGTACGTCGATCGCGTCATCGCACATGCTAGGAACTGGTCGGTCCACACCATGGCCCTTCTCCTCCGGTCGCGTCTCGAGGCCAACCGGACCCGCACAGTCGAGCGATCGACGTTGCAGCTGCAGGCCCTCGTCGACCAGATGCCCACGGCGGACTCGACGGTGACCGAACGATTGGCGTACATCCACGATCTCGCGCTGCCGAGCAAGTGGGAGCTGCAGCGAGAGCTCGCACAGCGCTACTTCGCGCTTGGTGTTGTGCGCTCTGCCCTGGAGATCTTCGAGCGGCTTGAGATGTGGGAGGACGTCGTCAAGTGCTGGCAGAGCCTCGAGAAGCCAGATAAGGGCATTGCCGTCGTCCGCGATCTGCTCGAGGGCCGCAAGGCCGAGACGGACGTCGTCATCGCGCGTGGTAAGGCGGCAAGCGAGGGACGGAGGCAGACGATGGATGCCGCCCACGAGGCGAAGCTGTGGGCCATCCTGGGCGATCTGGAACCGCAGAACGCACTGGAGCACTACAGCAAGGCCTGGGAGGTCTCGGGGGGCATGTCTGGCCGTGCAATGCGCTCGCTGGGCGGGTACCACTTCGCGCGGGGCGACTACCAGAATGCGATCGCCTGTCTGCGCAAGGCGGTCGCGATTAACCCGCTGCTCACGCGCTCGTGGTTTATCCTCGGGTGTGCGTACGTGCGCGCGGAGGAGTGGCAGGGTGCGAAGGAGGCGTTCACGCGCTGCGTGAGTATTGACGACGAGGACGCCGAGAGCTGGAACAACCTCGCGAGCGTATTTCTGCGAATGGGGGAGGCCGGGCAGAAGGTCGAGGTCGAGAACGACGGGGATGATGAGGTGCGATGCCTTTCGTGACTGTATCTCTCACGGGAACACATGCTGACCGGCTTACATCACGCTTAGGGAGAGCTTAAGACAAAGGAGGCGGTCGCTTCGGACGAGCCGTCCGGGCGCGTACCCTTCTCGAACAAGCTTCTCGCCTTCCGTGCACTCAAGCAAGGCCTAAAGTTTGCATATGACAACTGGCGGATGTGGAATAACTACATGATCGTCGCCCTTGATGTCGGCGAGCTCTCAGAGGCGTGCCGTGCTCTCGCACGCGTCGTTGAGGGGCGTGCAGCCAAGGACGGCTTGGCAGCCGTTGACGAAGACGCGCTTGAACGCCTCGTCGACGCTGCCACACGCGGGGAATTTGACCAGCAGGCAGAGCAGGCAGCCCCGAGCTCCGCGGGACTACTCAGGCAAGTTACGGACCTGCTCGAACGGGTCATCCTGTCGCGGGTGTCTTCTGTCCGCATCTTTCGTGCGCGAGCCCGTCTGCTGACGGCACAAGGCCGCTGGGAAGACGCCCTTAATGCATACATGGAAGCTTACCGCGCGAGCGCCGCAGGTACGATCGAAAAGGGCGAGACTGACGCCGCACGCTGGCGTGAGGCCGCGAAAGAGGTGGAGGAGATTATCGATGTCTTACGCAACTTTGGTCCTCGGACGGAGGGACACAGGTGGAAGCTGCAGGCACGCAGCGTGCTCCGGACGTTCATGGGACGCACCCGCGAGAACTTCGAGGACGAGCCCGAGTGGGTACGGCTGACTGAGTTGCAGGAGGAGCTCCGCCAGGACGAGTAGTGGACGGGCGGCCTGTCTTCCACAGACACGTACTTTCCGCCGCAAAGTGCGGAACTGAGGTCGGCTGTAGGCTTCGTACACCACGATGAATTAAAGTTCGCGCCTTCCTGTGATACGTGCCTATGCCAGCCCTGCATGGCAGCGAAGCCCCGGCCAAATCCATGTTTTGCGTCACCACACCCAGACGGGTCCGGAAGGCCGTGGACAGCGGATACTCCTATCGAGTCCGTACGTGAACAAACTGACTCTACAGGACTAGCATAGAAATACATTCAAGCAAGCTAGATCTACACGTGTGCGGCTGAGAACGGGAGAAGCGGATGGTTCGAATAATAATGCAGTGCCTTCAGGCAAGGAGACCTCGTAAGACCATCACAGGGACCATTGGAACGCCATCGCTATGCGATTGAGGGTCAAAGTGGTCACCAGCTCCGTGACGAATGATAGCGCGGCGTGTTTGATGGTCAGGCGAGCATAGAAAGGGTCATTGGGCTGCGCTACTTCCCAGGTCGCAATGACTAATCCCTTACTATCGGTACACTAGCGGCATTTAATGTAGGGTTAGAGCATTGTCACTAGCTGCCAGCATGTGCAGCTTACCTCAAGACGCTCGGTTGATATCTTCCACTTGAGTTCTGTCCCGTTCTGCGTGGTAAAGTACCGATGCCTGGTCTTTTTGTCAGTAGACTAAAACAAAAACGTAGCAACGTGTCGATGCAACGAACGCACGGGCTGCCTTCTTTCCTCCCCTTCTTAATACAGCTGGCCATCGGCTGAGTAGGGCTGTTGCCGTATCCTAGGATGCCGGGGCTTCGAGAAGGGCCGAAATAGAAATACGACGCGGTCGGGCCCATGATATCTGGGTGTTGCTGTGCCCACGGTGCCTCGCGTATGAGCTTCAGCACAAGGTTTGGGTTCTCGTCAACCTGACAATTGAGATAAGGACGCGGATATTGGAGCACCGGTGGTTGCAATAATCCACCCACCCATATTCTGTGTAGAGCGCGACATGTCAGACAGACTGCCGTCAGCAATCTAAGGCTAAAAACGTACACCGTGAAGGCGAGGCGTCCTTCCAAGTCTTCAAAGTGTGTGGCCCATGGGTCACTTTTGTACTGCAGGAGCACGTACGAAGTCATCGCCGGCCTCTCTGAGCGTTGATGGAGGGGGCAAGAAAGCACCCGATGAGGACGTCGTGAGACGGAAGTCCATGGCCACAACTTATACCCAAGAACAAGGGTTCCCCAAACGAGAGGAGCAGTAAGACGGGCATCAGATGGCACAGCACATGAACGCCACGCGGATGAAATGCCTCCGACTCCCGTTCGACCATGCAGACTTTATTTGCACGAACTGACACATCGGCCGATTAAGCGTTGCGACGGCAGGGTAATAGTCGGCTCAGGCCACCAACGACATCCCGGCAGATTCGCTGGCTCAAGGGCTGCTTGCTCGGGACGCCGTAGTAAAGCCCATAGTCATCAAGGACCAATGGACACCGCTTCCGCCAAGCGCATGCAGGGCACGTTACCCCAGGAAAGGTTCACGAATAGGGAAGCTGCTGCTTACACAAGGTTCTGAAGCACTCGAGCGCGACCGGAGCATTACCATTTCCACGCTACCCATTCAACTGGATATACTTAGCGACCCTGTATCAGATGTAGATGGGAGATGTGGGGAATCGGCTACAAAACGTGTCCTCAGTAACTGCACAGCCAGATGAACGCGAGATGGCACGCACAATCTGGAGCTCACGCGGGAAGCTCACGCGAGGCCGTTCCGCTTGCCCATAACGTTAGTCGTACACTGTGAACAACTTCTTGAGCGTGTATCGTAAGCCCAAGATCGGCAGCAACTAACCATGCACGATGCCTACAGGTGAAACAAAATGAGCGGGCGGTTTTTGCTCCACCGAGGCAGACGTACCGTAAAATAATGTCCAGACCAGCAAGAACGAGAACATGTTCTCTTGGCCCGGGTTCACAAGCTCCCAAAAGCCCCCTGGCATGAACCTTGCGGGTTTCGCCTTGCACTTCACGTACAAGCAGGCTGAAGTGAACAGGGTCGAGAGCACGAAGAGTCCAAAGCCCAGCCATGATTCAAGCCCGAGGGTTCCAGCCACAGCACCGGCAAAGCAAGCAGAGATGAATTTGATGGTATATGTCCGCGAGGCGTTGAATTGAACATTCGGAGGGTAAAGGAGCTGAGCGGCGGCGTCCGCGTTTGGCGTCGACATGGCGGTCGCGAACAACGATTCACACCGCGCTGAACAGGCGGCCGGGCGTGACGGTACGTGCCTCGTCACAAGCGCCCAAATATGGTAAGTCACGCCGCGCTGAGCAAGGTTCCCAGTGGACGATATTGGCTCGTGTGCTAACACCACCATCTCTCCGCCAGGCTCTTCCAGCTTCAGGGCTGTCGCAAGTGATGACCATGCATGGCCTGCAGGACGGCAAGCAAATAAAAGTCGGCGTCCTCGGGGCGACGGGTACTGTGGGACAGCGCTTCATTCTCCTCCTCGCAGAGCACCCGTTCTTCGTCATTCACGCCCTCGGCGCATCCTCGAGATCTGCGGGGAAGCAATATGCGAAGGCGGCGACCTGGAAACAGGTTAAGCCCATACCGTCCCAGGCTCGCGAGATCGTCGTACAGGAGTGCAAGCCTGAGCACTTCTCCGAGTGCGCTATCGTATTCTCCGGCTTGGACGCGGATGTCGCGGGGGATATCGGTATGTTCGTCAGTTTCTTATCGCAGGCGGCTGATATGGATTGCGCAAACAGAGGCAGCCTTTCGGGAAGCCGAGCTTGCCGTGTTCTCGAACGCGAAGAACTTTAGGAGGGATCCCCATGTCCCCCTCGTGGTCCCTCTCATAAACACCTCCCATCTTTCCATCATCTCCCAACAGCAGGCGCTTCACAGTCCTCCGCTCAAGAAGGGCTTCATCGTTACAAATGCCAATTGTAGCACCACCGCTGTCGTCGTTCCCCTCGCCGCTCTCGAGCGGGCATTTGGTCCTATCGAATCCTGCATGATCACCACCATGCAAGCTATCTCCGGCGCGGGATACCCCGGTCTTCCGAGTATGGACATTCTTGATAATGTTGTCCCCTATATATCTGGCGAGGAAGAGAAGATTGAGTGGGAGACCCTCAAGATCCTCGGTGGTATAGCCGAAGAGGACGGCACGAAATCGTTCGACATGCACGCTCGTCATCCCCTGCGCATTTCCGCGTCCTGCAACCGTGTCCCGGTGATCGAGGGCCACACTGAGTGCGTCTCTGTCCGCTTCACGCGGCGCCCACCGCCGAGCCCCCAGCAGGTGCGCGAGGCACTCCAGGCCTACACATCCGATGCCTACACGCTCGGCTGCCCGTCCGCTCCGCGCCATGCAGTCTTTGTACATGAGGAGCCTGATAGGCCCCAGCCGCGCCTTGATCGTGACTTCCAGCAGGGCGCAGGCGTGAGTGTGGGTCGCGTGCGCCAGTGCAGGGTGCTCGATATCAAGTTTGTCGTGATGGGTAACAACGTGGCCATCGGCGCCGCGACAAGCAGTATTATCAACGCCGAGTTTGCGGTTGTGAAGGGGTTGGTTCAGGCCTAGACAGGGACGGATGAAAAGCGGCAGATATTGAGAATACCTAACTGGTGTAATGTACGATCTGATGGATGACTGTATTACTTCAATGACAAACAATGACATTTCAGCAGGCGGGAATCTCGTACGAACTTAACGTTAATGTTGTAACGTGTGAAGGCGTTGCTCGTGGTACTGTGGTGTAGCGAGACGCACTCCAGTCTCCAGACCTCGTGTTCTCGAAACAGGGGTTCAGGGCAACGGAAGTTGAAGATATTTCGACCATTAACGGCTCAATACCGATTTAGCCGTTTGACAATCTACAACGAGGCTTGGACATCCCATTGGAGGCGATTTGTGGCTAGAATGGCGAACGCCACGCCAGAAAACCTCACACAGGGTGGTAGGCGCAGTTTTTTTTCTCAAGAAAACTCAGGCAAAAGCGGCTAAATAAGGCCCAGTTATTCCTCGATTCTACGCCGGAGAAACTGGTGCAAAACCAGCCAAAAGGGTCTAAAACACAGTAAAACTGGTGGAAAAATGAGTTTTGCCTTCGGTTTTTTTCAGGTGAAAATGGGAGAAAGTTGGGGCCTTGTTGCAGCGTTGGGCAGCCAATACCGAGTCATCCCAGTCATGGTCATTGACTGACAGCTGGTCACTGATGGGTCAATGACCGAGTTACAGTCAATGACTGGGCGGTTTCGTGATCCCACGCAAGCGAAATGCCGGGGTCGAGCGCTTGGGGGGACAGACCCCAATGGAATGGCAGGGCCTGGTGGCGCCCTGCGATATGGTTGGCTGCCAAGGTGGGACCCGGAAAACCGGCCAGTCACGGTCATGTCTGACTCGGTCATTGACTAGTCATTGACCAGAGTGACCAGTCACTGACCAGTCACTGACCGGGCCTTGTTGGATCAGTTTTTGGCCAATTTTACGCCGGAAAAAAGTGCGCTTACCACCCAGTGTCACGGGGTTCCTCTGGCGCCTGTCTCCTTCAGGTGTCCCGCGGTTTATCCAAAACAGGAAATCCCCGCCTCCAAGCGCTTGTTTTATCACGACTTGCCTTCCACCTTCGCCTCGTCCGCCATAGCTTGAGCAGGGCTGTCTGTGCACCGCTGTCTAAGTTCTGCTATGGCCTCAACATATTCAGCGCCAACTGTTTCGCCGTCAGCAGAGCAGGAGACCCTCAAAGCTCTGACATTCCAACGCCTGCATCCGAAAGCGTACCTCGAACGCTTCCTGGCAGAAAATGTACGACCGGATGGACGCGAACCCACGGAGTGGCGAGACGTTTCGGTGAATGTAGGTTGGTATCATTGCGTGAGGCCTCGAATCCTCTCTAACAGACAGCTGCTTGTTAGGCTCAATAAGTACGGCAGACGGCTCTGCCCTCGTGCGTCTGGGAGACACCACTGTCGTCTGCGGCGTGAAGGCTGAGATCGCAGAGCCAGAGTTGGATAGTCCGGAGGATGGATTCTTGGGTAAGTGGCATTCTGCTTTGCTCTGTTTGATGCTGACACCTTCGGCCAGTGCCAAACCTTGACCTACCCGCGATATGTTCTCCGAAATTCAGGCCAGGTCCCCCGAGCGACGAAGCCCAAGTGCTGTCAGATAGATTGAATGAAACACTTGTGTCGTATGTTTCACATCTATTCCGATATACATGCTGGCCTTATCTGTGCAATTACAGGACTGGCGTCATTTCAACTCGCTCGCTCTGCATCGAGTCCCGCAAAGCCGTCTGGGTGCTCTACGTAGACGCGACATGTATAAATTATGACGGTAACGCGCTCGACGCGACTCTCGTTGCCATGATTGCTGCTCTGCAGAACAGTACGTCTTGACCTTCATTGTAAATCCTCCTGCCCGCGATTTATATCCCGCTGCATTAGCCCGCTTGCCGAAGGCTACATTTGATGAAGACACCGGACGCGTTCTCTGCACGCGGAAGGAGATGATTCCTCTGCAGATCAGCCGCTTCCCACTCTCAATGTCATTCGGGGTCTTCGATGGGTACGTCCGGCTTGCGCCAGTTCCAGGTCCTCATGGCTCATGGTCGCGCAGCACGCATATACTGACCGATCCGACGTCGTTTGAGGAGCCACTACTAGACACGACATTCACCGTCACCGTCGACGAGAACGGCGGGGTAATTTCAGTGGTGCAGCTCGGGCTTGCTTCTCAAGATGTTTTGCGAAAATGTATTGCCACCACCAAGAGTCGGTATAGACAGCTTGCTAAACAAGTATACGCTTCCTCATGAAGCTTTATCTCAACCTCACTTTGGCGGACTCGCGAGGCATTGCTCATAGCGATTCGCTCGTGCACAACATTGTGTCGCAAAATCCAAAGTTGCCTCATGAGATAGCCGCCTCGAGCTGCCTCGGCACTCCCGGCTGAAGCCTCGTGATGCCATCATGAGTGCTCCCCGAGCCAATGAAAAGCCTTTGCGGACACCTGTGAGAACAAAATACCCTTCCTGGAAGGCTTCCCACGGTTAATCTAGCTCCCTCGGGCAGCCTCGGGCTCGCTCAAGCGCTTCTCGTGTGAATCTCATGAGGATAGCGTTTGCCTCGCGAGGCATCGTGAGCCAGCGCTAGTCCAACCCATTATGAGGCATCACGTTGCCTCATGGGTCGGCGTTAAACCGCGCTCATAAGGCAGGACAGTGACGCCCAAAGCAACGAGCATATATACCAGAATAAGTACTAGCGGAATCTACCATACTCTATTAGCTCTTCGACAATAGGTACAGCGAGCAAACAGTCCATGATACACTCAAACAAATACAACATATACGATATGGGAGCAGCCAGGCTGTCTAATTGCCACCACGCGTGTGCACGAAGGCGTCGATCATTCCCATGAGGTTTCCGCTGACACCCTCCTCGGGAAGCCATTCGCCGTTATTGACACAAAGCACCTTCATGCGCTCGTGGTAATCGAGGTCGGGAAGCAGTTTCGGCGTGATGAGGAAGTACTGGCCCGCATCGGCTTTGCAGGTGACATCAACGAGCGAGTTGTGCACAGCGCGCTCTGCTCGTGTGTCCATACCCTGGTTGATCTCGTCCACAAGAGAGAAGGGTGCGCGGGCGTGCGAGGTCAGGCTCATGAGGTAAAGAATGGTAGTCAGCGAGCGTTCCTGATGTAAGAAGTTAGGAACTGCACGACTGCACAAGAATAAGAGAACGTACTCCGCCAGATTGCCTCTCAGCAGTCAGGAGTTGCAGCTTCTCGTCGTCACGGAACTTGACGAGAATATCGATCGCCCAGCGATCATAGTCCTCGTGCTCGGCGATGCGGACCTCGCCGGCACACCCAATGCGGTCGAACGCGGCGCTGAACCGTTCGCCGATGCTATCGACGAGGTCACGGAGCGCAGGCTCCCATAGAGCGCGCGTGCGCTGTATACGGCTCTCGGCCTTCTCCAATTTCTCCTCACGTTCCGCAATCGTCTCGGACAGTGTGGCGATCTCGGCTTGCCGCTTCCGGAACTGCTCGACGACACCGGCATTGGTCTGCATGTTCATCTCGAGCTGTGCGCGTAGGGTGCCGAGCTCGTGGTGCAACTCATCCACAGTCCGCTCGTCTTTCTGACCAGACTGTCCGGGTTCGCCGTGAGTTGTGCCTGAAGGTGAGCCGAGCATAATGTTCCGTACCTCCTCCATCTCCTGGAAGCGGTCGCGTGTCTCGTCGTTGACTGAGTCCAACCTCTCCTTGCTAAGCCTGAGCTTATAGCTCACATCCTCTTTCGCTGCCTGGTACTCCACATTTGCTGCCACGGCGCGTTAGCCATCCACTCGAAAATGAGAAAACTGGAACATACCCTTCTGGAGTTCACCATTAACTTTGTTAAACTCCTCATTACGCTCATCCCATAATCTGTCGACCTCCTTCTTGTTGGCACTGATCTGCAAGTACTGAAGACCCAGTCTTGTCATCTGTGCGGTTTCATCGATGACTTGGCGAACACTCCTCTGTAAACTTCTCAGAGGCTTGCTAGGTGTCAAAGAAGAGTATAGTACATACAGCGTACTCGCTGACGATGCGGATACGCTTCGAGGCAACTTGCAGCAAATCCTTCTTCAGCTTGGTGCGTTCAGCCTCAGGCGAAGGAGCGTTCTGAAGACGCTGTAGTTCTCTCTCCTTCTCCTCTGCATCTATTGTCAGCGACTGTGGGCATGCGAGATAGGAAACAAAGCGTACTGATGGTGTGGCTAAGACGTTTATACTTGACCTGCTCCTCTTCGCTCTTCTTCTTTCTTGCCCCGAGGGCTTCCTGCAAAAACAGATATATCGGCTATCCACGCAGAACATAAACAAGCAGTACGCACCCAGCCCTTCTTCTTTTCAGCGTATTCCTTGCGGCACGTAGCTTCCTGTTGGCTGATCTCGCTTATTCTTTCGTCATACTTCTTCATATTTTCGCGAGCCTCAGAGATGGAGCGTTCAAAGCCCTGCTTGACAGCGGGATCGACTGCGGCATATACATCAACCTCGTTGTTGCTTTGGCCAGGGCTAGTGCAAAAACTTACCAGTAGCAGCGACAAGATTCCGCGCTTGACCGATTTCTCGCGTGGAGTTTTGCGCAAGTCTCTTTCCGTACCGTGAGCGGCGCACCATGTTCATGACGTTGCCAACGATATAGGACACATTGCCGTCTTTGGAGAGAACGTCCATAACGTGCTGAGCGTCCACTCTGCGAGGGTCCAGTGCGATGGCCTATGGAGCACATAATGAGAACTCCTGCGAATTTAGCTTGCGTGATAAACCCACGTTTTTGTGAAGGCCCATCACCGACTGCAGGTACCACTTGATACCGTCGGGACACTGGATAAAGTCGAGGGCGTAGCCGTCAAAGCCGAGTTGGCGAAGCTAGTTCAAGGTAGTGGATCGAATGAGCAAACTTAGACAGCAGTAGGACCGTCGATACTAACCTCTTCGGGGCTGACTGGAGGTGGAGCAACTGGGTGCGGATCCCGGTGCCAACTATTGATACGAGCTTTGCGACCCAAAGCCTCCGGGGTATCTGCAACAAGTCGGTTCAGCAACCGATAATCTTCGTCACATTGGGCTACGAAGCACTGTCTGAGAGGTTAAACCACGTCCAAGCATCCAAGGCAGGCTAGCGCACTTGCAGATCGTTGGCATTGAAGCAAGCTTCGATAGCGTTGACGTACTTCTTGTCAGGTACGTTACAAGAGAGCATGGGTGGCTCGAGGATAGCCATCTTGAACCTGTGCTGGTTTTGACGGAGCCATTTAACCGTGTCACCAGTATCACGGTGCCAACGAACAAGACTATCAAGCTTCTGGGCGTCCGCGTTATCAAGCTGCCGGAGACTGCAGGAGAACTACGTTTAGTGCGGAGTAGATACAAGCAGTATTGAGAGCGTACCGTAAATTGTAATCCTCGACATCGCGCTTATATCTAGCCTGATCGTCAAGCTGCTCCTTTATCTGCTGCTGTAGCTCTCCTATCTGAATTTGTAGATCTCTACCCTCAGCTTTCAAAGAGTTCTATGGCGGAGATTGTAAGCTCTTTACAACGTTGGACTGTCGCTTCGCTTACAAATTCAGTATTGAGCTGCTCTACGTCCTCAAACTCGGGCGGATTGTCGATCCTTTCCTGGATCAGAGCGATGCGTTTCTGTGCATCCTGAATATTTTTCTGCCGTGTCTTCTCGGCCCTCTTGATGTTGTCAAGCTTGTTCTTGAGCTCTTCAGCGTCAGCTTCGAGTCGCTCGCTCTCATCCCACCTGTGTTGCATTGTACTGAACCTCGTCTTTGCAGCACGCTTCCGCTTCTCGCGTTCCTTCTCGATCTCCTCCCCCTCCTCCTGCAGCTTCCTACAGAAAGCGTTAGTATACCCGTCGGAGTAATACAATATGATACTCACTTCTTCTTTGTGAGGAAAGGTTCGTTCTTCTGCCTGAGCTTTCTGGCTTTGTCGAGCAAGACTTTCTTGCGAACTCTAGCAGCCTCGTAGAGGTTTTTCGCCTCAGAGTATTCCTTGAACGGCAGCAGAAGCTCTAAAAACTCGATTTCGCGCTCAATCTTTTGACGCTCTTCGTACTTCTTGACGTCACGTTCAAGGTTCGCATTGCGCTCCTCCATGTTCTTGAGCTGTGCATGGTCACCTTCCAGCCGCTGAAACATATATGAGCTGCTGCTCAGCAATCGTACTCCCCCACAACATACCTCCTTCATCTGCTTGAACTCCTTGCCTGCTTCGACGAGAGTGTCGTGCCAGGAAGTAAGATTAGCATTGCCGGCCGCTCGCTGTGTCTCCTTAAGGAGCTGCTGCGGGGACATGCGAGCGAACTCGGCGACTTTGTCCTGAGGCAGGAAAGAGCTAGCGAGCGAAGAATGAGCAAGCCGCACAATTGTCTTGGATGAGACATAAGATACCAGAGATTGCTGACTTGGATGTTCAGCTCCTGCATGCGGTTATTGATCTCCTTTCCGGTGGCCGACTCGCCGTTAATCTTAAACGAGTTGGTCTTCGAGTGCGCACTGAGGCTGCGCCGAATGACGAGATTCGGCTTGCCTTTCGCGCCCTTCAGCTCAATCTCGACATGACCATCCTTCTGGCCGAGTTTTACGAAAGAATTGAGCTCGGACGCACGTCCCAAGACCTAGAGAAGCTCGCAATGAGTGATCACAGTGCATAGACCAAGTGAACCGGCTTACACTGGGCGGAAAGTTGAGGCCAAGACATATCGCACAGGCAATACTACTCTTTCCGGTACCATTGGGACCCAGAATCATGTTCAGATAGGGGCCTGGCGTGAACTCCACATAGTCGTAGGTGACAAAGTTCCGCAGTTGCACGCGTACAATAGATCCGGGTATGAATCTGCCTTGTTGGTAAGGATTGAGTGCGAACATTGTAAAGATTCAGACGTACCCATCGTCGTCGCGAGGCAAGGTCTTCGGCTCAGCCTTTCCCTTGCTCTTCATGGCTGCATTTCGCCCATCACCCTGCGTGTTGACCCTCACGCGTTTCCGGCCTTTCGGCGAGCCCTCGTCCTCCTCATCCTCTTCTTCACCTTCCCCATCTTCGTCATCAAGCTTTTCGTCGTTGTCCTGCGTCGCTTCGTGCTGCTCCTGCTCCTCGTCGCCCTCGACGCGTGCCGCCAGGCGAGCGCTCCTGTTCTTGACTAATTTCGTTTGTTCGCGCGCGTCGAAGCCGGTGTTCTCCTTCTGCGAGTCTTCGCTCGACGGAGAGCTTGGCTTCCGCACCATCGCAGGCGAGTATGCGAGAGGTGCACGGGGGGCGTGCTCGTCGTTCTAGTTGATGAGGGGCGCGACGGACGCGTCGGGCGGTTAATGACTTTAGGGGAAGTCTTTTCGCATAAACAGGGCCACCCCGGGGTGACAATAGTAAGCTAAGAGTTTCTTACTCTCAGCTGCGGGCCTTCAAACAAATTTTATTCTCAACTTACCTAGTTGCTCAGCTTTTACTTCCGACCTTCCCAAATGTTACGTCCCGCCAATCATTTGCACACTGAGGCGATGGACACGGGTCGTTTTTCTCTGAATTGTTGGCCGACAGTGTCTATTACTATGTTAGCAAGCACTCATCCTGACTCATGCAACACGAGGCGCAAGCGAGAAACTTGTGGATAAAAACTGGGCATCACTCCCCGAACTCTGTATCTTCTGAACCTCTCTCGCACAAATACCCGCGTCCAAGATGTCTCCTCACAAGCTCAGTATGTGACGAACGAAGTAGTGCAACGATGGTTTGGCTGACGTGTATAATTCTGCCCAGCTTTCGTCACCGGCAACCGCATGAAGCTCCAGGAAGTCCGAGCCATCTTGGGAAACGCGGACATCGACCTTGTATCAAAGGAGCTCGACGGTAGGGCCCTACATCGCTCATCTCGCTCTGCGACTCTGATCGGTGCCTGACATAGTGCCAGAGATTCAAGGGACTACAGAAGAGGTCGCCCGAGAAAAGTGCCGCAGAGCAGCAGAACTTCTACAGGGCCCATGTATCACCGAAGACACGGCCCTCTGTTTCGAGGCTCTAAACGGCCTTCCTGGTCCTTACATTAAATTTTTCATAAAAGAGCTGGGTTTAGACGGTATGCGCTGCCACTCAACCGCCGTTTGTTCTGCCTGACCGTTCTACAGGCCTGAACACGCTGTTACAAGGTTTCCCGACGAACAATGCATGGGCACTTTGCACGTTCGCATACAGCGACGGTCCAGGCACCGAGCCGATTATCTTTGAGGGGCGCGTAAACGGAAGGATCGTCCCTCCACGGGGAGCTGAAAAGTTCGGCTGGAATCCAATCTTCGAGGTTGAAGGCACAGGAAAGACGTGTGTTGTCACACGATGACCCATTTGGCCCTTCGAGCTCACTCTTAACTTCTATAGATTCGCCGAGATGACCGAAGAAGAGAAGAACAGCTGCTCACACCGCTACCGTGCGGTGAATATGCTCACCGCTTTCCTTCGGAAACATAAACCATGAGCGCATGAGCAATCGGCAGCCAGATACCGCTGACACTTTTGCTACTTTGCTATAGTCTTAGACTTATAGAATTATGCGTAGATTGTGATATGTATCCATCGTCACAGCCTTGAAGCAGCTCTCAGTGCGGCTGCCTGGTGATCCGTAACGGACGTCAAGGTATGTGCCCCTGAGTATAGAAGCTTGCCTGTCGCCTTGTCGTATACCTACGTGAAAGATATTTAACAGCACGGCAAGGGGCACAGAATCAGAGACCAACCTCTGCCCTCGCGCTCAGTACTCGTGTTCTGATTGTGAGGGTGGTGGCTACTATCTTCAGTGTCATACCCCTGAAACATGATCTTCAGTGAATCTACTTTGTGCGAGAAAAAGGTTGCGACGTGCAGCAGCGCCGGTGCGTGGTAGTTGACGTTCAAAGCCAGCGATGCGCCTACCGCGTCCTTCCCCACTGCGGCACCCAGGAGGTACAAGACGTCGCCGGTACACCTACTGAGGTGAGCATCTTCCGCTATGTTGATTCTTATGCAGACTTACATTTCAATGAAGTGCGCAGCACACGCACCAGAGACGGTGCGGCCTCCCCGATTGAGCATCTCTAGTCCAAATCGCAAGGTGGGTCGCGGGAAGAGAAGACCCTCGGAACGATGTCATCCTCACCTTCAAGTACTGGCACCTCGAAAATTGCTTCCGCCTCGAGGGTATGCGGACCAGCCGCATCCTCTGGCCCGCTTTTCCTCCGGCTGATGTTAGCCTCGACGAGCTTGAGGTGCCTCGCCTGCTCGTTTGCGAAGACGTTCGTGCCCCCGCCGCAGTAATTTGAGAATATGTTCACGTTCAGCTGTTTGTCATCGTCCGTGCAATTTCCGCGGATAGTGGATACGTCTTCATTTGGCGGGCCTGCCTTTGGGAAGGCACGGAGGCGAGCGAGGGGGTCTGCCATGACTGGGCGCAGATTATGAATGCTATAAAACCCAGACTACTGTCTGGCTTTATAGAATTCATGATGTGCGGAAAAGCTCGGGACGCATAAATTAGCTAGCGGCCTCGGTCATTCTCCTGCAAGACACACCGATGGATTGCGAGACATTACCACGACTGTCGCCTGTCGCCGGCGCCGGATGCCGGACGGCTCGGTGATCAAAACACGGAGCTCGGATCTGATCGCTTTTCGGCTGCATTTGGCAAGTGTCGTCGTTCCGCACCAGGATTTGCGGCACGACTGGGCGCTGCTGTCCATGACGTTCTTCCGCTATCCGCACCTGAGCAGCCATAAATTCCAGGCAGAGCTCGAAGGATGGGCCCCCAAAACTTATATCCGTACCTCCACCATCGCTAGAGACTCTTCGCTCTTTTCCACAGTGCACAAAACTCACCATAATCCTCACTCCGCTCGTATACCTCGATGGTATCCTTCAGCAGCATCCTCCCCGACCAGCTCGGTCATACACTAGTCGCAGGTGACATGAAGTTGCGCTTCATCCGCCGCATCGGCAAAGGTGCCTATGGGCAGGTTTACCTCGCCCGGGATCTCTTTACACCCGAGAGCGCACCCAAGTTCTACGCCGTCAAGTGCACGCTCAAGTACGAGCCCGGCTCCGAGCTCTCTACCCTTCAGAAGCAAGAGATCGCCTTCCATTGTGCCATGTCTTGTCACCGAAACGTCACCACGCTCCACTACGTCGTCGACGAGGAGTACTACAACTACATGGTGATGGAGTACCACGACGGTGGCGACCTCTTTGCCGCAATTGTCGACCGCAAGGCGTTCTATCGCAACGATGGGGCAGTAAAGCTCGCATTTGTCCAGCTTATTGACGCCGTCGAGGCTTGCCACGACTTGGGCATCAGCCACCGCGACCTCAAGCCGGAGAACGTCTTGTGTTCCAGGGAAGACTCGCGCATCTTCCTCTCCGACTTCGGGCTCGCCACTCATTTGAAATTGACCAACGACTACGGCTGCGGTAGCAGTCTCTACATGAGTCCAGGTTAGTTTTATACGTCGCCCGGTCCAACAACCCCGCCGTTGACATGCGCCCCGACAGAGTGCATCGGCTTTCTCGAGCAATCTGTCCCCTACTCGCCGCGGTGTTCCGACATATGGTCGCTCGGCATTATCCTCATCAACATCCTGACCGCACGCAACCCGTGGCAGCTCGCGCACCCCGCACGCGACGAGGGCTTCGCGCTGTACCTGCATGACCGCGCGGCCTTCCTGACCCGCATCCTCGCGCTCTCGGACGAGGCCGCCGCGCTGCTCGCGCGCATCCTCGACCCGAACCCGCCCACGCGCATGACACTCCGCCAGATGCGCGAGGCTGTGCTTAGCGTCGGCACGTTCTTCCCCGCGGACGACCGTCCTGGCTGTATGCGCCTGGCAGACGTAGTCTCCGAGCACTCCTTCTCCGAGGAAGAGGCGCCATGGGCGGACGAGGACGACGAGGAAGACGCGATCATGGAGGTGCACCGCGACGCGACGGCCCATTGTCGATCGACGTCGGTGGTCGGCTTTACTTCCGTCCCTCTCGACTCGTCACCATCACAAACGAGCACCTTCGTCAACCAGCGGGGGTCGGCCTCTTCGGTTGAGACCGACGAGAGCGACGAGACGCCACCACCCTCCACGCCCGTCTCTTCTACGGCGAAGATCCCGAGCGGCGTACCTCCCTTCGTGCTCATACCAGGAAGATCTCAAAAGGAGCATGAGGGCATGGTGATCACAGACAGGGGGGATGGGTATCACTCCACACGTATATCAAAGAACATGCGGCGCTTTGTAGGCGCCGTGCGGAGGGTTGCGATATGGTCATAGAAACAAGACTTGAAGTAGAAATAATTTGGTTTCAGCATAGAACATTACTTCTCTTTATAATACAATAATCGACCCGTAGACTCTTGCGATAGAACATTGTGCTTTATAGTTTAGGTAGAGATGGAGGCATCTTCATGTGGACGCCTGTTGCGACCAGACGACCGTTTGTCGCATCGTAGACCTACGACATGTGAACGAAAGCCAAGCACTCGAACAAGGAACTCTCACCTCTGCTCTGACGATCATGACGCGTGTTCCCATCGCCACGGACGTACTGATGATTTTCAGCTTTGAGCCCCTGAAAATCTCTTCAGAAGGGAGCACGCAGCATGCGGGTTGGTAGCTTACAAAACGGCCGGTGCATGGAAAGTGATATTGAGGGACAACGACACATTTATGGCCGCCTCTGGGGAGCTAATCGCGGCGATAAGGCTGATCACTATTGTCGTGCAGCTATGGACACAGTCAATTAGACACAAGCGACCAGCTCGCTGGTGTTCACTCACATGTCTATCAAGAACGATATGCATCCTCCGTGCATTGCACCCAGATAATTGCACGTATCTGTCGCATTCCGTAAACTCAGCAGCCCTCTTGTCTCGCCGACAGCCTAGCCACGCACCTCTCGTCACCTCAGTCTCGAAGACAATCCGCCCCTCCTGCCTCCTGGGCACCTCGGGGTTCCCATAGAGCTCTGCCTCCGCGACTGAGAGCCGTGCGCACACGTTGCGCGCAAAGCCCTGGCCCTGCGAATTTTCCGACCACCAGCGGGCGACGGTGTCCTTGACGGCGGGGGGGACGTTGCCCGGCGCGACGCGCATCGTACGTGCGACGAGGTCCATGTCGTCGTCGTACGGCTTCTCCCCATCTTCCCCCATTTTTGCGGGCCCCTATGAATGTGCGGAGCCTTTTCGATGTGATCGTGTGGGAGACATCGTGGGGGTTCGCTGAATACCACTCACGGTTTCGGTTATGGGCGCTTTCCGTTTACCGTGGCGCGTGGCAATCGGGTGAGCGTCTTCAATCAGACCACCTTGCTCGGAGATGAGTCGTACACAACGAGCAGCGGAAGGTGGTTGAGGTGATAATTTGGTGTGTAGGCAAGCACCAAGCGTCCCACTCATAAGCTTTTTCAAACAGCGCCAGCTTACGGCGGACCTCCGCTTTGCCAGCTCTGAAACAGTTTCATTACGCGCCAAGAAAATGTATGTAGTACAATACAGACGCCGAGACATCGTGTATTTTCTATCCTAAGGTCAAGCAGGAGACAGTCGGGCAAATCCCCAACGTCGAGCAGAAGTTGTATCCAACGAAACCTTCTAGGACGCCTACTTCGCCTATGTAGTCTCAAAGTGAAGCGCGTCTTCTTTTTCGAGGCTGTCCTTGCCGCCCGGAGTAACCGGCGTGGGATCCTCGTTCATCTCCTGCTTGACGCGCTTCTTCTGGACTTCTTGGATGTTGTCCTCGAACACTGCGTGCGGCGTGTGAGCAATCTGACGTGTGAGAGTGACGAGAGAGTAACGCACGGAAAGCCAGTTCCTCGAGAGAACGTCCGGACGTCTCTGGGAAGAGGAAGTATACAAAGAAAACCTCAAAGAGCAGGAAGATGCAGTAGCTGATGTAGTATTTCCAGCCTATAGGAGATGTGTATCAGCGAAGTTGGAAGCGTGAATTGGGAACGAGCCATACCTGCGTTGGCGATACCGATAGGGTTGACAAACTGATTGAAGAAACCAGCCGCACGGCCCCACCATTGGAAGACGGCGATGCCCTTGGAACGGACGTGGTAGGGGAAGAGCTCAACGAGATAAGCTGTCGTGGCAGCGATTAGTACTGACAATTACGGAAAAGTCGACATGAGCTGCACTCACTGTAGGTCAAGGCATTGTAACCAAGGTTGTATGCCGGACTGTACAAGAAGATGAAGCTGTGGCGACAGGTCAGTACCGTAGAACTGGACTTGGTTGCCGCAAATGCTTACGCAATGACAGCCCTGGATGCCGCCTGGTCCCCATTGATGCTGTACCGGGCACTCGCAACGGTCCATCCGGTGAAGATCAGCAGCAACGAGATTGTACAAATCTGCCGGACAGACTTCAGCTTGAACCTCGGGACTGCAGCCTAAGAATACACACCATGTACGCCGGCCTGCGATTCATGCGCGGCACAGTCAGGGCGAGGGCCGTGGCGTTCACGAAGCCCCAACACGTCATCGCGAGATTAATTTCGCTCTGAATTCGGGTGTCCGTGATGCCGACATTGGTTAGGATCTTCGCCAGGAAGTATGATGTCAGGCCGTTCCCGGACCACTGCGTCGCGAGGCCGAGGAACGAGCCAACCAGCAGACGCCTGCGCATTCCTACCGAGATCGCGTGAGCCACTGAATTTGTACGGGTGGGAGGGAATTCGGTGTACCCGGAGTAGCAATCAAGTCCCTCCAGCCATGATTGGAGTTCTCCCTCTCAAGCTCGAGCGTTGCCTCGATCTCAGCGTACTCAGCCTTAACGAACGCCGAGTCGAGGTCGCCTTCGGCATGGTATTTGACCAAGATGGCGTATGCCTCTTCACCCCTTCCTTTCGAGATAAGCCACCTGCAATTTGCGGAGTCAGTAAGTCCCAAATCGCTGAACATTTCCGGGGTACATACCTAGGCGACTCGGGTAAGAACCAGATGAAGCACACCTGTAGCAGGCTGGGCGTGATCTGTAGGCACGACGGGATGCGCCAGCCCCAAGTGCTTTCCATCGCGAACGTGCCGAGCGTGACACCAGCGGCAACAATAGCACCAATGAACCACGACGCATTGAAAAGCGAGCCTATGCGCGCGCGCTCCTTGGGGTGCGCGAGCTCGCCGATCATCGACGAGGCAGCGACAATTGCGAACGGAATACCGAAGCCGAGAAGAAAACGAGCGACGACGAACATCGCGACTGTTGTGCACTTGTGTCAGAAAATGCGGGTACGTGGACAGGGATGCAGAGACATACAGTTCTGTGCAGCCATTTGCAGAACTGCGCCTACGATCATGATGGCACTACCAAGTAGAATAGCCATGCGGCGGCCGAGTCGATCAGAAACGAACGGTACAAAGGGCAGAGAAGCGATTGAGCCGAGCGAGTACAGCGCGGACATCAAGCCCAGGATCGCCGAGTTGGGGTTGTGGAAGACTAAAGGTCATATGTGAGTCTCTGTGTACAAGTCCAGCAGCTGTGCGCCTTACAAGACTCCCAAGAGTTAACGGACTGGAGGCCATTCATCATAGATGAGTCGAACCTGAACGACAGCCGAATGAACAAAAAATTCGCAGATGCAGCGTTCAAGTGACTTACCCGCTAGTCATCTCAATACCAATGCATGTCGGGAACATGACAAGGTACAGTAAGCGCAGATTGCGCTTCTGGTACCATGGCGTCTTGTCTGCCTCAGCAAGACGAGCAATCACCGGGTCTGTCGTTGCGCTGCCACCTGCCATGGCTGAATCGCAGACTCGTTTGGGATAAGCGGTAAGAGGTATGGGAAGAGATCTCCAAGGAGTGGCGAATGTCCCTCTTGCCATGCTGGCCTATATAGCGGCCCGCAGACTGGTGATCCATGGCGGCTCACCTATATTCTCCAGAATATCCCCGAATACAAGCTCTTGGCAAAATCAACGCAGCTATCTCGCCACGTAGGAACGCGGTCCGTGAGAGGCTTGAGCTTACGCTGCACCTTTGCGTGTAGCCTGCGCTGCTCCGAAAGTGCGTGCGGCAGGCACGGCTTGCAAACCGCGTCTTCTATCTCGACGGCGGCGGTCCGCGACGCCTGCGGCACGTCGAGGAAGTATCGCTGCGTAGGGTCCGACAACGGCTATGGCGAGTGAGCACGGCAGGATGCTCGCACGCTCTTGGCATCCCACGGCGAAAGTTCGGGCGCACTGAGGCGCACCGCTATTCAGTTCCCCAAAACGTGGGGCCCCGCACCTGCCACGAGAGTGATAGGGATGTGCCTCAGGTGACAGCAAGCCAGCCTGATACGCAGGAGGAGCGCAGGAAAGGCAAGTGAGAACGTTTGCACGATCGTCGACGCTTGGAAGCTCGGTCCTCCCGGAGACTACATGCCGTATTTTCTGGGCGCTGGACACATCACACAGGAAATTGGCAGTCTCCAACGATGCTGTTTCTGTACGAGGCATGCTTCGTCTACCACTCAGATCCGCCAAGAGTCCGCTGCACGACCGAGATGATCATGGGCGAGACAGGAGGATAGTTTGGAAGATCTCTAGGTATAATTCCGACGCCTTAAGTTGCACGGTGGGAAAAGGTCCGACATTTTTACTCACCTAAAGCCGGCTGATTCCGAGTGTGACAAGGGGGCCTCAAAACAGCACTGTGGATTCTTCGTGGTTAAGTTGCTGGTGGCGTCAAAGCATAGGGTTGGATTAGTGTTTGTGAATTGGTGTGTCCAATTCATGCTCTATTGAGCCTCCTTTTTATTATTTTTATTATTTTCTTTGCTTCGACAGTTCGACTTGAGAATCGAGAATGTACTCAATGGAGGGAGCGGGTTAGAACTTCGAAGCCTGTGAATCGTTAGTCAGTGCTGAGACCATGCATCATACCGACCGTAGCGGATGGCTTTGTGACTGTGACACAGGTGCACCGAATCGGTTGAGCGGATGGGTCCTTGGTGACCCGTGACATCCGCCGGCTAACGGACGACCGAGCGCGGCTACAGTATTTATCTGGGTAGCATTGTTGGTATGATAATACATTCTACGGTACTACAGAGCGCCGCAGGCCTGAAAAAATACGGCTTTTTCTTTGTGACAAATCTCGGATATCACAACCGGATGGACCCCTCTGTGACATCATGTGACAGAGGCGGAATAACAGACAGGATGAGGGCCCTGTGACGTGTGACATTCGCTACGGTCGTAAAACTACAGTATCTCAGCGATTCCTGACTGGGGTGTCACATTAATGACTGTGGGTGTCAAGTCGGTAGCCGACTGCAAAGACTGCAACGAAGGAAGAATCAAGATATATGGAGGACAGTGCTGGTGTCTTAGTATTGAAAGCCCCACGGAGGCCGAAACGGATGATGGTGAGGCAGTAGGCAATTCCAACGAGCGGAGAGGCCTTTCGATGGGTCAGCGCAACTCAATATTGTAAAATATCAAATACACACCATACCCACGCAAATAAACACTGCATACGAGCGACTGAAGTAGGTGGCCATGAGAATTGCACTTGCTGCACTAGTGTAGACCACATTGTGAATCTGCAACTGCAAGCACAAACTGTGAAGGCATACGTAAAAAGCAGAGCACTCTCAACAATAACAGCCACAATTCTCTGTAATGTGCCTTGTCAGCTCGTAAACTAAAGGGGCTAGATTATACACACCGAAGCTATTGTAGAGCGCAAGTGCATCACCTGAACCCACCTTACTTTTTGCTGCGTACTCCAAATTTTATAGACTAATAGTGCTATATGCAAGTGAGTGGCCTTTGACAGGGCCTTCACCAAGAGGACGCACTTGAGCAGTACACATTCGTGCTATATCATGTCAACATTAAATGCATTTTTTCAGATATAACCAATGAAACGTACGCAGTAGTGCATGCCAGATTAGAGCCATCCCAATCTGCTGTATGTCTGTTAATTACTGCTAATTTATTTGTTGTATAGTGTGCAGAACTGTACCATGGAATGAGAGGAAGGAGTCTGTACTTGCCACCACTCCATGCTGTTGGTAGGTGAAAATTGCTCCACAGCCTGTAGCACTGATCAGTCCCCGGACAAAGGACAGATCAATTTGGCATACCCAAAGTAGCAAGATATGTGCATACTGGTAGTGTCATAATCAGCCACTTGTGCTGCCACACAACCCAGAGTCGATACAACTGTGTGTAGAGGTGAACTCTCTGCAGTGACTTGCCACCACAAAGAAGCATACCATTATAAAGTCTGCCATAGCTACTTGGGCTAAGTATAGAGCTGAAATAGCCATAGCCAGCCTGTCGTTAGTGGGTGATGATGTGAAATATGTCAGAGGTCCACCAAAGTCGTTGCTGTGACCAATAAAACCACTGAAGGTCCGGATAGTTCCAATAGCCCATTGCTGATATCCCACATCAGTCCAGGTAATTTGCACATGGTCCCGTAGCACTTACAGCAGTGATAGTGGTAAAGAGAAAGATGTTTCCGACAGTAGTTAAGAACGTTGACAGGCGTGTGCTGGTCTCCCTTTGTCTCTGGTTCCCATCAACTATCAGGAAGTAGAGCGAAAGGATAAAAAGCACAATATAGATGCCTAAGCATGCTCTAGGTTTAGCATTCTCTCGCCTCTCAAAAAGAGTGCATCAGGGAAACTGAACATTGCTGTGGACTACTACAGAGTCTACGTACAGAGTGTAGTGTGATAGCCTAGTCCCTGCCTCATAGTTGTTCGCACTTCAGTCAATGAGCGCCGTACAATTTTGAAGTGGTGTGTACTTCAGTTAGACGCCTTCGTACTTCTGCGGCACCTGCTGCGTACACCACGATAGCGATTCCGAACATCTCAAGTAGCACACTGTACATATGGTATACATGACAGAATGATATTGGTAAAGGCTACGGTAACAGTGAGGCACTATAGTGGTGCTACTAAAAGTCATCGTCGTGCCGTGTACCAAACGTTCGGGTGGCGAGAGCGCGTCGCATGCGTTCACGGGTCTCGTCAGAAGCCTTCTCTGTCTTCTGAGTTGTTGATTGTATGGTGATATTGCCATATCGTCTGTAGCCGTGGAACGTCACATTGATACCATGTTGCGTAAGCAAGAATAGGACCACTTACAAGACTTGCTGGTACATCTCATGCCAAACATGCCTCACCGCCTCGGCATCGAGAGCCTCCCAGTCCTCGATCAGCCATGAGAGATGGCTCCGGTATTTGGCGCGATACTCG